ACTCAAAAAAATACATTTGAACACTGCTTTTCTTTGATTGAAAATGTTTTCTTTGATAGAAGTCCGGTTTTTTTGTTTAAAGCAACCTTTTTAATTAAAGTAACATTGTTTTTTGATTGGACCATATAATGGGTAGGACATTTGTGTCTTTATCATTCAATCAAAAAAGAAGTTGCTTCAAACAAACAAACAACAGAATCAATACAAAAGTCACTTCAATGAAAAGATAAACCTTTTTTTAAATATAGAAAATCATTTTTGAATGCAAATAAAATATTTGAGACTCCAAAAATTGCATTTGAACACCTTTTGTTTTAATTGAAAATGTTCTCTTTGATTGAAGTAATCTTTTTTGTGTTTGGGCCATACATGGGTAGGACATTTGTGTCTTAATCATTCAATTCCAAAAAAGTTGTTTCAATCAAAAAAAAAAATATTTTCAATCAAAGAAAAAACTTTTCAAAAGCAAAAAAAAATTTATTTACCTCGTGTATAAAAAAAGTATTGAAGAGAATGTGTGTTTTCGTTGTTTTTGTTTTTTATTTGAAGTGAAAAAAATTTAGAATTTCAAATTGTTTTGATTGAATCCTTTTTTTTTTTTGAAGTGCAAAAAGTTTTGAAGTTCAAACTTTTTTTTGATTGAATCATTTTGACACAAACGTTCCGCAGTGGGCGGGTGCTTCTCTGTTGGTCAGACATGTTTGATTGACAAGTGTCTACACCAACGACATCTTTCTGACAAAAAAGTCATGTTCGCCACTCGCCAGCAAGTTTTACCCCTACAGGATATTATCTATTTATCATTTGATCTTGTGGCTCTAAGTATCGCGCCAGCCACACCAGCCACACGATCTCTCACTGTTTACTATCAGAAACTCCGATTAATACACGAGAGCACACAGACAGTGTTATCCTGCTCTTGTGTACGGGCGTCAGTTTGGTTTGGTTTGAAATGTGCTGGGGGACGGAGAGACGTATTCGGAAGAGCATTTTCAAAAGTGCTGGGTACAATGACGCATTCATTATTTTTTTTCTCTTTCGAGTAGGCGCCGCGAGATGTTTCAAAAGTGGTGGGTACAAAATCGACCCTGGCAAAAAGTGGTGGGGACATGCATACATATCTATGGGGACATGTCCCACCCGTCCCCCAGCCACAAGATCTCTCACTGTTCTCATAGCCGACACTCCGATTGATGCACGAAAACACAGAGACAACGCAACCCTGCACTTATTTACCCTTTTGTCATCTTATCTTATATTTTATTAGCTCGTTTGTCCCATAATGGAGCACGTTTCGTGGTGCGCCAGTCACAAGATTTCGCAATATTTCTCATAGTTGCGTGATTCTCCGATTGACATTCTGAAGAAGAATGATTTTGACCACTCCATTAAGTTTTTTTTTTTTAATAAAGCCTTTCTTTAAAGTGAATTTCGTTTTTAATAAATTGCATCTTGATTTTAATCAATGTTTGATCAACCAATTCCCAGGATTTAATAAATAAGAAGCAAAGCAAACATATAGGCATAGCAATAAAATCATGAACTTTTTGCTTTGCACGTTTCTCAAAGACATGATAAATAGGCTACATCTAGAAAGGTAGAAATGTCTAGCCTAATTTTAAACAAAACAATTCAAAACGAAAATAAATATTATTCTACTCTCAGATTATATTTAATCCATATGAAATGAGCATTTCTCTCGGCGCGTTCACTACTGCGAAGATGGCTCCAATACGGGCAAAAAGAGCAAATAAAATATAAGAAAAAATTACAAAAAGGTAGATAAGAGATGGATTGGACTTTATTTGCTCTCATCTGAGTGTCTCATGTAAACAGTGAGAGATCTTGTGGCAGGCGCGACGCTAGGTGACGCGCACGCTCCATTATGGACAAAAAGAGCAAATAAAATATAAAATAAGATGACAAAAAAGATACTTAAGAGCAGGATTGCACTGTCTGTTTTCACATGTGCATCAATCGGAGTGTCTGATGGGTGTAATAAGAGATCTTGTGGCTGGTATGGCTGGCGATGCTTAGAGCCACGACCCGTTCGCATAAAAAGAGCGATTAAAATATAAGATCAGACGATAAATGGGTAAATGAGATCTGTATTGCACTATGTGTGCTTTCGTGTAGCTACCATTAGGTGTAAATAGAGAGAGATCGTGTGGCTGGTGTGGCCGGCGCAACGCTTAATAGAGCCATGCGAGCGCACTCCCATACGCATAAAAAGAGCAAATAAAATATAATATAAGATGACAAAAAGTAAATAAGAGATGGATTGCACGTTATTATACGCGCTCCAATACGGGCAAAAAGAACGAATAAAATATATGATCAGATGATAAATGTGTAAATAAGATCTGTATTGTACTGTATGTGTGCTCTCGTGTAGGCCTACCATTAGGAGTGTCTTATAGGTGTAAACAGTGAGAAATCTTGTGGCTAGGCAGGTGAAAAGCGTTTGGTTAATGGTGAATATTGACCTGTGCGTACCGTTCTGTCGGGGAATATGCGCTGCATTTACTGTAAATATTGTGTAAGTTCGAGTGGCAGGCGCTATATAATGCAGTGCATATAAGGCACATATATCCGTGGCCGGTCGAGTAGCAGATCCCCCTGCCAGGCAAAGATTTTATCCCCTCTAAAAAAGCTGCTGGCGAGTGGCGAACATGACTTTTTTGTCAGAAAGATGTCGTTGGTGTAGACACTTGTCAATCAAACATGTCTGACCAACAGAGAAGCACCCGCCCACTGCGGAACGTTTGTGTCAAAATGATTCAATCAAAAAAAAGTTTGAACTTCAAAACTTTTTGCACTTCAAAAAAAAAAAAAAGGATTCAATCAAAACAATTTGAAATTCTATTTTTTTTTCACTTCAAATAAAAAACAAAAACAACGAAAACACACATTCTCTTCAATACTTTTTTTATACACGAGGTAAATAAATTTTTTTTTGCTTTTGAAAAGTTTTTTCTTTGATTGAAAATATTTTTTTTTTGATTGAAACAACTTTTTTGGAATTGAATGATTAAGACACAAATGTCCTACCCATGTATGGCCCAAACACAAAAAAGATTACTTCAATCAAAGAGTACATTTTCAATTAAAACAAAAGGTGTTCAAATGCAATTTTTGGAGTCTCAAATATTTTATTTGCATTCAAAAATGATTTTCTATATTTGAAAATGTTTATCTTTTCATTGAAGTGACTTTTGTATTGATTCTGTTGTTTGTTTGTTTGAAGCAACTTCTTTTTTGATTGAATGATAAAGACACAAATGTCCTACCCATTATATGGTCCAATCAAAAAACAATGTTACTTTAATTAAAAAGGTTGCTTTAAACAAAAAAAACCAGTAGGGGTTCAGCGAAAAATCGGCAGCTGGCAGCAGGAAGTAGCTATCACTGGCAGCAGGAAGTAGCTGCCGTTGACAGCCGGAAGCTCTACCAAATTAGGAGCGACCTGCCAGGTCGTGGCAGCCAATCAGTATCCTCCAACGTAGCAGCAACCAATCACATGTACCTTGAAGTTAAGAGACAGTAGGCCCGCGAGTTTTCAGTAATGGCGGCGGCTTTTGGCTTGGTAAGTTCGTAAATGAATCATATTAATAAATAATTGTTGCTCTATAAATTGGATTTTAACTTTTTAGAAACAGTGTATCTGTGCCTGCTTTAGTTTAATATGCTAGTTCAGGTGTGCTCAAACCTGCTCCTGCCGATCGACTGTCCTGCACAGTTTATCTGCAACCCCAATCAAAAACACCTGACTTAATTTGCAAGTGAACTAGAAGACATTAATTGTGTGCTTCAGGTGTATTTTATTAGGGTTGAAGATGAACTGTGCAGGACAGTCAATCGGCAGGAACAGGTTTGGGCACACCTGGTTTAATCATTTGTAGAAACGCAGCTTGTGCACCGTGTGGTCCTGGTTTGTGAGGGGCTAACGTTACCATTAACTTTAAATACAACGTTAATATTATTCTATCACCATTACATTTTAGCGTTAGTTAACATGATAACTTAACCTATTGATTAGAATAACGGTAATGTTGATTTATTGGAATTATTGAGAAGCTCAGCCGACACATGCAACGCTAACTCTGTCGTTTTTCGTGTATTTCATTTTCCAGGGACTGTCTGATATCCAACTTCGATTTTTGTTGTAGTACTATTCCATTTTTTTGGATAAAACAGTTCTTTTAAGAACTACCTTTCTAGCTCGGTGTGTACACCCTGTTCTACAAAAAATTATGGCCGGTAAGTAGCCAATTATTTCCCAAAATCTTACTAACTAAAGGTTTTTTTTTTTTTTTTTTTTTTTTAGCAGAACATGCAAAGAACTGCCCATGTTAAAGATTTAATTAGTCTTCTATAATGTTCAACCTTTAAATGTGAATAAATGTGTTGCTATTTTGAGGCATGTTACTTTCTCATACACTACATGTGTAGGAATACCCTTTGCCTTTGGAAAAGGCGAAGTCTTTTCTGGGACAGGCAGTTGTCCCTACTGTACAACTGGAGTGATGTCAAGTCCTGAGCATTTTCAGGAAAAGCATGTAAAGCATGCCATACATTTTGAGGACAATGGCATCCGTAAGCAATGTACAAAGCACACATATATTTTACATGTTTGTTGTAAGCTAATGTATTAACATTCTCTTGTCTTTCTAGAAAAATTTTGTGTTCCTTGCTTTTGTTTGAATGCCCGACAACAAAATAGGTGCCATTGGCATTGCCCTGAGTGTCAGCACATCTTGTGTCGTGCCCCTGACTTTAAAAAGCACCTACATAATCATAGTATGTACAATGTAATTAGTTAAATTTTAAAGTCTTGTTTCATTTTGATTTCTTTCATGTTATGATTAACTCGCCTCATCTTTTGTCCTTTTTGCAGATCTTTTAGTTGCATGCAAAGTTACCGACAAGCCAGACAGTATGCATCTTTGATACTGGTATTTAATAATGTTTAATGTTTGTTGATCTTGGTCTACTTTAACATGTTTATATATTGTCCCTCAGAAAAACCAAAGGCAGGGCGGCAGGTCAAGGAACAACCACCTGTCATTTGTATTGATGAAAGAAATGGGATTTTTGTCACCCCAAAAGATTCCCATGGACCTAGAGTCCCTGTTCACGTCAAGAAACAAGTCGTCTCGGGGTCTATTGCTTGTGAGTCACCTCTTTGTCGAGATTTTATGAGGATTGGAGTAGAAAGTGGTAATCCAGGCATTGAATGCGATCACCTTCAGAGGACCAATAGAGCTGTGTGCTATTCTGCACCAGCAGCACTCAGGGAGGACTCTTTGCAGTCAATGGTTGACCGTGGCCTGCTGTCCAAAACCCGACAAGATGAATGTGTGCAGCTAAGAAAAAAAAGTATTGCTGGTGGTGTGGATTGTGTTTTTCCCATTTTTTGGCACGAGCATACCTCTGTCAGGTTAGTTTATTTTTCTGTGTTTACCGGGGTAAAAGACAACTGGTGTCAGTTCGAAAGGACCAGAGTCTCTTTTGATAGCCATTTGGGCAAGTGGCACTGCCAGTGCCGCAATAGAATGAGAAGCTGCGTCCACAGATACCTGAGCATGTGGTGGCTGTTTCAAGAGAAACCCCACCTCCTTTCCTGTCAAACTAACCCAAATGCTGAAGACAGTGATTTGGATGAAAGGGTAATAGATGTTGCAGAGACTGAAGTGGCAACACTGGCTTCTACTGACATACAGGAGTTGACGGGTTATTTGTGGCGGCAAAAGAGGGTGCCAGAAAACCTTCCACAGGATTTGTCAACAAAAGAACGCCAAATTCCAGACTTCTTTGAACCCCTGGAGTCCAACTGTCCTTATTGCCCTGGTCCCACTCCACCAGCATTGGGGGAGAGGGTACTAATTACACGGCATGGGACGGTGTATGGAATATCTTCAGTGACTCGAGGTTAATTTCATGTATAGAAATGTATAGATCTTTTTATGTATTTTCCACAATGTGTTGAACATTTAATCTTTTAAACAATTTCTGTCTTCTCCAGATGTGCCAGTGTATGTGAAGAACTGCCTTGTTTGTAGATGTCCAGTGAGGTTTCAAGAATATCAGTCTGGTTTCCACAATTATGAAAACCGGACCTTTTTGACCATTCCCCTATGTTCTCTTCTGACATCTGGACTGGCAGTGAGTGACTTAAAAACATGACTTGAATTTCGCATACTTCTACATGTCAGGTGTGTGTTTGTGTTTATAGAATCATATTGCCCTTGGACGTTTTTTGCAAACAATGGAGGATCATGCCAACATCACTCTTCCACACAATTTGATACGAAAGGCATTTTATCATTTTTCTGCTTTGAGGAAGTACTCCTATGAATATTCATGTGTCAGATGTGGCCACAGCCCTCCGGTTTTAGTTGCAGATGGAAACTGGAAAATTGCATTTGATTTACCTGGTAAGTGAGTGTATTGTTAATTGTGAGTGCATATAATGACTGGTCTTGATATATTTGCTTCTTTGCTCATTGTCTTGGTTGTGTATTAGCACATCTGTTTAAACGACCAAATTTGGACAAAATCTGCCAAGAAGATACTCAAGTTAATGTAAGAACAAGATGGGAGACACTTGAGAAGGAAATGACTGCTTCTGGGTTCTGTGATGGTAAGTGCTATTTTGGGGGTGGAGTGGGGGTACCCATAGCTTACATCCTGAAATTAAAGTCTTATTCTCCTTTTTCAATTTAGGCAAAACATTTGCCAATCCTTATTCACATCCCTTGACGTACACTGCCTTTACTCCATGGCTGGGTCAATGCTCTAGGGTAAGCGATATTATTCCAAAGACAGAAGTGTACAAAGGTCTGTCTCAGAAAGATCGGGCTTTCACCTCTAGCTGTTGCTTGGAGATAGATGAAGAAGCCATTTTGCAAGTGCTGGAATCCAAAACTGTATGTAGTGTACCTTATTCTGCTAATGATGTTTTCTTGTACCTTTTTATTTAAAATTTTTAACCATGACTTTTATATTTAGCCAAAGAAAGAAGCCTTGGTGAAAGCCTGCAATGCCCTGGGAGTATCACACATGGGTAGTACCACTGACTTAATTAACAGACTTGAGGAACTACTCCTTTACAAGGATTTGTACCCCAAAATGTTCGTAAAGCTTCAAAAGGCTGGTGGTAAGAGATTGTCATATGTTGTATTTTGTGTTTATTTATTTCTTCTGCCATTTTGAACAATTAAATCTTAGGTCATATGTAATGCAAAAATCCTGTACATAATACAATGCAAAAAAAAAAACCCACACATTTATTGAAGGGTTAGTTCACCCATTTAGGAAAATGTTGTCATTAATCTCACACCCTTATGTCGTTCTAAACCTGTAAGACCTTTGTTCATCTTCGCAATACAAAATTAAGATATTTATGAAATCCGAGAGGTTTCTGACCCCACCATAGAATGCAATGCAATATCCACTTTCAATGCCCAGAAAGGTAGTAAAAAGTCTGTTTCCAGTAGTTCAACCTTGATGTTACAAAGTGACGAGAATACTTCTTGCAGTGCAGCTCTTCCAGGTTCTACTTCAGAATGCCGCTTCACTATTGGCCGTCTCCTGTGTCAGCATCGCACGCATGTGTATGTAATGTATTGTCTCTTCAGTCTTCATAATATTAAGATTGAACCATCAAGGTTAAATATTTTTTTACTACCATTTTGGGCCTTGAATGTTGAAATGCTGTCTATGGATGGTGCAGAAACCTCTCAGATTAATTTGTTGCGGGTTTGGAACAACACGAGGGTGAGTAAATTATGATTAAGAAATTTAAATTAATAATTAAGAAATTTCAGATTTTGGGGAACTAACCAACCCTTTAAATATTCTTTACATTTCTTCTTTTTTTTCATGCATATGAAACATTTTGAGGATGTTTTCTTTTTAAATTAATAAACATTCATCATTTTTCTTTGTTTTGCCAAATGGAGGTGGTGTTTTGCACATGACCTGCCCACACTCTGTGGTGTACTACCAGTCAGCACTGTGGTGGCAAGAGTCTGCCCGTGATCATGGAGATGCTCTTTTGAGCTTTAAACACCCTCCCACAGTGTATGTGTCTGACATTGCTGGACGTGTTGCAAGACACGTTAATAATCGCACCAACCAACGTTTTTTCCAGCCACATGATGGACGACTTTGTGCAAACACTGCTGCACACATCCAGGCAGCAACAGAAAAACGACTCGAAGTCCGGTTCCCTTGGGTAACAAGTGTTGGCTTCTCATCAAGAAAAGTCTCTGAAAATGAGCCCACCTATTCTTCTGACACTTTGTCCTCACTGCATCCTGTGACAGGAACCAATGCAAGATTCTCCTTGTATGATCGGTTCCATCAAAAAAATCAAACCAGACAAGAGGAGATTTTGAGAAGTTTGAAATTGGCACCGCACTTAGCTGCTCTTGTTAATTCCTCCGTAGCTGAACAGCTTAACCGGGAGTTGTCTTCCAGCAGATATTCTTTGTGTCAAATGAGGGATGAACATTATATGTTCTCCCTACGACTGTTCTTTCATCTTCACAACAAAAGAGTTAATGAAAAATACACAAGTACTTTGAAGATGCAGGCAAAGCATTCCATCCACATTGGCCTACATGGGAAATTGACATTCAGGAGTGAAGGTAGTTATAGTTATTACTGATTTTTCAACATTGCCTCTAATGCCCTTTTAGATTTTCCCAATTAGCCATAAACAAATACATGTTTTTTTTTGTGTGTGTGCTCTACAGGTACTACCACAGAACTTCAAGAAGGTAAATTGACTTGAATCACTTAAGTAATTGTAAATATCAGGTTTAGGTTTTTATATAAATCATTATTTGGTAGCCAATATCCCAAATGTGCCATGTTTTAATGCTAAATACCTGATGAAATAAACAATTTTAATCATCATTACTTCACCATATTCTAAACTTCTTTATTTTGTAGTTCCACCAAGTTCACCAGAGCCTGACACAGATTGCTGGGGACGGATAAACATACGTGCCAGGAAGGAAACCTCAGATTTCCAGTTGCAAAACCAACCAAACCCACTAGTATGTTTTCACATAAGAAATATAATGTTTAAATGTATTATATACTGTCTTGATCAAAGCATACAAAGGCGTACTGTTTTGGTTATAAATATAGTTATCAAAACAGATTTTAGATTGGCTTTTATCTAAAATTTGACAAATCTGTCTGTTTTGTTACTGTCTTAGTTTGATCATGTTTTGGATGGGACCCAATCACCAGATGAAATCATTGGTGCAGTGGGTAAAACGGTGTTGAAAAGATCTGACTTTATGTCTTTAGGATTGAACCAGGAAGTGGAAGCAACAGTTAGTGGATATATTACACAACTTTGTTTTAATATATTTGAAGTAACTTGTTTTTTTTTTACTATTAACATTTCTGATCCTTATGCTATAGGTGATGAACTGTTGCCTTTCTCAGTTATCACACATTGCTGGAGAGAAGGTATCATGGGTGTCATTGACAAACCTGTTTTATATAAGCTAATAATGATGGTTATTACATGATATTTGTGCTGTTAAAATTCAGGGGGTTTTTTTCTTCTTTTTTGACAGGGCAAGGATGTTTATGTTCTTGATTCATATGTGGTGGCCACTTGGCAACCACCTCTGAATTGTGATCCATTTCTGTCCCTGCCAGTAAGTAGTGTTAGAAATTTTTGGTTTGGTGTCCTGCTTTAAAGGGACAGGCCACCCAAAGTTTTCACCCAAAAATACTGTTTTGAAACAACTTGAGGTTGAGTAAATGACATAATTTAAAATTTGGGGAGAACTATCAATTTTAAGTTATCATTATTATTACTTCTTATTGTAATTTCTCAGACAAATTGCCACTTTCCAATAATATGCTATGCTGTTCCTCTGTTCACTCCAACAGACCGATGCATCCTCAAAAGACTGCATCCTGTTTCCTATATGCAAATCAGGTCACTGGACCCTATGCGTAAGTTGTTGATTTCTTCAAATACCGTTCTTTTAATTTTGGAAATATCTTAATCCTTGTTATCCAAGACTTTGCCTGACAGCCATATTTGATATTGTTCATTTTTATGGTCGTCATGATTAAGCATATTCATTTTGTTTTCCCTCTTTATCGTTAATCAAGATTGTATACTTGAATCAAGAAATAACAAACCTACACACAGGCAGTCTATATTGTAGGAAGTTTGCTTTGTGTATTCTGCAGGTATTGCTCCCGAAACTTAAAAGGATACATGTCCTCGACTCCACTGACCCTAAGGGTTATGGAGATACTGACTGTGTATCCATGTTCAGGTTTTCATACTGTATAATTCCATTCTATGGAGTTCCGTTGAGCAAAAAACTGTTCTGTGTTCCAGTTGAAGTTTTATGCTTGTGTATATGTAATGTAATATTTGTTTATTTTATAAATCAATACAAAATATAATGGAACTGTTCATTGTTCCATATAGCTTTCACCCCCAGTTTTACAGACGAGTCTCAAACTAGTCCCACACTAAAATGCAGGTTTAACTGAAAGCAACTTGCACTTGCATGTCTTAATGTCAGTGCCATTGTTTCTTTTAATATTCACAACAGTAAAACATTTCAGGCTTGTTTTTAAAAGCTACTTCAATGTCTTAATTGAACTTGGGCCTAGTCCTGGCATAATCTAAATCCAGTCTGTGAAACTGGGCTTCAAAATTTTAAAGTCCAGTGGTTCAGTTCAACATTTTTTTTTCTGGCTTTAGATGGGCATAGACAGTGGCATTTTAAATAAATTAATTCCACCTGCTCCCTAGTTCAGGTAACGGTCATGTCTATGCCGGTCGATCTCGTTCTCTCTCTCTCTCTATGCTTATCTCGTTCTCTTTCTCTCTATCTCTCTCTCGTTCTCTCTCATATAAAATAACTAACTTTTACCTTCTTTTTTAAGCACAATCGCAATAAAGATGGTTCCAGGATCTTGGAAGCTGGTTAAAAACAAGGTATTGATTTCATGTTGCAACAATTGATGTATTTGGTATCTTTTTAGTGTGTAAATAAAGTGTTTATTTTTCCTTTTTCATTTGTTTTCTAGGGTGTTCCAGCACAGTCAGGATCTGTGAACTGTGGAGTATTCATGCTAATGGTAAGTAATTACGGTGGTCTTTATTTCCCCATAACATTTATTTTAAGGATAACCAAACATCCATAATTCTCAAAAGGCTATCAGGCTGATTCCAATGAAAATAGATTTTTTTTTCCCCAGGTATTGATAAGTTAATAATTTGATCTATACTTGTAATTGTCGAAGCGCTATTTTTTTTTTATATAGCATATTAAAATTGTCCTTTTTTTGTCTGTGCTTTTTAAATGCAAATGAGCTGCTTCTCCCAACACAGACTGCGGACCCTCAACAGCTGTTTTTAGCAAAGCCATATAGAGCATCATAGTCCCCACAAAGCCCGAATTTCCCAATCATTTCTCCCTTTGACGTTTTGTAAAATCCATATCTAAAGAGTTTGACGATAACCAGCTACGGCTGAACTGAGGTGTCTCAGAGGTGCGACCTATGAACTTAGCCCTACGTCATTACGCGATCTTCAGTCTTCACGTGCCTTCGCGGGGTTTCAGACACGTTACACAACTTCCACCAATCAGATACATCACTGTGGGATTGTTCAGGATTGTGGGTAATGAAGTACTTATCCAATACATCGCGAATAAAAGGCATTTATCTCAAAACAAGGTTAGTGGCCCATGATCTTTTGGCGTTTGTATGAGCATATACAATCTCTACAGCCCTAGCTGGTTTTAAGTCTACCATGTATGGTTATGTTTTTATGGCTTATATCTCAACTGTCAATGAAGAAATTGTATTGAATTTTTACTTCCAGCACCGGCTGTGGGCGGGACTGTGATGCTCTATAGAGCCCTTTGTTGTGTTGTGGGTTTATGTAAATTTTTATGGTCTGTGAGTGTCACTAGCCCAGGAGGAAGCTTGTGTAGTCCCTACCAGTTGTTTGTTGTAGTCCTTTAAATTATTTCTTTATAAAGAGAATTTCCATTAGCTTTGATCGTCATAACTTATCATATTGCATAATGTTTATACTCGATCAGCAACATTACACTAAAGTTAGAAAAGTTAAATCATAATCAACCACCCCTTTAAAAATGTGTTCTCTGTTTGACAGTATGCACTGTACATGGTGTTTAACTGGGAGTTTGACTTTACCCAGGTAAGCACCATCCCTTCTCTTAATATTTTTAGGAAAGGTATTACTTTTGGACATTTTAAACATCCATTTCAAAATTAATCTTTTGCTTTTCAGAATGATATGGCCCATATCAGGCGGTGGTGGGTGAATCTGCTACTGTCAAAAATGACACATGGAAGGTATAGATTTTTTTTTTTTATATTGTTTCCAAAATAGTTTTTATTTACCTATTCTAAGTAATGCTTGGTAATGAAATGCATGTTGTTTTTGTTTTTAGAAAGAGGAAGTGCACATCAGCCATGCCAGTCAGTGAAGAGACAGAACGAGAGGAGGCAGGACAAGTACCAAACATCGAAATCTTGATGGTAGTAGTACATTCAATATGACGGAAGCAAAGATTTAACAGATTTCAAAGCCTTTATTATCTCACAAACTATCATAGTAGCTTTATGACATATTATTGTTGAATTAAATGTTTTCAGGTATTACCTGCACCCATAGGATGCATAATTTGTACCAATGGAGATTAGGTCATGATGTTTGGAAATGGTAGTATTAATTTTTTTTGTTTTGTTTTTTGTAACACCCAATAGTTGCCGGACGCTGTCCTGTCTGAAATTCTACTCCTCGTGGTCCTTGAGGAGGGGGATTCTGGATTGTTGAATCTGTCTTTAGTTTGTTCTAAATTCAGAAGTCTGGTGGATACAGACTCATTTAGGAGGAGGGCACACTTCTGCTGGCTTGACAGTATGTATTTACTTTTACACATTTGATTTAAATGTGGTTTAAATGGTAACTGAGAAATGTATTGGTAGCCTATGTCAACATGTCTTCAATTATTCCCTTTTTAATCATGTTCATTTTTATGCTCCTCAAATTAAAATATTCAGGTGTAACAAATTGGAGAGGGAAGACTTGTCAAGAGTATTATCAGATGTACACACTGCAGCCCTGCAGACACTGCAATGACATTTACAAGAACTGCTTACCAGGTGTATCAATTATGAATGAAAATGTGCTTAATGACAAAATGGAATTATAATAGTCATTCATGTGGCTGCATCCATGTGTCCTGTTAAGGTAATTTGGATATTAATGTCACAATTTTCTTATGAATCCTCTAGGTTATGTTGGAAGAGGAAAACGAGGAGAAATCCAAGGCTTTTACTCTGAAAACACCCATCCAGGGTTTTGCAGTGATTGGTGTCAGCTGCTGGAGAGTGAAAATTCATTCACTCTTCCAGGTCCAGTCTAAAAGCCTACTTGACTATCCAACTCGTCTAATTGCGTAGGACATATAAGATCGGTTCCAACCAGCACACAGCTTGTTCCGCCTGCTTCAATCGGGTAGGAGGTACCGCCTCTTCTCAGGCAGTTAGACTGCTGAATAAGAACCACCCCGGCTACCTCTTCTCACCTAATCCACTCACTTAACACTACCCAACAACTACAATAACGTGAACTGGACTTTGCATTGTTGCAGCTGCACAAAAGTGACTGTTCTGGTTCATGGTGACTGTTTGCCTTATCCCTTGTTTTTGTCGCTTTCCCCGTTTCCTTGCTATTGTTGATCTCACTTAATCTGTCTATTATTTATATTATCAAACATTGCAATAATTGTGACTGGACTTTGCATCGCTGAAGCACATTCAAGTATACAACATCTTTTTCTGGTTACTATTGATTCTCTGCCTCATACACTTTATTTTTTTTATCTTTATTCCTGTTTGATATCTGCCGCTGTGCCTTGTTACAAAATATGCTCTTGTTGATCTTATTCCTCATAAATTGCACTGTCGACTGATGCCCTAATGTAATTTTGTTGTAACACTGCAATGACAATAAATTGTTAAGATGATCTTTAACTAAAATTATTTCCTTCTAACTTTGCTAATCTAATAGAAGAGCTCAAGTCTGAGAAACACCCTCCTCAGTCTGTTTTCTGCGGACCAGGTTGCCTTACGTGATAGGATTAACAGAATTATACTTTTGTATTTCTTTAATGAATAAAGTGAACATTGTACTACTTTCTGAGGAGGGAGTGTTTTATCAGTTTGTTTTGGTAGTTTGTCCTGAATAATGGTGAGCCTAAGCCCTTTATAACCTTGGAGGGTGTGTGTGTGTGTGTGTTGAATGCAGGTCTTGTGATATGCAACAACAGACCATGAGATGCATTTCTACGACTTCCAAGGTCATTGCTGAACCAAGTTTTGGACTGACAATGGGCTTTATGCCCAGCTGCACTACTTCCTGAACTTCAGCCAGCTCCTTGTTTCCGGTCTGCTATTATTGGTCAAATTGATTAATTCAGGTGTGCTTAACCTCAGTAGTCATGGCAATAATAATCAGACACACCTGAATTAATCAATTTGTCCAATAATGGCAGACAGGAAACAAGGAGCTGGCTGAAGTTCAGGAAGTAGTGCAGCTGGGCATAAAGCCAATTATCTTGATTAATGTTGACTTGAGCACCTATCCATAAGTGTAGAATTGTTTAGACCATCTCCTTGTGAGATTTTTGACGCCTGGCTCTACTGATGAAACTGCAAACTATTCTTCTGTAAATGTTTACTTATTTGATTGAATCTCATGACTCCTAGTCGTTCATCATATCCTGGGTCTTTAAACTATTATCCTCTAACACTAGAAACATGGTATATCTTGTTAAACCATGATATAACATTATACAACTTTTTCAAACTTTCTGGCTAGGCTTTTTCAAGCCAGTTTTATTGGAATTTTACTGTCTTGTTCATGACTGCTGATCATTCTGATTTCAGAACAAATATCAAGCCTACTTAAAAAGTTACAGCTGCTTAATAAACAAATACAAGAATGTTTTAAGTACTGCAAGTGTAAAACTGAACTTAATGATAGCAAAATATTATCTTAAAGGTCACTGAGACAATGTTATTTTTATATTTTAGACAGGACTTTCATTAAGTTTAATGAATGTTTATGTACACAGCAATGAATGCACATATACTTCATTATTTAACAAACATGTATAGTCATAAGTTATATTAATACACATACAAATGCATAATTTCAAGTGTAGCTTTTTTGTTTCTTATGTCTATGATGTTTGTAACTTGAATTTAAGCGAATAATATAAAATAATTACTACTTAAAGTATTTTATGTAAATAGTTAATAAAATTATACAAAATTAATGTATAATTTTATAATTATAATAAGTTAAAACCGGCATACACCTCCGATTTCCGGTTATTAGCGGCAGCTGACATCCGGTTTTATTGGCAGGTATGGTCAGCTGTCAACGGCAGCTACTTCCTGCTGCCAGTGACAGCTACTTCCTGCTGCCAGCTGCCGATTTTTCGCTGAACCCCTCTCAAAAAAACCGGACTTCTATCAAAGAAAACATTTTCAATCAAAGAAAAGCAGTGTTCAAATGTATTTTTTTGAGTCTCAAATATATTTTTGGATTCAAATACTTTTTTTCTTTGATTGAAAAGTTTTTTTTTCATTGAAGTGAAGGTTTTTTTAATTGAAAATATTTTTTTTGATTGAAGCAACATTTTTTTTGATTGAATAATAAAGACACAAATCTACCTTCATATGTGTGTAAACAATCGAGAAAAACTGTAATCAAAAACGAGAAGGCCGTCTCAGCTTATGAATATAAATTAGGTCAATCTGATGTTATTCGCTGATAGAGCGGAGAGTCACGTCAAAAGTTAATTATTCATGAGTCGTACGGCCCTTTCACAGAGACCACGCCCATTTACACTGTTCAGAGCGCCCTTTCAATAAAGCTTCCTCAGTTTGAATCATCATGGCAGCCGGTGAAGCGTCCTTGGTGGCGCTTGGACTCCACTTCTGTAGGAAAAACAAGCTTCTGTCGAAGTCAACCTTGCCTAGTATTATCAGCTGTATTAGAAGAGGTAAGGGTTTTTTTGTGACAAGTGAATGACACTAATGTTTTTATGATAAATGTCGTTACGTTGACATTTGACACTGACAACCTGACAAGACAAGAACACCAAGTTTTTAACTTTAGATAAATAAGAGACATGTAAATCTATGTATGCATGTATAATATATGTGTATGTACTACAGTACGGTATGTAAGTTATGTACAGTATGTATGTTTATATGTATGTACAGTATAGTGTATATGTATGTATGTACAGTATATTGTATTTGTATGTACAGTACAGTATAGTATGTATGTATGTATGTATGTCTGTCTGTATGTATGTACGTACAGTATAGTAGGCCTATGTGTGTGTGTATGTATGTATGTATGTTTGTACGTACGAACAGTATAGTATGTACGTACAGTATAGTGTGTGTATGTATAGCATGTATGTACAGTATAGTATGTATGTATGTACAGTATAGTGTGTATGTATTTATGTACAGTGAGTGTGTGTATGTGTGCTATAGTCATCAGGTACTGTTTGCCCTCATTGTCAGGCTTTTTGTTTCTCATCTCTGGGTATGTTTATTATATTTAAATCACGTCTGACAACTTGCTCCAATCAGACATTTTTATAATACTCTTATCGTGAGGTTCTAGTGTTCTTGAACTTCATTTGTATGTAGCTGAACTTGACTCTTGTCTTTAATATGTGTCAGTGTGTTTTTTGTTTTGTTTAAGTAGTTTTTACTGAAAATATGACATTAATATTATTTTACTTTGTAGGGCTGAATTCACATAAATTAAAGTTTTGAAAAAAAAAAAACGTAACTCTTGAAAAATGCAACTCTCTATTTAAAACCTTGTAGTTAGTGACATAAAACTTTTTTGACTACTAGCCCCTAAACTAGAAACTTAACAGTGTTCCTTCAATATTAGAGAAATAGACATGCTGCAGTCATGCAGATCAACATATGCCCTCTTGTTTAACTCAATCTGGTGAAACACTTTTCTATCCTGAAGGTCTTGCCACAAGTGTGCTGTCTCAGACTGTTGAAGAGCCCAGCGCCACGACCTCTCCAAGCAGCAGTTTTGGCGGACCCTTGGAGCATTACAACAGTCTGATTCGAGATGGACAGTTACGAGAAGATCTGCAGCAAAGGGCTGTTATGGAAAAACTTGAACAGATGCAAAAGAATCTTCGAGGGTACAGCAATGACCGCTCATCGTTTTTTTCAAAGGTAAACTGGCCTAAATCTGCCCAAATATACCCTGCAGATACTGGGAAAGTTTTTTTTTTTTTTTTTTTTTTTTTTTTAACTTAAACTGTATATGTTATTGATTATTTTGCAACAGTTCATCTCCCAGAGAAAGCCACCAAAAGGGTATTACATATATGGAGACGTTGGTAAGTTTTGCAACGTTATGTCGTGGCTTTCACATAAACAGATAAACTTAATTGTACTGGAAATAAATTGCTCAGTTCTTGATATCAATATGAAATTCCTTATTTACAGGAACAGGAAAAACTATGGTTATGGACATGTTTTATAATTATGTAGAGACAGAGAAGAAAAAAAGGGTCCATTTTCATGGATTTATGTTGGATGTACATAAACGTAAGTTTGTTATGACTGATCTTTTAGTTCAGTTTTTAATGAGACTCTGTAAATAAACCTGTACTTAATTAATGTTTGTGCACTGATAATTCTGGTCATTTTATATTCATTCATTTATTGTTTTTACTATATTTATTTAATATATTTTATGACTACCCCATAACATTTGGCATCTATTAAACTGGCAGCACAACATATTTTCAATGTCAATGTCACATTTATTTGTATAGCACATTTCCAAGGCCTAGGCCTACCAAAGTGCTTCACAGTTAAAAGCACAAAACAATAAACAGAGACTGATACACTAAAACACAATAAGTAAAGAAATAAATAAATAACAAATACTAAGAAATAGAATACACATAGATCAAGGCGGCTCCCCTGTGCCAAACGCTAATTCAAATAAATAAGTCTTCAACAATGATTTAAAAATGGACAAGCTACTAGCAGTCCGCACGTTATTTTCACGTGGTTTATTTATTTATATTTTTAAGCAGAGGCTAGAAATTGAGACAAGATCCATTATTTAGTATATATTAAAAATTTGAGGGACTGAAATATTCCTGGAGCCCAAAAAAGACCCATGTATGATTATACTGATGCCAAAACAGTAAAGTTCCCATTATTTGCTCTCACTCAGATAGAGTCATGTTTGTGTAGGAATCCATCGGCTCAAGCAAAGTTTACCCAAAAGAAAAGCTGGGAAAATGGCAAAGGCGTACGATCCTATTGCTCCGGTTGCAGAAGAAATCAGTGAGGAAGCCTGCCTTCTGTGTTTTGACGAGTTTCAGGTGAATGTTTCACTTTGTAATTGTATCATTGCAATCTAATCAAGCTTTGTGGTCACTTCAGTGTGCTGAGATCTTCCTAAGTTATCTTTTAAATCCTCCCAGTGGCAATCAAACTGGTACAGAGAATAAACAGTATTGATTTTTAAGGTTTCTTTTGCTTTCTCTGTTCATTAGGTCACTGACATCGCAGACGCCATGATCCTTAAGCAGCTCTTTGAGAACCTCTTCCTTAAAGGGGTGGTTGTTGTCGCCACGTCCAACCGGCCTCCTGATGGTATGAAGCAAATAACCAAGAGTCAAAATATTGATATGTTGTCACTGGAGTGTTTCATTCGGGTGTGTATGGGTGACATAGTTGCTTGTACTATCATTTCGTCAGTGTGTTGCATTTGCAAGTTTGATTTATGAACTACCAATAGTTATGTTTCCATTGACCTATTTTTATGCAAATTTGGGATATTACTTTAAAAAATGGTTGGAAATGCCAAGATGCACAAAAATTCGAAAAATGTGTATAAAAAGTAAAACGTATGCGCTCAATTGAGGCAGATCTTTTTTTTTTTTTTTTTCAATGAGAATACATGCGAATAAACTACGATTAAAACACATACCAATTAAATCCCTTGATGTGCAAGAAAAAAAACCTCACTGACTTAGACTCAACAGAGGAGGATGTGTTTGGACTACAGGACTAACCATCGGATCAATTTCACAGCATTTCAAATGTTGGTTTGGCCACTCTGAAATGCCCATGGCATCAAAACGATTTGGTATAATTACCTCTCAGAACTGTCTCACACGATTGCGTTCCCAAATATCAGGCATCTGAACGCTAGATAAAATGACATTGCCTTTCGTCTGTGTGCTCTAAGGCCCAATTAATTTATGATGTACTGTAGGAAAAAAAAAACACAGTGGCTTCCGCGATTGAAGTAAAGTGAAAGTTTGGAAACCTATACTTGGAATTTTTTCTCTGCATTTAACCCATCACACATTAGGAGTAGTGAACACACTCACACACTGCAAGCCGTGGACACACACCCAGAGCAATGGATAGACATTTTTGCTGAAGCGCCTGGGGAGTGATTGGGGGTTAGGTATCTTGCTCAAGAGCACCTCAGTCATTTCCTGCCAGTGTTTAGAATCAAACCCACAACCTAAGGGTTGCAAGTCCGACTATCCAACCATTAGGCCTCAACTTTCCTTTTTAATAAAGACATTTTGCACGAATTTCCCTGGAAGTGATTATTTTCTAACTGCTTTATTTGCAAATTTCTGATACTATATTACAATTTTGCACATAAGTTAAATTCGCAACTTTAGATGTAAACACAGCTAGTGACTGTCCTAGCATCACAGAAGTGCAGTTTCTTTCAATAACTCTTACCTGCCAAATTTCCGTTTGTACTGAGAACAATATCTTGTTTTACAGATCTGTACAAAAACGGATTGCAGAGGGTGAACTTTGTGCCATTCATCGCTGTGCTAAAGGTAAGCACTTCAGCATTGTTTCTTATCTAATACATTTAGCACAGTGTGGATTGCTCTTACTTGCTGTACTTGATGCGCTTGTTGAACTTATGGTAATATGATCAGAAAAGTTTAAGGCTGTGAAACGATTAATCGCGATTAATCACATCCAAAATAAAAGTTTGTGTCTCTACATAATATATGTGTGTGAACTGTGTATAATTATTTTGTATATATAAATTCAAACACATACATATATATAAATAACACATTTTTCTTAAATATATACAAAATATTTATGTATAGTACAAATTATATATATATATATATTACAGTATATATAAGCAAATATTTCTTAAATGTATACATGCGTGTGTGTGTATTTATATACACAAAATAATTATACACAGTTCACACACATGTATTATGTAAACACAAACTTTTATTTTGGATGCGATTAATCGTTTCACAGCCCTAAAAAAATTATAATGCCTGTTGATTTTGTTCTTTTGTTGGAACAAGTACTGTATGTAATTCACTGGTCAAATGTCTTTTAAACAGGAGTATTGCCAAACACTACGCTTGGATTCTGGAATAGATTATCGGAGAAGAAATTGCCCTGCAGCCGGGAAACTCGTCTACCTGTGAGTAAATGCATTATGTTGTGCAAAATGAGATGTTACCGCATTAGTTTAGAGCAGTTTAGTTATGCAAGTTGACTCATTCTTTAAACACAGACATGCATCTTTAAATTGATTCCTGATATTTAAAGCTGTGTAATAAAGTGTAATTTCTGCGCCACTAGCATTACCAAACAAGGTTTCAAAAATAATCATATCCAAAACATTATAGGTCCTTTCACATTGTCATTGTCATTCGGTAAATTATGACACTTTTAATGCAAAGTTGACATTGTTTAAAATGTCTTTGTTATGATAACTTGACATTAACAAAGACAAAAATGTCTTGATTATGACAACTTCACATAAACAAAGACAGAAATGTCTTTGTTATGACAACTTGACATTAACCAAGAAATTATAACTAGTCCAACGTGTTCGACTTCACTTGAGGTAAGGAGAAATATTAATGACTCTATTGTTAAAGCATTTGACAGTGTAATTACCCTTAAAGGTGCATTGCGCAACATTTCATGTTAAAAATAGCCGTTTTCTAACCCATACATGCTTAAACAATCACCTGTTGAGCTGAATGAGCCCTTCTTTGATCACTGAGATCGCCTCTATAATCCTGTACAGTGAAATATATAAGAGGGATTCGGGCTCGAATCTGAGACTGGCCGTGACGTCATGCGCATTCACGCTCGCCTGGCTATGTCTGGCAGGTTTGTGTAGCTATTCGCCGCCGTTCTCCGTATCAGAGAAGACAACCCCAGCGACACAACTCTAGTCAGCTTTCCACAAAAGTAGACGATGGGTTCAAAGGGGCTGTTTACACCTGGTCACTTGATGCGTTTTCTGTGATCGGATAGCTATTCGATCGTGAAAAGACCAGGTTGCCCTCCGAAACGCATTCGAGACGGATTTGAATCCGATCGCTCAAATCACTTGAGGACGTGGTCTGGGCCGTATTCCAGACAAAACTGGACAAGTGTAAATGCATCTGGTTGTTGAAACCAAGCTATATGTCATGTTATTTTAGTCATATGACGACGCGCATCACCTCAGATGAGCAGCTGAGCGCCTATTCATCAAGCCAGCGAGCCGCAATCTATCACAAATCAAAGGGAAAGTAAGTCGCAGACGCTTAACACTACAATCTTCATTAAAAGTAAAGAAATGAAATGATCTTACCAGGGCTGTTGCCGATCTCTCTTATTGCTCTCTTTGCTGATTTTGAAGTTAGCCGATGATTAATAAAATGCAGCTCATATCTGTTGCTTTCAGTGACGTGCACTTCATTAAATCTGTATATGGCGCGGAAAGAGACCGGCTTATAGTTCATTCCAAACCCCAACGCAAACTCCACGTGAGACAGAGAAAATAAAACTTCAGTCTGTCCAGTGCCAGGCGTCGGAATAAGACGAGAGTCAACATCGAAGAGGCTTTCAACAAACGGAGAGATCTCCGGTCTGCTCTAGGGCTCAAACGGGTCCTGTACAAAGTGATAACTGAACGTGTTTCCATAATAATTCAATCATAAGTGGATACAGTAAGCACAGGGAGATAGATGGAAACAAAAACGGAAGTTTTCTACTACCCCCGTTTCCCCCTCTCACACACATAAGTGTGTAATTTTCTCGAATGCCTTTCCTTTCATATATTTTAAATGACCTGCAGATTTATTACTGTATTACCTCATTATGACTGTAACTAAAGATGTGTGCCGCACAGTGTGCGGCTGATGCTCCTTAGGTTATGAACAGCTCGTGCAAACGTGCGTATGTGTGTGTGTGTGTGTGTGTGTGTTCCTCCATGAACGCGCACAGCTCTGGTTGCAGTTTCGCTTGTCGCCAGAGGGGGCGTAGTTCTGCAAAAACTCAGATACTTGCGTTTAGCTCCTTTAATGACATCTTTATAACTAGTACAATGTGTTCCACTTTACTTGAGTACAAGTAAAATATTCCTGTCACAGTTATAATGGTGTCATGACAACCAAAGTTAAAACCAACCATAACATATGACAGGGTTATGTAATGTTTAGGGCTGCAACTAACGATTATTTTGATAATCGATTAATCGGACGATTATTTTTTCGATTAATCGGATAAAAAATTTATTTCATTTTTTTGTTTATTATAACTAAATAAAACCCTAAAAACCACACTCTTTTGTGTGTTAAACAATCTTCTTAATACAGACAACTTCATTATATAGAAAAACAACAAATAAAAAAAATATATATGACTATAACCTATGACAAAAATGCTATTGTAAACTAGATTAGTGGATAACTCAGAAAAACTTAGCCTAGAAAAATCACAAGTGCACAATAATTTTATAAAATCTGAACATTTAGTGAAAAAAACATTCCTTAGTGGGGAAAAAATAAGAGACAATAAGTGTAGCACTATCTCTGGTAAAACGTTACACATTGCTCTTTGTATTGTTGTTATACATTCATGAAAAACATCGTAAAAATCAGATGCACAGCTGTTTAGTGAGGAAGCAATATTGACTGTGTATTATACAGTATCTTTGCAATAGTTTATTCAGCCTTTTCTTTTAACAGTTTTAAATTTCATTTAGGCTACTGTGCACGTGAAGAACAATTATAGTGCGCCGAGTCTACTCTAGTGTTGTGATCTAACAGACACTCAGTAGAAAGTGATTAAGTTACAGCAATAAAAGTCTAGCAAGATAGTCATTATATTACGAAACCATAGACCTTTATCTACGGATCAATTATAATAATAACATTGAATCATCTTGGAAAGAGTTTCATCATGTTAACTGTTGTAACGCGACGCGCTGTTTGAACACCGAATAGAGAATGACTGACAGCCGCAGTGGAGGGAAAAGCTTACGTTAACTTGAATTTAATGACTTAAATATACATTTCTATCTCACATTATACTACAGTATGGCTTCATAAAGTATACACGATTAACGCAGGTCACATATTTTGGTTTCAAAACGGCGAATTTGCCGAAAGGTAAATGATTTTCGTGTATGCTGCATATTGATAGCGGTTTCCTGATGCCCGCAAATTAGTTCAAACTCACGGAATCAAGAATGCGCATGCGAGACAGAAGATAATGTGCTCCAAACCGTCCGTGTTGCGCACAGACCGGCGAGGAAGAGAGACTGCGTGTGTGCCTCATGAAGCGCACGTAAGAAGCGCATGTAAGAAGCGCATGTAGCATGTAAACAATCCCCGTGACGTAATCAGACCAACTAATCGATAATGACATTCGTTGACAACGATTTTCATAATCGATTATAATCGATTTTATCGATTAGTTGTTGCAGCCCTAAATGTTAACACAAAGCTAAATAACTTCTTTAAGTTTGATAATGGGCTATATGCACGCATAAGTTCCGCATTTGACGTAAGGATGCTCGTCCATTTCCGGTTGTGTAGATTAAAGCGGAGGAAAACCGGAGAAAACGGGATTATGACAGAGTCTTCAATATTTACTGTCCTCTCGTCTTTGAAACGAAACGTACATACGTTTAGATGTAATTTTATATATAGTTATGTTTATTTAATATAATTTTAAAAAGAAGCATAAACACAACGAGGGGTGTCTGTTTTATCTGTTTTTGTGACTAACGTTTCATTAGTATAACCATGGAGTATTAAATTCAATATAAATTCTCGGGATTGCATTGGACTCTATGATCGGCGGAAGTTATCGAGCATCCTTAATCCTTCACCGGAAATAACGCCGTGCATAGAGCCCATTAGACCTGTTATGACATAACTGTGACAGGTTGACAGGTTATGATTTCTTAATGTTAAGTTGTCATGAGAAAGATATTTTTTTTCTTGGTTAATGTCAAGTTGTCATAACAAAGACATTTTAAACAATGTCAACTTTGCATTAAAAGTGTCATAATTTACCGAATGACACTTAATGGCAACAGTCATAAACATTCATAAAGACTCCTTCATATTCATGACAGGTGTTATGTCATGTTTATGACAGTGTCATGTCAGTCTTGTGCACATCCCTTCAAATAAAGTGTTACCGTCACTTTATATTAAGATTGAATAGGAATAAGTATTTAACATCCAAAACATGACATGCTTCAGCCTGAACAGTGAGTTTTAGCCCTTTGACCAAGTATCTGTGAAAAAAAAAGTTGTATTATGGAGTGAATTATTTATCAAAACTTTTTTTTTAATTTAGTTCCAGTGAACCCAATGTTGATGCAACACTCGACAAGCTGTTTGATGACATGGCCTTTAAACAGAATGACAGTAAGTTGGTTGCTGATGGTTCTGGTCTTGTTTAAGTAGCTGATGGTGGATCAGTAAAAACACCCTAACAAAAGAATTTCTTAAGACAGACCATTAGATGTCATAGTTCTACAGATGTGAATGTGAGTTGCCATTATATATACAGTGTGTATATATATATATATATATATATATATATATATATATAATTGCACCCAAAATTCAAAATTTGTGAATTAAGATTTTTTATTTTTTATTTTTTTACCAGCCATGTTATGCATTTGATTCAGGTTAATTTTGTTTATCACAGTTACCCGACCCAGATCTCTAAAGGTAAATGGAAGGATACTGACGCTTGACAAAGCATGTGGGACCATAGCAGACTGCACCTTTGAGGAGCTGTGTAACCGGGTAAGCTTGTGTTTTCCATGCCAACTCACTTTCAGTCATTAAAATGAACTAGAATCAGTGAGTCTTGTGTTGTTTTTTAACTCTTAGCCCATAGGAGCCAGTGACTACCTGGAGATGTGTGCTGTGTTTGACACAATTTTTATCCGAAACATTCCTCTGCTTACTTTGAACAAGAAGACGCAGGCCAGACGCTTCATTACTCTCATTGACACACTATATGAGCACAAGGTAAGTCATGAAACACTTGTGGTTTTTGTTGAAAGGTCTTAAAGGAACCTCTGACCTCTGAGTTTGGTGGAATCTCTCCACAGGTTCGTGTGGTGCTTCTAGCAGAAGCTCCATTAGATGAGCTGTTTGTTTGGGAACATCACGACGATCATGATCATCATGACACTCATGTTTTATTGGATGATCTGGGCATTACAAGGGTAATTGACAAATATTAAAATCTTTGAGAATCTGTCCGTCCGTCCTTACTTGCGTACGTACACATTTGCAGTCAAAAATATTCAACCCCCTGGAGACTGTAAGAATTTATAAATGTAGGCTTGTTAAGGTATATGATAAATATATTATTTAGCCTATGCATGAGCAAAAGTTCAGAATCAAATATGGCCAAGTCAAAAGAGCTCTCACAAAAGCTATAGAGAGCAAATTGTTTTATTACATTAGAAAGTCTGTGGCTACGATAAGGTTTCCAAACCACTTAAAAATTCCTAGAGACTCAGCTGGCAGCCTTATTCATATGTTTAATATTTGTTGTACCAGAAAACATTTGAGGGTGTTGAAGAAAAGGCACAATATTATTAAGGGGAATAAAATGTTTGATCAGAGCAACTGAGAAAAAAACCCTCTTAAAGACTTGCAAGATGGTCTCATGAAAGGCGGAAGAAACATTTTAAGAGCATAAGAAGAATACTAGACAAGCACAAACTTCATGTTGGGACATCTTGCCAAATGCCACTCTTGACCAAGAAGAACATAAAAGGACAACTTGAATATGCTGAAATGTTGACATGTGGAGTTCTGGAAGAATGTTTTATGGAGTGATGTGATGAAACTGGAACTTTTTGGACCCATGGATCAGTCTGGTGCAAAAAAGGCAAAGCTTATTAGCAGAAGAACACCATCTTCATGGTCAAACATTGAGGCGGGCCAGTCTTGTTATGAGGAGCTTTGATGTTGCAGGAAGTGGAAATCTTGACTGTATGAAGGACATCATGAATTCTTTGAACTATCAAGCCATTTTGGCAAAGACGAGATGATGCCGAGACTGAAGCTTGATGATCAATGGACTTTCCTGCTGGACAGCCATCCGTACACATCCAAATCTACTTAAGCTTGGTTCAGGGATCAGTCACAAGTGGCCTATACAATCTTCACAATGAAATCTCATTGAAAATATGTTGTGGAATTTGAAGAAAGCAGTGGTGACGTGAAAACCAAAGATTTTCTGTGACCTGGAAGCTTTTTAAGCGAGGAATGGGCGTAGATTGCAGTAGAGACGTGACTGAAGCTTTTAAGCACTTACTGGCAGCGTTTATTGGTGGTTATAAAGAATAAAAGATTCTCCATAAAGTTTGAATCTTGGGGGTTGAATAATTTTGCATACAAATGTTTAGAGCCAATTTTATTTTATTTTTTTCTCAACAACTACGTTCTCAAGAGTCACTCATTAATACAATTTCTATAAAAGTTTACTGATGGCTTTGTTGAATTGTTTTCATCGTTTCATCGCAGGTCAAGGGGATTTAATCATTTTTAAAGCAACTATTTCTCTATTTCATAAATTGCTTCTCAAGAAAAATGTTGACAACAGTTGTGTGGCTAAATATTTGTATAGAAGCCGTGATACATTGTTTTCGGGATCCTTTGATGAACAGAAAGTTCAAAAGCAACAGCAAATTTTTTGCAATGTTAAAAATGTCTTTACTGTCACTTTTGATCAATTTAATGCATCCTTGCTGAACAAAAGTATTAGTTTTTTTTTTTTTTAAGGAAAACTTTACAGACCAAATTCCAAGTTTTGACCAAATTCCAATCACATGAACTATAGTTTTTCATAATATGAAAAAATTTGAGGATATAATGAGCTAAATTATAGCTTTCGGTCCTATTACCTCCAATGCTGCCCCAAAACCGCCATTTGTTTCATTAATGTACTCAAAAAAATCTCATACCTGTAATACAACAGTATTTTAATGGTAAAATATCTAAACATAATGTTACTGCATGTAATTTTATGCTAATAACACTGTTGAAAACACTGTTGAGATTGGTTACGGTTGGTGGCGTGTGATTAATTGTCATTAAAATGTCACTGCATGAACCTACAAATGATAGACTAAGAAAAAATATGTAATTGAAAATAATACGTGTAGTTGATCTCTTCACATTGATTTGATTATCTCTTCTAATGTGTCAGGATTCAGGCAGCTCTCTGGCGATCTTCACAGGAGAGGAGGAGGTGTTCGCCTTCCAGAGGACGGTCTCTCGACTCACTGAGATGCAAACAGAGGAGTACTGGGTTGCAGGAGAGCGCAGCTCTAAGTAGCTTTTATCATTACTAACTCCATATACAGCTGACATCTCAACTATCATAAGACTCAGCCTCTCGTGAGGTCTTGGGTTCAGCTCCATTTTGATTTGGTGAGGACTGTATTTTAATCAGAACTGTATGGTATAATGCTGCACTTTATAAACGCACATGCAAAAATGAACGTGACACTTGAAAGATAGGCAGGTTTTTTTTGGAGGAGTCCGGATGCAAATCTGCCAAAGATGTGTTTAAAATCAGCCTGCCTTTCTGGTTTATAAAATGTTTTATTGAGAGGTTATTGATATGCTACGTATTTAAGATAAAATTATTTGAAGTTTAATTGATGTCTTTTTTAAAGCTTTCTATAGTGCTTCTGTTGCAGGTGCTTTATTCATTATTGTTTGCATTAATAAGAGACTATTAGTCTATTTAGGTCTAAGGAAGGAGACATGGTAACTTTGCAGAGCCGAGAGATTCATTTATTCATTGGTGATACTTGCTAAGTAAAGCTCATACTTAGAATTATGGATTTAAACAAACCCCAAATTCGAAGTATTACTTTTTGGTGTTTATACCTGAAGCACACATCGTGCATGAATGATGCCTCAAATTGTGTGGCTTGATAAGAAGTGTGCTATTACTATCTTTTGTGATCACTCATGCCTACTACAGACAGTGTGATTTCATTACAAATCACACTGTACAACATGGATCTAATAAATAAACTTGGGTACATATCGTACCCTGTATGTAGACTGTACGATGATGTCACCTATTGAGTCGTAGGCTCAGACACAAGTCAAGATAGTATAGAGGAATTAAACATCATCCGCATGCACTAGTGGTAAACAAATAGAGCAAGATGAACACACTTTGGCAATTGTGGTTTTTATGTGCTGAAAAAGAGGAGGAAGCAAACAGAGAATGTGGATGCGGTCATGGCTAGTGTCAAGAGGCCGACCTCGGCATGACAATTTTGCAAATGGAGCTCGAGGTAAGTCATTTTAAGTTTTAGCTCCATGCCGTGTTGAGGAATATGCCATTTCATGTTGCATTTTAAGTAGACGTACAGAAGTCACCATCATTGGTCATCTTTTGTCTGGGACAGCCCAAAATTATACAATGTGTACCGAGCATTAGAGAAGCAGCTGCATCGCAATGTCTTGGAAACAATTCTCATTTCTGTAATCAATTTTCATTTACTGTCCCTGTTATTCTAACATAATAAATAAAAATAAGTTGTATTGGCAGTAATGGACATTTAAATATATGTTTTAAATCATGTAAACGTCTGTGAGATAGACTACGGCAAAGAAAATCTAAGATTTTTCTTTCATTTCAAATGCTGCAATATGCATATTTAATGAAACTCACATATACACTGTACATATGTATATGTGTGTGATTAATTAAAATAATATTGCAGTAGATAACAATTGTAAATACATGATTTACAAACGCTCTTAATGGCCACATAAAAAGGTTTTTAAATGCACAATCTAATTCGTTTTTTTCTTTTCTTTTGGTTTAAAAAATATGAGATTCTCTGTTTTGGTGACAGATTTTGAGATCCAGTCGCGTGTTCTTCAGACGATGAAAACCTTTAGTTGCAGTCTACTGCAATGCTTAGCTTGTCTAGAAGAAAATGATTGGAGAGAGTGTATGAAATAAGAGCTCTTGTGATGGCATATCACATCAGTGTAATGTGCGTGGCAGTGGATCGCGAGCTTCAGCTCTGTTCTCCGGCCCTTTAAGAAGCAGTTCCTCTAACTGGATCCAGGGGGCGCACGACCCGTGTGTTACCGTTCTTTTCTTTAGTTTGCAGCGGAGCAGCAGCGCATTAGGGGCTTTGGTAGTGCTGGATCGCCCGGGTTGCGGGACGCAACGTCCTGCTCCGACATGGAAGAGGGATCATGGAGGTTTTTTGGGAAAAGCGGCGTGTTTGTTAGGACTTATTCTTGTTGATTTGCGGAGAGGCTGATGTGGAGGTATGACTTGATCATTTGAGGATACTTTCGCTAACGCACAGCCTTCCTAATCGCTTTAAATCCATTTTTTTTTAAAGACGGCAGCTGCGTTCGGAAACGAAGTATCTTTTACAACATGATGTAATGTTACAATGTAACACGTTTGCAGCGCGACGTCATGCAACAATGTAACAAATTCGAGCGTCCGCTCTGTTACACTCTTTATGCTTTTTGAACCACGGAAGCTTCATTAAACGAGCATTTTCGCTGGTTTATTTGTTTTCCTGCGGACTCTTAAAACTAACCAAATCGAGCGAGATTCTCATACGAATCCGTCTTTGTTGTGAGCGGACATAATGTACTTGAACGCATTTGTAAATATTCCTAAACATCTCATAACATCAATTCGATACTCGAAGTGTCCCGCATTGAAATGTGGACTCTAGAAGTGATCCATTAATGGCATGCACGAGGGCACTGCTGCCGTTGTGTTCAGAAAAGCCGTCCATTTCTCATTCATTTGAAGGAGTCGAGGAAATATGGCAGATGAGATAGATAAGCCCTCGGCTGTGGACGTGGACGTCGACATAGACCCTGATTTCGAGCCCCAAAAAAGGCCCAGGTCTTGCACCTGGCCTCTGCCCAGACCAGAGTCCAATGCTGGCAAAGCAGAACCAGGAGAGGTGGGAATCATCCCCGAGGAAGAGGTGGATGAAAATGGCACTGATGATGCGCGTGCATCTGGTGACATTACAGGCGCATCAAAGCCAGTCAGTGTCACAGAAGGAAATGAGAGTCCTACTGCTCTTGCCATAGAAACCAATGTTGCTCTCAGTGATAAAGACACCTATGGCTCTCCTGTTTCTTCCCAGCATGCTCTGCCCTCCGCCTGCAACGACTCAGGCGTCAATGGTCTGGTTCCTCTGCAGCCCAGAAAATCCTCTGCCCGCAGGAACGCCTGGGGAAACTATTCCTACGCAGACCTCATCACTCAAGCCATCGAGAGCACGCCTGAGAAGAGGCTGACTTTGGCCCAGATTTATGATTGGATGGTCCGGAATGTGCCATACTTCAAGGACAAAGGTGACAGCAACAGCTCTGCGGGATGGAAGGTACGTCAGGTCAAAGAGACGGGCTGGATTTTAACCTTGAGAGTGTTTATGTTTGTGATATATGTATCCATTTGTTGCAGGCAGACTTCTGTTACACTGCTTCATGGCCTTGCTTATATTTTTACAGGGTGGTAAAAATGCACAGATGCTGGAAATGTGGACTACTAGTCATGTCATGTGTGGTTTGCTGATTAAGTGAGGCTGCATTCATGCCAAAGGGCGTAACAGAAGATGCATTGAGCAAGGTGCCACTGATAAACTGTACATTTTAAATGGCCCCTTGCCTTATTTCCAAGTATTGAAGCTTGATAACAAACATAGTCATAGACAATATCTATAATATTTCCAATAATCTATTGTATCATCAATATGAATTGATTGTATATTTTATCTCTCTTTTTTTGAGTGTTGGCATTTTCAACGCTCTCTTCTCTTGTTCAATGTTTTATTTTAGGGATTAGCTGGGCTGGATAAACATGGAATCAAGTCTAATGAATGCTCTTGGTGTTTGAATTAGAGAAAAACCTCAGGAAATCCCTGTGCAATCCTGCAGATGTGTTTAGAAAGAAGATTCGGCACCTTCACAAACAAGCTATGCCAAGTGCGCTATAAGTGCTTGTTAATTTTTTATATGATTTGATGAGGATACTTATTTGAATCCGTTTTGAGGCAATGTTTGGTTTTCAAATTAAACGACTACAGTGATTCTGTAGTCATAAATCCTTTCAATTTGCGAAAGCATACATTTTGGTACGTGTAAGAAAAAAGGTCCGTTCTTCCTACCAATCAGATTTTACGAACGGCCAACATGTTCAGTGCAGATAAAGCATCCCTGCAGAGTGTTTGCATCTGCCTGCCACTGAATGAGGAAAAAAGAGAAACCATAGGCATATCGTCAGTGTCGGGCTTTCCATTGGCTGTTTGGTCCCCACCTCCACTTCCTATTGGCTCTCGGGTACAGCATAAGAAGCAATCAGCTGACTGGAAACTATGTAGGTCAGTGTGTAGCAACGTGTGAAGAGCTTTGGTGTTTGACTCTGAGATACAGCATTGTGTGTAAACTGGCAGAGCTCCAGTGCTGTTCTGAGTGGTGCTTTGCTCAAAAGGGACTGCATCATGGCTTTCAGATGATTTCAGCCCTTATTTTCATCCATTATAGTTATTCTTTATGGTCCTGTGTGGATTTAATTCAATAGAAAGCGGTACCACAGAATTTTTAAGATGATTTTCATTGCTAAATTTTCACATACCCTGACACTCTATTAAATGCTATGGGTTACTAATATGAGCAGTTTAGGAACGGGTAAATCTGTTAAGAATGCTTTTATCTCATGTCTTTCCCCTCAAATTCATGTTATCGTAATGCTGAACCCTCATTATATATCAATATTAACCTAATCTTTCATTGTAATGCAGATTTAAATTAATTATGAAGTGCATTTGTACAATTCTAAGCATGCGTCATGGTGTATTTGCTGAAGTGAATTGAACTTATTCTGATTTTGAGAGTAGGTTTTCCTCACATTGCAGTAATCAGGATAAAAATTAATCGTCACAATGCAAAAATAGGCTTAATTTTGAGGGGATCTGTGATTTTATATATGTCTTTATTTGTGTGATTTACACTTTGGTTACATAGTCACAGGAAATAGGGGGTCCTGGTGGCATACAGGTTAATGATCAAGCCTCTTAATGCTAAATTTACAGATTTAGTGCCCAATGGGGGTGAGCCGTGTCCATTGCACTTGTGCCCTTGTTCAAGTTGCTTAACCTTAAGGTGAATTGAGTACAGCTGAACTGTAGCTGAATTTGCCATTTCGGGAGATGCTTTTTGTACATCAATATGGTCAAGGCAGGTCAGAACAGCACTACTTCATCTCGGTTTCCTTTTGAAGCCTTCGCTGAGAATTTTCAAGAATATTATAAACGTAGAATGTGTGTGAAATGCTTTTTGATTGCATCTGCAGAAAAAGCTAACATGGATAAAATAAACATTGAAACTGGTTTGATCACTGATTCAGTTTGTCACTGACGATACTGTTCTCATTGTAAGCCTAGTTTGTGATGATCTGTTTTGTAATCGATGTAGCCGTGATTGTCAACAAACAATCCGATGCGTGTGTCTTAGATTAGATTCTCAATCCAATCAATTCAGTTAGCCAGCTTAACAAAGCAAAAAAAGGAGAACTGCTTACGTACTTTACCAATGTGTAACTTGGGATACATGTTGTCCTTAGAACAGGAAAAAGTTCTGTCTCGGATTAATCCCAGTAATCCAGTAGGCTTGAAGCAAAGGCATTAATGGAAGTGTTGTGTCATGAGGTCTGTCCATTCACTCTTTTGAGAAGTTCAAAGGTCAGTAAAGTGATGTTCACAGGACAATGTTGAGTAGAGACCAGCTTTCTTCAAGTTGTATCAGGCACAGCATTGGTAAATGACTATTCATCTAAAAGGAAACCCATTTCTCGCTTGTGAGTTTTATCACATCTCCTGATGCTGCATTATGGATTGCTGTAGCTTCTGTGCTGCAGTCCACATTAATGCAGCTTCACTGCGCTGCACTCTTACACTTTGTAGATGATTGAGGAATTCTCACTCCGCTTTCTCTGCACTGGAAAAATCCATTGTTAGATGCGTAACTAGAAAAATGTCACATTACTGTCTTGAGAAAATCTTGGTGAGCAAATGTTGAGGTATCCACAGCTTTACATACATTAGTAGGCTTGTATTGGGTGGTTTGTAAATCTATTCTATTCAGAGCTCCAAAATGTAAGTAGATTTCGTTAGTGATTGCACTGGAGTACCGACAAAATTGCCTGTTTTCTCATGCATGCATATGTGAAATGTCAAAAGCCGAACACTCAAAGTTACCCAGTTGAACTGCACAGCACGGACCAATTATCTCGAAAGCCCAACGGACGGTGTAGAGAGGGTTGATTTATTTGAAGTCTGGTCTTGACTGCACAGCCCAGACCAATTTGAACAGTGTGAGAAATCCAAATGGGCACTGCCCTTCAATTTTCTGTACTTTCTCTTGACTGGTTTCTTTGTTAAAAGTGAGAATTACAATTATTGTTACATGGTTTTCAGCCGTACACTGGTTACATCACTTGGCCACCGTGGCAACGCCCAACAACACCCTTCCCCCACCATTGTAATTTTTTTTATTTTTAAAATAATTTAGTTTAGAGCCCGACTGATAAAGGATTTTGAAGGCCGACACAAAAATTATTTGATTTTAAAATCCGATATATCGGCCGATATCTTTTTATTTATTATTTTATTTCAGAAACGCTAACAGATTTCCCTAACATAGTTATTTGTAGGTAGGTATTTATATGTTAATTCAACACACTCAATATACACAACAGCATTGACACGGAACTAAGAATTGAATTGATTTTATTTGTTTACTTAGTAACTTGCATAAACTCATTGAAAGTAATTTGAGTTATGCTTTAACAGTTGTTGTTTTTTAACAAAACACATGGACTCTATTGGTCATGACTCTTCAATCCCCGAGTAAAGCAACCAAGTTAAAGTTGCATTGTTCTACTATTGCACTGCAAAGTTGCACTATTGATTCCAAGATTATTTGGTCATTATATAACATTAGCCCATTATTCTGCATTTTAATGGCCAATTGTTTAATGAATAAAGCTGAGGGATTTAAAACTGGCTGTATATATGCATGTCTCAAGCATGCCTTGTCTCAATGATGCACAGCTCACCATCTACTCTTCTCTTCTCTACAGAACTCAATACGACATAACCTGTCACTCCACAGTCGCTTTGTCCGGGTCCAAAATGAAGGAACAGGAAAGAGTTCATGGTGGATGGTCAATCCCGATGGCGGAAAAGGGGGAAAAGCCCCTCGGAGACGTGCAGTTTCCATGGACAACAGTAATAAGCTCATCAAGAGCGCCCGTGGCCGTGCCACAAAGAAAAAGGCAGCTCTTCAGGCTACTCAGGACGGAAGCTCAGAGAGTTCCTCCAGCCTCTCCAAATGGACCGGCAGCCCGACCTCCCGCAGTAGCGATGAGCTCGATGCTTGGACGGATTTCCGTTCTCGCACTAATTCCAATGCCAGCACCCTAAGCGGACGCCTTTCTCCGATTCTGGCCAACCTCGAGATGGACGAAGTTCCTGACGACGACTCTCCCCTGTCGCCCATGCTGTACTCCAGCCCTAGTAGTATGTCTCCATCCACCGGGCTGACCGAACTGCCCCGTCTAGCTGACCTTGCCGGAACCATGAACCTCAACGACGGCCTCTCCGATAACCTAATGGACGACCTTCTAGACAACATCAGCTTGACTGCTTCCCAGTCTCCAGGTCAAGATGAGAGTGGGGCCAACCTACAGGGAAGCCCCGTGTTTACCTTCAGCTGCTCCGGGAGCAGTCTGGCAATTCCCACTGGCAGCTATGGCACTAACTCCATGTTCAGCCCTCCGTGTGTCACCGCCCTGAGGCAGTCTCCAATGCAAACAATCCAGGAAAACAAGCAGGCTACGTTCTCCTGCGGTTCCCTCTTTAGCGAACAGAGTCTGCAGGACTTGCTCAGCTCCGAGTCCAACAGTCACAGCGATGTCCTTCTTACCCAGTCTGACCCGCTTATGTCTCAAGCCAGTGCCTCCCTTTCCTCCCAGAATGCCCGTCGCAGTGCGCTGCTGCTGCGTAGTGATCCCATGATGTCCAATCAGGCTGGGCCTGGAGGACAAGCAGGGCTCAAGAAGGCGTCGCCATCTGGATGGCGGATGAACTGCAGCGAGTCCGACTACCAAAGCTTGATGAAGCAACATCTCCAACAGTCTCCCTTCAGAAGCACATCTATGCAGCTCAACTCATCCGATTCATTGTTGGCTGGTCTCAATGCCAGCGTTTCCACGGTTCATTTGGCATCTCAGGACCGATTCCCATCCGAATTGGATCTTGAGGCGTTAAGTGGGAGTTTCGATTGCGACATGGACTCCATCACTCGCAACGATCTGATGGATGCCGACGGCCTGGAGTTCAGCTTCGATTCCCATCTTATCTCCTCCCAGAATGCTAACCTGACTTCCGAGAGCTTCTCCAGAACCAAACGAACCTCCTCCCAAAGCTGGGTACCAGGCTGATCCGGCCAGGCCCAGGAATGTAGGGACGGACAGAACACCGCATTTGAGCCAACTGTCCACTGTAAAGCAACTGTACATTATGCTGTAGAAAAGCTATCTGACATCCATTGGAATCAGTTTGAGTTAACGTCAATGATTTACCCAGTCGGTGTTGTAGTTGTGTGTTTTGTATTGTCATGATTGAGGCTGGTTTAATGGACGTTGTAAAGTGTTTCACACAATTTAACCTTGAAGTGCTTGCAGGTTAATCTAATTGCCAGTGACTAGGTAATGAACTCCGCTGCTGGAATATGGTAGGTGTAGTATCGTAAAGAAAAGGTTGTCTATATATGAAGACTTGAAGGTTAGTACTTCCCTTTGTCCATCTAGAAAACAAAATCCCTGAATCCACCACTGTGTATAAGGGTGCCTGCACACTAGAGAAAGCTCTTGCAAATGCATTTGAGAGTTGGGACAGCCAAGTAAGAATCTTGAATTCTCTTGTTCCCACGACAGAAACTGGTACCTGCGACTGGGATTGCAGTGAAAGTTAACATATTCTCAACTTTTGGTCGTCACTTTGGCAAACCCTGGCATTTTCTTTGACGTTGCGATAAGTTATCCCAATTGAAATCAAGTCTAGTCTTTACTCTAGTCTGAAGGTGCCCTTAGTTTGTTGTAATGTATTGTAACCAAGATAAATAGATTTCCAGTCCTCACATTGAAACAAACACTTGCCTTTTGCCAAACGTGTCCTCTACTGGACAATTGCAACAATGGCCTGTTTACAATATGAACTATTGAGAATATTTTTCGTTGTCCGAAAAAACGGCCATGAAAAATCTCCGTTTCTCAGATTATTTTTCATAAAACTGAAAAGGGGAAGTTATTGTGTTTTTGTGAAACCAGTGATCATAATGTATCCTTGACTCCTTTTATGGAAAAGTGAACTATGATATGATGATAAGCTATGTATTTAGTGTTCTGCTGTATGAAACTAGTTTGTCAGTGTTTCCCATGGATTTCCCAACCAAACCTGCATTTATCCTGCTCGGGGGTTCCTGAACACGAGCATCTCGATCACCCCCTAAACCGCTTTTACTTCCAATGTCAACCATTTTAGAATAGATTATGAGCTATATATTTGTATTTTTGTATGTGTTTATACACTCACACACACACACACGGGGCCTCATTCATGAAGTAATTGCTGTATACATGATTTATAAAATCGAAGTAGACATTTGTAAAACAAAATTGATACTTTCAATTTGATTAGTGATTATGTGTGCATATACTGTACAGTCTGTATACATGCATGCAACCATTTTACAATTTCTGCCGAAATCAGATTTCTGTTGTACTTGTATTTCATAAATGAGGCCCATGGTGCATCTGTGTATGTGCTGTACACTGAATATGTGTGCGTGTGTTTACACATAAATATTGGATTCATTCGAAACATAAGGTATATTAACAATTATAACATTTGGGACGCTGATTAAGGACCACTAGATGTTTGTGTATTTGTAGCAGGAAAAAAATTAAGCTAAGCATTTGGTGCTAAGTGAAATTGTGTTGGGTCAGTTCACATGGCTGGCATGTTACTTTCTTAGCATTTATGTGTACATTTCTACACAATGGCTGGTGCTAGTAGAACGTGTCCATCGGTTGTTACGGCAGTGTGTTTAACAGTTTTAAAAATGAAAGGCAGCCTCATTGTAGTGTATGGACAAGCTATGTAAGAAAGCACCTACGTTGTACTGTATTTCACTGTTGATCTTGAACATGCCAGACAACCAAATTTGAGGCTGGTGTAAAATAATGCAACTATTCAGTCTGATGAAATAGTAGTGCCATTCAGGGACAACTTGCAGGCGGTTCAATAGTTGTAACCTAATGTTGTTTTAACATCACAGTTGAATGTACCTTTTGTTAAGGTCAGTTTCACACCCAGATTTTTTAAAAGCCTCTTATAAGCAGTGATTTTTTTTTTTTTTTAATAATCTGCTTTTTATAATCAGCTGGAGTCACAGAATTTGAGATGACTATAAAAAGTTGATTGTGCTGTGTTTACCTTTGTTTACTTCACATTGTGTAATCCGTTCCAGCATCGTAAATGGCATCCTCAAAATTGAAATGCTTTTAATTCTTGGTTTTCATATTCTTTGGGTAGAATCGTACTTCACGAACTTCTACAATTTGTATTCATTTTGAATTGTAATCTTTACGAAGGAATTAACATGAATTGTGAAGACGAAACCTGCGTGTGTAGCACCTCACACCACAGTTGGCCGTTAGTTAGCATCCACTCAATGTTTGCTTGACTTTACCTGTGTATTTCCATTTTGGATAATGTAAACAAGGTAGTGCAAGGCAAGGTGCATGTAAATAAAGCTTGTATTACACAATATATGTTTTGTCAGTCTTTATTTTAATATGTCATATAGAATAAGCAACTGCTTTAATGCTTGTGTGTATCTCTGGTCAAACTGATAAACTCTAAAACTGATAAACCTAAAACTCTGTAGCCACATACAGTATATTGAAAATTTGTGTACCATTTAATCTGGATATTTTTGTTATTCCAAGTGAATGTATTAATTTAATCACAGCTACTGCTTTCAGTGGAATCCTGATCAAGGGGCTCTTGTTGGCAATAGTGGTACAGTTTTCTGTGGATCATGACTTAAAAAGGGATATTTGACCCAAAAATGAAATTTGTCACATACTCCCATACTCACCCTCATGTGGTTCCAAACCTGTATGAATTTATTTCTTCTGCTGAACACAAAAGATGATAATTTGAAGAATGATGGTAATCAAACATTTGACGGTAGACTAGCTATTGACATCCATTGTAGTAAAAAAATATATATATATATTATGGAAGTCAATGGGTCAACTCTTTGGTGACCACATGTATGTTTAGCAGAGGGGCATAGAGATCCATTAATTTTTCTGGATGAGGCTAAACTGCTCCTATCACAACTTTTTTTATGGTATATTTTGCTAATATGTATTAATACGTTTATAAAATGCATTGAAGTCAGTATTGTTGTGAAAGGTTAGAATTTGTTGTTTGAAGTGTCTGTTTTTGCAATAATGCCATATACATTTGCAAATGCTGCAGATTCTATTCACAAATTATTGATTTCGATGAACCAAATCACTAAATTTAGAATAATAAATTATTTAAAAAAATATATGTAAATAAAACCAATTGCAATTAGCAGAAATGAACAGGAGTTGTGTGTGCGTTAGGTCTCAGCCCTTCGTATCGGCATTTTTATTCTGCATTTGTGGCTGATTTTGTTTGCCAAATTCTATACAAATGCTGTCTGTTGCAGTCACGTGTGTAAGAGAGAGAGGGAGTGTGAGTGAGCATCTTTGTTCCACACTTGTGCTCTAGAACCAGGCCTTCATTTCTGTGTGAAAAAATTCAGATTATTCTAGATGTATTGATTTTATTGAAAAATAAAAAAAAACTTGAATTTTTTGCCTTTCCCATTCATTTTCAATGTGGGGTTCGTTTGGAACAACCAAATCAAGCTCAGTGTGTTTAGATAGATATTGTAACAAGTCAGAAAATCTTATGCCACTGAGATGAATGGAATTTATTATTATTCTTTTTTAATGAGGACACATCAAATGGAGTCCATAACCCCTTTCCAGGAGATATAGCAAAATACACTTGAAAAAGAATAGTCCAAAGAAACTATGCTCTAGTCTAGGTTATTTGGCTTAAAGGGATAGTTCACTTCAAAATGAAAATTCTGTCATCATTTACTCACCTTCAAATTGTTTCAAACCTGTATGAATTTCTTTCTTTGGCTGAACACAAAGGAAGATCTCTGTAAGCCAACAGTTGATGGACCCCATTGACTTGCAGTAAAAAAAAAAAAAAAATACTATGGAAATCAATGGGGTCTCTTCCTTTGTGTTCAGCAGAAGAAAGAAATTCAACTAAAACAGGTTTGAAACAAACTATTCCCTTTTTAAACTTATCAAACGCCATAAAGTTATCTTTGGTTTTCGTAAACTCATATTTGCTCGAAATATCATGTACATTGACTCTAAATTCTCGCATTTTCTTCCTATTACGCCTCAATTTTGTCAGTTTAAAAAATAATCTCCAGAGCTTGATGTATCCAACACTGTTCTTTTACAGTGTGATGCAACTGAGGTGTTTGATTTACACTGAACAGTGTTTCAAAGGTTTTGGGTTTTGTAACATGGCTTCTAAACAAGCCCAATTTTGTGACAAAGTCTGTGAAGAGATTGTTGGTTTCTGGACAGTTTCGTTTCATTTCTCAACCCAGACTTAACAAGAGGGTTCAGACCTTTGCCAGTCTTTTTCTTTAGCTTCTTTAGAAGGGAATCCAGATTGTCTATGGTAACCAAGGAGATGTGTCTTTTGAAAATGTATGAAATGTTCTCTCAAATAAAGTCCCTGTTGTTGTTTGATTTCTGAATTATTATTTTTTAAATTAGTGTGTATTCATGCACGTGTAGCAATCATGCTCATTCATATTCCCTGTACAATCAGTGGGATTGATTGTGTTAAGAAAATCATTCATAATGTTTTACTGCTCTCTGCAGGGAGGACACAAACCCCTAGTGACAATAGCTGTGAAATGTGGCTCGAGTCCTTGTGCACTCATTGGTGGGATGGCACCTTGGTGATGATCTCTCATTGGCTACCGGCTGCTTTTACCACGAACCAATCGGAGCTCCTGTATCCAAGTCAACTTGGAATGTTGTGCTATTTAAATCCAGAGAAGGTGGATATGATTTATTAAATTATACATTGAGAATCGACTGATTGAAATGATTCTCGCTGTATAGGTTTAAAGTGACAATCTTATACAGACATATATAGCCTATATATTTATAATTAAATATGAATATAAAACTGTCTGTCTGTCTGTCTAAGGCTTGACTAATTCGGTCAACCCAGAAGCTGTTTGGGGTCTTGCAATTTACAAGATCAGTATAAGGACTATTTAATGTGAAATCAAGTAAATAAAAAAGATGCTGTTCATGACTTCAGGTAGAGCTTACATGTCTGTCCTCTCTGCTTGTGTCAGCACAATACAAATGAGTCACTTGCCTGAGTTTTCATCGCCATCTGCAGGTTAAATGCCACATATTGTCCTACATGTAGACACATCATATAATAATACCTTGAAGCAAAGATATTTGCTTTACAGAGATGTGACATGGTTACAGTACTACATTCACACAATATTATTTTGTATGAAAAGATTTACTGAACGTGCCTAAAGGAATACTTATGGAAAAAAAAGAATCAAATAATAGGCTATAATACTCATTCTTTCTTTTGAGGACTCTAATTTGAGCCCTAATAGCCTAATATACTAAATGTGTGTGTGTTTTAACAAACCTAGCTTGAGTTCAGATTTGAAGCTGTGATTTACCGCCATTCATTTGAAGTGCGCGTCTGTTTCTATAACAACTGAGCAACCACCGACACAAACACTGGTGCAAAACGGATGGTGGAACGTATCACACTTTTATAAAGTTCTTTTCGTTTGCATTTTTTAAAAGCTTTTTTTCAATCAAACTGCTCAGTTTTACAGCTGCAAGGACAGAACGGAACGACTTTAAGAGTTTCTGAGCACAAACTTGGACTGTGAATTGAAGATGTCACAGACATATAGACTCGGCTCCTCGGTGAAGGTGGAACAGCTGCAAGAAGAACTATCCGCTCAGATTCAGGCTCTGAGGACTGAGATCGAGGACAATGAGATGTTACAAAATATATCCTCAAAACCATACAGGTATAGTGTTCGTCGGGATAACTTAGTTCACCCTAAAATTAAAATGTTGTCACTACTAACTCACCGTCACGTATTTCAAAACCTAAATTTCTTTCTTCTGCTTAAAGGGATAGTTCACTTTGAAATAATTTTTTGATGTTTTAGCTTATCTCGAGGGCATCCAAGATGTAGGTGTCTTTGTTTCCACAGTATTTTCAATTTTGATATTTTAAGGTCAAACCGTTCTTGTCTGGCAGTCATACAATGGATATGGTCACCACCTCAAAGAGCATGCACAGAGAAGTCCAAATTAAACATGATTTAATGACTCGTAAATGTAAGTACACATTGATGGCATAAGACACGAAACGAGCGGTTTGTGTGAGAAAATGAACAGTATTTATATCGTTTTTACCTCTTGTAACCACAGCCATGTCCAAGTGATCTGAGGGCGTGGGCGCTTTGTGGCTGTGGTTACAAGAGGTAAAAAACGATATAAATACTGTTCATTTTCTCACACAAACCGCTCATTTTGTGTCTTATGCCATCAATGTGTACTTACATTTACGAGTCATTAAATCATGTTTAATTTGGACTTCTCTGTGCATGCTCTTTGAGGTGGTGACCATAGACCTCCATTTTATGACTGCCAGACAAGAACGGTTTGACCTTAAAATATCAAAATTGAAAATACTGTGGAAACAAAGACACCTACATCTTGGATGCCCTTGAGGTAAGCTAAAACATTAAATTCAAATTAATTTCAAAGAACTATCCCTTTAACAAAAATAAAGATATTGTGAAGAATGTTGGTAACAAGTTGATGAACCCCATCCATTATCCCCATCCGTTTTATTCTGTGGCAGAAAGCAGCTTCCAAAATGGCTACCATCAGCAATTGTTTGGTTACCCACATTCTTCAAAATGTCTTCGTTTGTGTTAAGAAGAAGAAAGAAACTCATACAGGTTTGGAACAATTTGAGGTTGAGTAAATGATGACAACATTTTTCATTTTTTGGTTGAAGGTGAACTAACCCTTTGACTCCTGTAACTTTAATTGATGAGTCTTGAGTCATTGACAAACATTATAAATTGAATTATTGTTCATTCTCACGTTAAGAAATGCCATTGGACTTGATTCACCATTCATATTTTGTATCCCAAAATATTACTCTCGCCAACTTTTTCAGCTCTGTCCATATTCCAAAAGATGCGTCTTACTTTCGTATGGAGAGGCAGCAGGTGCTCCTTAAAGCTCTGCAAGTGAGTTTGTAAAGTTATTTGAGTTCTTAATTCGTTTTTCAAGCTCCTGCATCTGTTTATTTGACATCCCTTGTTGTTGCAAATGACCTGCGACTTTAGGTTTCGTCCACAAAGCCTGTTGTGTCACAAGCAGAAGTGGCTGAGAGAGAGATGGAGAGCTGTCTGACACAAGAGCACTCACCTGACGGTCTGCCCTTACTGCTGCATCAGGTCAGTTACGAGCTGTTTTATTGTGCTTATTTCATAACTGATGGACTTTACACAGTTAATGACATGAACTGATTCAACACTGAACTGACTGAAGTCAACACTGGACTCTTGTCTTTTTTTTAGCATCAGAATTCGAGTTTGCATCTGTTATTTTCCTGTTTCTCACTGTAAATCTGCTTTGGAAGAATCTGTTTAAAGTCATATATAAATAAAGGTGACTTAACACAATTAAAATCTTGTATTAAAAGCATTTCTGAAAATATTGGATCCTTTCTTAACAGTTTTACACAGATCAAACGTACAAACTGACACGGTGCAAATACCAGCTGATGCTGAGATGGAGGAGATTCGGTCGCCATTCCACTGTCTTGGAGAAACTATATCCTCAATATAAAGTAATCTCAAATTCTGCATTATAGAATATTTTCATGCATTCAGTGGCAAAAGGAATCTATTAATCCTGTCCCCATTGCTTTGTGTAGAAACAGATCACACATTTAAGCAATGAATTTGAGGATTCTGTGCAGCGGGCACGTCGTCTTGCCGTGTCCAGAGAGAAGGTCCTGGCAGGTGTGGAGAGCCCCGTCGATGTGCTCACACAGGAAGATGTCACCATTTACCTCCAGTGGCTTATTTGCCATCTGCACTCCATCAAAAGCATCTTCAACTTTCTGCATGTGAGAATACATTAAGAACACTGGGTTTAGTCTGAGGACCAATTCTCACTGTTTAATAGTTGCTTATTAGCCTGTATATTACTTGCATATTGGACCTATAAAGCACATATTAATGCCTTATTCTGCATCACCTTATTCTATACCCCTTAATCCTACCCAATACAGAAACTTAACCACTTACTAACTATCAAACGAAAATTGTGTCATCATTTACTCACCCTCATGTTGTTCCAAACCTGAGTTTCTTTCTTCTGCTGAACACAAAAATAGATATTGTAGAGAATATTGGTAAAAAGACAGTTGACGGTAGCCATGAGCTGGGTTTACATCCAAACTGGAAGCAAATCTTTTCCAAGTTCGCACAAACAACAGCAAAACAAAAACAAATGTGTTTTCATCAAGTTCTTTGGCTAATGACAGTAGTATTGGTAACCTAGTAACCAACAGTAAATAAAACACCATTAGCAGAAACAGCCCCTACAGTCAAAGAGTATAGAAGAACAAGAGGCGAAACTCTGATGCTTTTTTGGTAACAGCCACTAAGTGGCGCGGCCGCCATTTTGGGGTGAAAATTCCAACTTTAGTTACTGGACAACTAGCCTGGGAAAACCCAGACAAGTTCCAGCAAATTTAGATTTACTCTGAAAGTTAGTCTTGCAAAGACCTCATTCTAGCCAATTTCCAATCCTCCGAAATCGCGGCACCAATCAGAAACATTGGGGCGGGATTATACGATGACAACAGCACAACGACGCTGAAGCAGATTTTGTACATTTACAAAAGGGTATGACGGTTATGGTTGAACACCGTCATTAGAACTCTATAATCGCCAAAACCATGTTATTAAAATACTTTTTTCACAAATATTTTTTATCATAGAGAATGTTTAAATACTAATATCAGCTTACTAGGGAAACGGAGGCCGAGTTAGTGGTGCTTCAGAGACTGCTACTGCTGGAGATGATTCGGGAGTAGTCTGTGCACCTTTATACTGATCAGAGCATACGCTGACACAGAGATAGATATAGACAGAGTAAAGACAGAGTAAAGCCTTGTTTATACTCGACGCGTCCGCACGAGTGCGAAGGTGCGTGGCAAAAATGATGCATTCGGTGCGCAAGACCGACCCCATTCCCCTTGGCTGTGTGCATGGCTTTTTTTTTAGCGGCGTCTGACGATGAACGACTACAAGCCGAATCTGCCCGAGCACGTATGTCTCACCCATAGACAGTAAAGTCTCACTATACCGATATTGCAAAGTTCATTGCAAAGTTTTTTTGTTAAAGGAGAACTCTGGCGCAAAATGAACCTTTGGTCTAATTACACATTGTTACCTAGTCAATCGTTATCTGAGATTCGTTTTCATGATTGCCGAATGTAAATAGTTTTATCTCTAAAAACAGTTTAGCCTATAGACCCTTTTACAGTTGGTAAACATGGTGACGTTTTTTTGTGGGCGGAGCTTAGGTGGAGGCAGAAAGATCCATCTGGCCGCTTCACTAACGCTAGTTAGCAAGGATTGTTAGCTTGTTTTTTAACAATGACTGGAGAAAATCCGATATTATCTTAATGTGTAAGGTCCCTCAGTGTCTAGGACCGCGATTGTTATTTCCAAAAGTTATTTTTAACGGACGGAGGACGGAACCAGATTGGCCGACCTGTAGCCGCCTACACGCTCACTCAATGCATGGACGATCTGACAGGATTAACGTACGTTACCTCGGCTGAGTGGCCTGACTTCTACAACTACCTTATAGAGAAACCGATCGTAAAGAGAAACTGAGGCATATAAATCTTTAGATGCCTATATGGTCCTGTACAAGACTTGTGTGTACGATCCGCAGTTCTGCAGAGTCAGCGCCGAGACCACGACAATGTAAAGAGTGACATTACAGTGCGATTTTAATGATGTGAATATTTTCTAGAAATAAAAGTTCCAGATACAGCATATTCATTTTTCATCACTTCTTGCACCAAACAACACAACAAGATGACATTTAATAATAGTAAAAATTATTTAAGCTCCTTATTATGTAGCCGAATCTGTGCTGTTTTGCATTGACCGCCTCCAGTTTTCACTTTGTTTTGCCTCCAGCTAGCGCCGTGACGTAACTGTGACGTCGGCGCAAAAGGGGTCTATAATGCTAGTATAACGCTAGTATATAGGGCATAGAGTAATGACAAATAAAAATCGCTTGTTATTACCACTAACAAGGCTCAAAATAGCCCCACACTAACACGGTAGCATAATAAGGGTCCCTACATTCAAACCGAAGCATTGAGAACTTTGTCAGTGTCCATACAGTTTAATAAGAAGATATTTTATACAAGTACATACAGTCAACTTCGCGAATACAGGAAGAAGCCATCGTTGAAAAATAGTCTCTACCAGTCGATCTACGAACGCTGATCCAAGTGCGCTGGTGAGATGTGAATAAGGTGATAAGGTGAGCGCGAACATTAGGCTACAGTACGTGTACATATTGAAGAGAAGAAAATGGTTCGTGTTTGTGTTTCTTCCGGAAACAACGGACCATATGATATTCTGTACAGTTCAGCGCACTTGGATTGGCGTTCGTAGATCGACTGGTAGAGACTATTTTTCAAAGATGGCTTCTTCCTGTATTCGCGAAGTTGACTGTATGTATAAAACATCTTCTTATTAAACTGTATGGACACTGACAAAGTTCTCAATGCTTCGGTTTGAATGTAGGGACCCTTATTATGCTACCGTGTTAGTGTGGGGATAGTACTGCAAAAAAGACTGTTTACTGTAAAGCTATTCTATTGCTGTTATATATTTATTGTCCAACAATTACAGTACAGTTCTAGTACAACATTTATTTGCGGAATACATTTATTTCATTGATCACTTATTTTTGTATGTAACGTTATGTGTACCTCCTGGGAAACGGTCTAATGTTATTATAACTTTATGAACTGATATCACTTTATTCTTACCTGTCACACTTAATGTGGAGATTAATATAATTAATTAAATCCTTGAACTGCCCTGTCTCAAGTTATGTGGGGGGAAAAGCCTGGTTAAGTAGCAACTTCTTGGACCTAAAATGAGTGGGCCCAATGGTAGCGCAAGATAGGTGAGGTGGGAAGGCCGAACAATAGGCCAGGGCAAACAACTGGAGAACAGGCTGGTCTGGCAAGAGACAGCTCCAGACACAACAGCAACATCTTGAGGAACCAGTGGCTTGGCACAGAGATGCAACTGCTGAACCACCAGAGCTGGCTGCCAGGCCAAAGAGAGTCAATGACCAGGGAGGACACAGGAGCCAATACAGGACAAGTCTAGACAACATGAGATAAACCAGAGAATGTCTATTTGAAGAGAATTGGCACTGGCTGGTTACTTCCGGGTTCTGGACTGACTGCAGTAACGCATCTCTGTCCATGCGGGGGCGCTCGCGGTCGAGTGCAGAATGAATGGGAGTCAATGGGGTTTAACCCCCAGAAATCCACTTTTCTCAGGATGTAATTTTTTGTCAAGTAATTTGAAAGTTGCATTCAAAGGGGAGGGCTAAGAAAATACACTCAGCTGAAAATTGCATTTTTAAGTTCACTTATCTGTTCTAAAAATAGCAGATAGCAGAATGCAGAATAGCAGTACCAGAATGCTAGCGTGTTCCGGCCAACAACAGCCTAACCTGTAAGAAATCAAAAGGACATAAGTACTCGTTCATTCGACTTTTGGCCTATAATCTATATTGAACTTGCGGAATCAACAATAAAATCTATTTTGATTTAACCCAAGCAGGAGAAAGAGACAAATTTATCCGTTTAGCCCCATAGACTCTTATTCATTCTGCTCTCGCCCGCGATCACCTCCAGTGGAATTCTAATGGAACTGCAACCAAGATGATGCACAATGGGGCTAATAGGAAGTGCCAAGGCTCTCTGTTAGATGGGCTCAGTCTGGATAAACCGAAACAAGAATAAAAACAAAACAAAAACAGGCAAAACTATGACTAGAGAAAAAAAAAGTAGAATTAAGACCTTGAAAAACTAGAACAAAATAAACACTAGGACTTGGAACACAACAACAACACACAAACAAAGAAAACCTAGAATTATCAAAAAGAAATAAAAACTAAAGCATGCACTGTCTAAAAAGAAACAATGAACGCATCAAACCAGCAAACGCATAAAGCAAAGGAGCACAAGAGCACATGAGGAACAGGTGAACACAATTAGGCCAACAAGGACCAGACAAGGGCTGAATCCAAAATTGACCCCTAAACCCTCATCCACTATTCCCTTACGTTAGTCCATGTTCACTTGAAGGGGTGAATGAAAATGAGCGAGCGAATTCGGACAGAATGAGCGCACTCAATAATGTCCACTAGGGTTTCGGACACCACAAATGGCTATCCCATCAAATAGCGCCCTATTTCAGGGTATAGGGGGCGGTTTTGGATTCAGCCAAGGACAAAACAAGGGGGCGGGAGCCCAAAACGCGCAAGCAAACATTAGAGCTACATTTTTACCTCCATCTAGCAGTGAAAAGGTATATGACCATCTAGTGAATAGTTTCTGTTCCTTTCAACTCCTACGGTGGCCAATGTAGTCCAAGATTAACATGGGTTCCAGTTCGACCTCGTCCATGAGTGTTAACTCAAACGTAAACGCGAAAAGCGAAGCTTGAATTAACGGGTACGTCCCACTTTGGCTAATGTACTTTCAAGATGGCGGGTCAACATGGCGACCGACATTAGAACCCCTTACCCGTATGTATTTTCAATGGCGTATTATACACTCACGAGAATACTTTATTACTTGAACGAAGTAAATATACATTAATGAGCACATATATTTTTGAAAGAACTAAGTGTTTTTAGCTAAGAATAAACTAAAAGAGTTACACAGTGTAGCTTTAAACAAAGACAAAACAGACAAGATAATCAGGGCAGAATCCTGACACTGGGAGAGGACATGTAAAAGCAGTAATTTAAAATCATTCTTTAATTCTGAGTCCTAATACACTAAAAAGAAATTCAGTTGACCTATAACTTCGGTCAATTGATTTTTTTTTAATAACTTAATGAAATTGTCTTGATACCTTTAAAAACTGGGCAGTGGATTTCTAGTGAGCATACTTAGACCTGATGAGGAGATTAATACATAGATAATACATAATACATACATACATAGACCTGATGAGGAGATTAAATGTTATTTTATGTGTTTTTTAAAGGGAAAGATCTGTCAGTGTTTTATGCTGTAATGTTTCTGCTAGGTGTATGTTTTCGAAGAGTAGTTCTCATGGTTGGGTTGTGTGTGGCTTCGGTATACACTACACTGAGCAATGACTGTGCTAATACCAGTAATAAGTTATATCATACTTGTTTTGTTCATAAAGTGTTCTTTTCATGCTAAGCTACATTTATTAAGTTACTGCATGTGCTGTTGGTTATAACTGAAATGTAGAAGCATAACTGGGTCTGGTTCTTTTTTGTTTGTAATTAACTTCCTCTAACTCAGTGTAATTTGTTGAACATACAGTAATTACATGTGTAGGGAGGACATGTGTAACATGTGTAATTACATGAGTGTAGGGAGGACATGTCCATCTCAATGTCTATGATGTTTGTCAACTAACAATCAATGATAATTTATAAGAACATTCTGGCTTTCATTTTTATTATATGTTGGTTGTAGGTCCTTCATTATCTCCCTTCGACAGAGTGGAATGAGGATCAGATGTCCAACAACGCTGTAGATTTGACATCCCCTGTATATTTTGCTGGTAATGAATGTCATCTATCTATCTATCTATCTATCTATCTATCTATCTATCTATCTATCTATCTATCTATCTATCTATCTATCTATCTATCTATCTATCTATCTATCTATCTATCTATCTATCTATCTATCTATCTATCTATCTATCTATCTATCTATCTATCTATCTATCTATCTATCTATCTACCTACCTACCTACCTGTCTGTCTGTCTGTCTGTCTGTCTGTCTGTCTGTCTGTCTGTCTGTCTGTCATCTATCTATCTATCTATCTATCTATCTATCTATCTATCTATCTATCTATCTATCTATCTATCTATCTATCTATCTATCTATCTATCTATCTATCTACAGTATCTATCTATCTGTCTGTCTGTCAGTCAGTCTATCTATCTATCTATCTATCTATCTATCTATCTATCTATCTATCTATCTATCTATCTATCTATCTATCTATCTATCTATCTATCTATCTATCTATCTATCTATCTGTCTTTCTGTCTGTCTGTCTGTCTGTCAGTCTGTCTGTCTGTCTATCTATCTATCTATCTATCTATCTATCTATCTATCTATCTATCTACAGTATCTATCCATCTGTCTGTCTGTCAGTCAGTCTATCTATCTATCTATCTATCTATCTATCTATCTATCTATCTATCTATCTATCTATCTATCTATCTATCTATCTATCTATCTATCTATCTATCTATCTATCTATCTACAGTATCTATCTATCTGTCTGTCTGTCAGTCAGTCTATCTATCTGTCTGTCTGTCAGTCAGTCTATCTATCTATCTATCTATCTATCTATCTATCTATCTATCTATCTATCTATCTATCTATCTATCTATCTATCTATCTATCTATCTATCTGTCTGTCTGTCTGTCTGTCTATCCATCTATCTATCTATCTATCTATCTATCTATCTATCTATCTATCTATCTATCTATCTATCTATCTATCTATCTATCTATCTATCTATCTATCTATCTATCTATCTATCTATCTATCTATCTTTCTGTCTGTCTGTCAGTCTATCTATCTATCTATCTATCTATCTATCTATCTATCTATCTATCTATCTATCTATCTATCTATCTGTCTGTCTGTCTGTCTGTCTGTCTGTCTGTCTGTCTGTCTGTCTGTCTGTCTGTCTGTCTATCTATCTATCTATCTATCTATCTATCTACAGTATCTATCTATCTGTCTGTCTGTCTGTCAGTCAGTCTATCTATCTATCTATCTATCTATCTATCTATCTATCTATCTATCTATCTATCTATCTATCTATCTATCTATCTATCTATCTATCTATCTATCTGTCTGTCTGTCTGTCTGTCTGTCTGTCTGTCTGTCTGTCTGTCTGTCTATCTATCTATCTATCTATCTATCTATCTATCTACAGTATCTATCTATCTATCTGTCTGTCTGTCAGTCAGTCTATCTATCTATCTATCTATCTATCTATCTATCTATCTATCTATCTATCTATCTATCTATCTATCTATCTATCTATCTATCTATCTATCTATCTATCTATCTATCTTTCTGTCTGTCTGTCTGTCTGTCTGTCTGTCTGTCTGTCTGTCTGTCAGTCTGTCTATCTATCTATCTATCTATCTATCTATCTATCTATCTATCTATCTATCTATCTATCTATCTATCTATCTATCTATCTATCTATCTGTCTGTCTGTCTGTCTGTCTGTCTGTCTGTCTGTCTGTCTATCTATCTATCTATCTATCTATCTATCTACAGTATCTATCTATCTGTCTGTCTGTCAGTCAGTCTATCTATCTATCTATCTGTCTGTCTATCTATCTATCTATCTATCTATCTATCTATCTATCTATCTAGCTGTCGGTCGGTCGGTCGGTCGGTCGGTCTGTCTGTCTGTCTGTCTGTCTGTCTGTCTGTCTGTCTGTCTGTCTGTCTGTCTGTCTGTCTGTCTATCTATCTATCTATCTATCTCATGCTTAGACAGGAACATTACACTAAAAGAAAGTTTAAAATGTGAAAAAGCATTATAGGCTCTGCTTAAAGAAGTTTACATGTACTTTAGATAGAGATGTTTAACTCATGGCTTCTGTACTCTGTTTTTGTGCCATCAGGGGTATTTGTATCAATGTCAGAAGTTCCCTTGCACTCGACCGATATAGAGGATTTTAAAGCGCAAATGGACTTCCTCCTGTCACATTACAACATCCAATATGATATTAGCACCATCAAGACAGCTGGAGATGAAATGGAGCTTTTTAGTCTGGTAATCCTAATCAAATTACGTCAATGATATCTAAAAGATCTTAAAATGAATTCTACAACATGATGTGTCAACATTATGAATATTGTTCCTGTCGATAATGTGATTTGTTTCTATTTTATGTAGGTTAGTTACCTGTTTCAGACTGTTTTTAAAAATCAGGAGGAGATGAGGACCTTCTTGCAGTACGACAGCACTGAAGCGGCAGACAGGAAGTTTGGGAGAAAGAGTCCGAACATGGCGCTCAGAAAAGAGTCCAACTGGATTCCTCATATACAGGTGAGGCAAGCCACAGTATTTTGTATATGTGATAATTTATGAACTATGTGATGGAATATGATATCTAAGCTCTATTGTGCCTCATGTGGGAAACAAACAGATGAAACCAAAGCGAGATCCTTGGCAACAAAAACAAATAGCCAAACTCAGATCGCTCAGATCAATGGATGAACTTCTCCAGATTCACAGCAAGTTCTTGGAGGTGAATGGCTGAATTTGCCACCTATTTATTATTTCATTTATATTCAACTTTTTGTCAGGTTTGCTTTGGTTAATTTCAGTATTAGTTTACAGTAATCGCAGTAAAGTTTGTCAGAGCACATTATGTATATTGGCAATATTTTACAATAAGGTAAAATAAAACATACACTACCAATTAAAAACAATAAAACATGCACTAATTAAAAACTTCTTTTAGTAAATGTTAATGACATTATTAACTAATTCATTATTAAAATCAAAAGTCGTGTCTTTAAATATTATTTTTATTGGACCTGAGCTGAAATTTGCTAACAATGAACAGTTGTATTTTAATTAACTAACCTTAATAAAGATGAGTAAATTCTGCAACAAATGCATGGCTCATTCTTAGTTAATATTTGCTAATGAATTACACTACTATACTCCAACATTGAAATAATGGTCTTGTTTTGCACTTTCTTCTAAAGGAGTCAGATCTTCATAAAGTGACTGATGCTTTGAAGGATTACACTGCATCTGTCCGTCAGCCAGAAAACCCCTCAAAGTCTCCATCCATCAGCACCGAAACTCTCAAAGAAGCTTCTGCGATATGGAAAAGCATTTATAACACAACAAACAGGCCTCAGGTGAACATCTGTGTGAATAGTAAATCATATTCTCCAAGTCAATTGTTACGTAACATAGAGAATTTATACTGCACATCAGTGTTGTAGTCGAGACCACCTCACTCGAGTCCGAGTCGACACCGAGACCAGAGAGAGTCGAGTCCGAGTCAAGACCGAGTCCATAGAGGGTCGAGTCCGAGTCGAGACTGAGACCAGTGAGGGTTGATTACCTAATTTACTTTTATTTACTTAGAGAAATCCTTTTTTTTTTTTTTTTTTTTACTGAATTTAATTAGAGTTTACAAAAATATGATCAGTTTAGGGTAAAAAAAAGGCCACTTAGTAGGTTGTGTTAAAAGTAATTTTATTACAATTTGTCATGCGCAGTTGTGCACTAGAAAATCACCAATCACTGGGCGTGTCAATCAATTTAAAGAAATATTTTATTAACATACATTAATAATCATGAAAAATATTTTGAATTGAACTCGAGTGGACTCGGGAATAATTCCGAGTCCTAAAAAAAAAAAAAATGTTCGAGTACGAGTCAATTCCGAGTCCAAATGGACACGAGTCCATGACAAGACCAAGACCATTAAAATATGGTCTCGAGGCCGAGTCCGAGACGAGTCCGAGTCTCGAGTACTACAACACTGCTGCACATGCTTCAATTTTAAGCGGTAAAACTCTAAGGATCCTCGCTTATGACCCCTCAGGATTAATCCAGGTGTGTCTGATTATTGTTGTTGTGACTACTGAGGTCAGGCACACCTGGATTAATCAGTTTGTCCAATAATGGCAGACAGGAAACAAAGGAGCTGGCTGAAGTTCAGGAAATCTAATTGCATAAAGCCAATTAGAGAATTGAGATGTCCTTCAATATGGCTGAGCTCCATCGATTTCCTGGTCATAGGACGGAGGAGCGAGGAACGAGGAGGGATATTGAGAAGCACCCACTAAGCAAACAACAAAAACTAAATTAGATAATTAACTGGAGACAGGTGAAGGAGATGACTAATTAGACAGACTGGGGAAAACTCATATATGTATGAGTTCATATATGTAACATCAACATGAATCTTACTTTTTAAATATGTGTTCCTGGTCTTGTTATGAACAATTCTTTGGTGCATATTGTTCACAAGTTGGGAAGCGTGTTTTCACCACAAAACAAAAGAAAAAAGCGAGTATATTTCTCCCATTACGAGTTTATATCTTACAATTCTGAATTTATCACTTGCAGTTCAGAATTTATAACTTAAAGTTTATATCGTATATCTAAATTCAGAATTTAAAAAAAGAATATATAAATTATATAAATTTAAATTCAATTCTAAACTCGGAATTGTGAGAAATAAATTCAGAATTGCGAGAAACAGTCAGAATTGCGAGATAACAGAATTGCCAGAAATAAAGTCACAATTGCGATATCTCAGAATTGTAAATAAAAACTCGGAATTGTGAGAAAATTGTGAGAAAAAAGGCATAATTGTGAGATATGAACTTGGAATTGCGAGAAATAAATTCAGAAATGCAAGAAAAAGGCGGAATTGTGAGAAAAAAAAATTGGAATTGTGAGAAATGAAGTCAGAAAACTGAGATATAAACTCTGAATTGTGAGGAAAAAGTCAGAATTGCGCGATATAAACTTGGAATTGCAAGAAATGAAGTCATAATTGCGAGAAATAAAGGTAGAATTGTTAGAAAAAGTCAGATTTGCGAGATATAAATTTGTAATTGCGAGAAAACAAGCTCGCAATTACCTTTTTTATTCTCTATGGAAACAAGCTTCCATACAAAAGAATACAAATATATCTTTCCTAAAGCAATGTGTCTATTTTTTATTTTATTGTGTGCACATTATTTTCCTTTTTTTTTCTCTAGGTGGCCACTGGACAGGTTTCTCATTTATCTAAATATGCAGATCAGAAATGCTCTGAGAAAAAGAATAAAGGGTAATTTTCCAAACGCTAAAAAGTGTCTATAGTGTGTGTTTCTTTTAACAACTCTTTGTCTCCTAACTATTCTAGTCAAAGCAGCAGTGCTTTTCAGCATGAGAAGTGTGAAGACACTGAAGAAGTTGCCAAGGAGCCTGTTACAGTCAGAGGAGCATATGACTCTTTAATCTACCTGAGACACCTCAGGATCAGAGAACTCAAGGTAAAACTCATGAAAGATGTGAAAGGTTTGAGAGATATTGGTCTTTTCTACACATTTTTTTTGTAATAATTTTATTATTATTACAGATAAAACGAGTACTTCCTGAGATTATTTATTCCTGAGAAACATTATTTAGTATATAAACTATGAATTATTATTATTATTATTAAGCTGTTCAATAGGTTGGTAAGATTTTTTTAATGTTTTAAAGTCCTCAATCTCATCAATCAATTTAAATTGACTGCTTTGTAATGCAATATATTGTTTTGTGATCAAAGCTGACTTTTCAGCATCATTACTTTAGTCTTCAGTGTCACATGATCCTTCAGAAATCGTTCCAATATGCTGATTTGCTCTTCAAGAAACATTTTTTATCATTGTCAAGCTTTTTTTTCCTCCGTGGAATAAAACAATTGCGACTTTTTTTTTTCTTTTATGAGTTCATATCTCAAGAACAGCATTTATCGGAAATTGAAGTCTTCTGTAAAATTATAAATGTATTTATTGTCACTTTTGGTCAATTTAATGCATCCTTGCTGAATAAAAATATGAATTTATAAAAAAAAAAAAAAAACGTACTGCCTTTTGAACGTATAGGTTTGTTGCTTAAGAATTATGACCGTACCCTACTAAATTCTTTGTTTTGGTAAATTTTTTAAGAGGTAAGAAACTTTTCTGGAGCCACATTTGAAATTCTTTTCTGAAAATGTGCCATATAAATACCAGGGTAATACCATCACAGTACTGTTTTGCATGGGTTATTTCTCCTGTTATCAGGGTTTTACCCACTAAAATACTGTGTTTTATTGAGTCCTGGCCTCTTGTTTGTGTAGCGCACTTGTTTGAGCATGCTGAACTACCTGCGGTCAGTGGAAAGGACTCTGGCGATGGACGCCGCGGGTCTGGAGTTGGTCGGAGGAGATCTGGTGAGAAGTATGGAGGAGACGGGCTGGATGAGTGCTGCTAAAAGACGCGATGGCTCTACTGGAGCTCTTGGGTCAAATCACTTCATCTACAACAGTCCGGTTGATCATAAGGTTCCTGACTTGCAGATTCACCCAGTGTTTCATGGAAAAACCAATGCAATGTGAAAGGCAGAGAGGGTAAATCTCTGTTCTGTTTTAGGTTCACTTTGCCGAGTTTATGGAGTTTGCTGAGGTGGAAAACCTCCATGATTACTACAGCACAGATGGGAGCTGCATCCACACGCAGGACCAGCGGGGTCTCTACATCATCTATGACGTGGCCCTGGTGGACCTGCAAGAGTTGGAGCAACATCTGCTGCTCACTGCGTCTCATTTCATACAGAGGAGCAGAGGTCAGGGCAGATGCTTCCCTCTCCCCTTAATTATACAAATTTTCTTTTATCATATACAATTCAAGTTAAGTTTATTTGTATAGCGCTTTAACAACACTTGTGCTCCTATTTTAACGATCTAAGCCCATAGTCTAAAGCGCAGGGCGCAAGTGCACTTAGAGTGTGTGCGAAGCCACTTTTGCTATTTTGACGAAGTGAAAAATTATCTTAATGAGGAATGGGTATGTTTTTGGCGTAAAATTATATACCAATCAGTCTCATTTCCCATTCCCTTTAAAAGCCAGTTGCGCTCGCGCCATGGCGGATTCGCTATTTACATGGCGTTATTTGATAGTGGAAAAACTAAATGCGTCTAGAGGAAACGGATCTGCTTGTGCGCGAGGTTAAAGCATGCAAGCAGACCATCTACGGGACAAGCCAGATTCCACCATATCTTTATGTACACAATAATTGTAATTGTAATCCTTTTATTTGTAATATTTATTTTGCATGTTTGTGTGCCCTGTGTGTGTATAAGCAGAGTGTACGCCAGACTCATTTGACTATAAATAACAAAAAAAATACTGAGCATAGTGTTTTTCAGTTGCCTCAAAATAGCAATGCGCCAACAATGCGCCTGAACACACCTCGTTTTCACGCCCATAGGCACATAAATGGGCGCCAATGCATTTGCTATTTATACAACGTGGTGTAGGACATGAAAATGATAACTGCGTCAGGCTGAAACAAGCAAAAAACACTTGTGCCGCGGTTGGCGAAGCATTGCGCAGGGTGTATGATAGGGCCCTCACCGTTTCATACTAGATTTACAGAAAATCATGATGTTGATGTTTATAATCTTAAAATTTGTATTTGTATTTAGCAGATTAGAGCTGGGCTGGGCGTTAATATAGTACATATTTTGCAACGATACAATCAGTTGAGATTTTCAACATACTATACATTGATTTATGCGAGTGTACTGTACAGCTTGTGTGCAGATAAAGTTGGACATACTAATGTATAAAACTTTTTAATAAAGAGCCAGGTGGTGTTCACTCTTAGAAGAAAAGGTTCTATATAGAACCTTAAAAGGTTCTATCAGCGCTACGTATTTAGAACCCCTTAAAGGTTCTATACACCCTTAAAAAGGGTTCCTCTGGGTTCTATATAGAACCCTGGGGTTCCATACTTGGCTAATAGAACCTTTTGCCAAAAAAAAAAATGGTTCTATATAGAACCATTTTGGAGTTCCATATATGAAGCGGGGGATGGAACCATTTCTGGTTCTATATACTGTAGAACCATTTCTTCTAAGAGTGTAGTTACATTTTGCATAAATAAAGGCAGTTGATTTGCTATAAAGTATTTATCACTTTACCTGAGTGTACTGTATGTAGCCTATGTGGACAAGTTTGGATATAATATAATATATATCCAACTCTATATTCAGAGCTGTGCAATATAGTTTACATTTGTTGATGATACAAACAATCACCCGAGCAAGATTTGCTATATTCCTTTACATGAGCTCATTGTATGTATGCAGGTAAAGTAGGATATATCTACCTTGTTTCAACTGTCTATAACTGATATGTTCACTTACATTGCAAACATTAAAAAATCAATTAACTTAAACTTATGACAACTTATCAATTTTACTTGATAACCAGAAAAAATTCCAAGTGAGAAAGGATATTTAACAAGAAAACAATGTAGGTTGGGTCTGTTTTTTCATAATATGGGAATTCGTGGTGAAAAGAGTTTAATGTACCGTATGCTGTCAGGTGTTTGAAAAGTAAGAGCTGTTTCTGATCCTACACAGGTTGAGGCGACTTATATTTTAGTACGATGACACAGAGCTGCCATAACTAAGAAGTTTAAAGACACCTTTAGTTTGTAATCTGTGTTTCACAATTGTCATTTCATGCTGTTCTGTCAGAATCGCATGCGTCTGATGGATCTGGAGGAGACCTTCACTCTCTGGCTAGAATGGATGTGGATCGGTTGGCTGTACTTTTAGACATATGGACATGTGAAACAGAATTTCTGGAGCACAAAATACAGGTATGTGATGTGTGACTGCAATTCAGTGTAATTTTAATGATAATGTACTCTACCGTTCAAATGTTTGGGAATGTTTTTAAAAGGAGCTCAGCCAGGCTGCATTTTAGTTGATCAAATATACTGTAGATTAAAAACAGTAATTATATTTTAATTGTATTATATTATTTAATATGTATTTTAAAATGTAATTTATTCCTGTGATGCAAAGCTGAATTGTCAGTCACATGATCCTTCAGAAATCATTATACAGCGCAGTCTCACCCCAAAAAGTCATATAACTGACGTTTTGGGACGTCTTTTGACCATACGTCAATATTCGCCTTTTTAGGGCCTCCTTAAACGTCGGTAGATGAGGTTATGGGATCCTAACTCTACCCCAGACCTAGACCTAAACCTAACCCTAAACCTAACCCGTCACATAACTGACGTTAAAGGTAAAGCGTCAGTTGTATGACGGCCCGGGATCGCCATCTACCGACGTTTAAGGGGGCCCTAAAAAGGCGAATATTGACGTATGGTCAAAAGACGTCCCAAAACGTCAGTTATATGACTTTTTGGGATGAAAATGTGTTGCATTATAATATGCTGATTTGCTGTTCAAGAAACATTTCTTATTATTATCAATGTTGAAAACCGTTGCGCTGCTTCATATTTTTGTGGAAACTGAGATACATTTTTCCAAGATTATTTGATGAACAGACAAACAGCCTTTATTTGAAATGGAATATAAAATGTATTTACTGGCACTTTCACAATTTAACTACAATTAGAATGATATATTTCTTTCAAATGACTTGCCTCCCCAAACTTTTGAACAGAAGTGTATGTCAATGATAAAATGGCATCTTGTATTTACAGCTCTTGAATTGCTATTTGGAGGCGTATCAGCATGTCACAGATCCAGAGGAGCAGTTCAGATTGGCTCAGGTCATCACAGATGTCATGCACAGAAGGCCACAGATTGATTTTACTGCTGGATATTTTGTTCAAGCTTACAGGGACACGATCGTCTGCCTCCACAGCCACCAACAGCTTATCAAACTAGTGCTGAACAACCATGTAACCAAGCATTTGCTGTTTAATCATGTTTAGCCCACCTAAAATGTCAGATGATTTTATTCTCTGATGTTTCCTGAACGTTAGATTGATGAGCAGCGGCAGTACCTGGAGAGAATATGGAGGGAGGGACAGAAAGGTTGTCCTAGTGAATACGGCCTGCCACCAAACTGCATCCCTAAACATTTGGTATCAGTCGGTGGAAGCAGGTAAAGATCAAACTAATCAATAGCATAACTCAAATGTTGACACTGTTTACTTTATTAAAGAGGACCTATTATGCTTCTTCTTCTTTCTTTTTTACAATTTCAGCTTTTTAGACTGTGTAATACTTCTGTTTGATGAAAACAGTCTGCAGAGTTATAAAGCACAAAGTCACTCCAAAATGAGTTATTACTATATCAATAAGCACTGTTTCTGAAGTTCCCTTGGGGGTGAGAATGGGCTGCATTTAAAGGTGCCATCTGTCAAAAAAATAAATAAAATCATACTCCATATTCCATACCAGATGGGGGCAGTATACCTCCAGAAAGTGAGTTGTGCCGCGGTCTTGCGCACTCTCACGTCTTCAAACAACACAAACGAGCGCTGTTTTGCTCTCTCTTTCTCGCACGTATTAATCAAATCATTTGACACGATAGTAAAAGGTCGGAAGACCGCAGTTTCACGTGGAGCATTTGGAGATTTTTAGAGATCAGAGACTCAGTGAACAACATCTCAACACTAAATTATAAAGGCCGTCTCATAGACGCCTGTCTCAAATACATGTCGGTGCATTTCGACAATATGGAAAATAAAAGCCTGGGCTATTATTTGAAGTTTTACGGTATTCGGTATTTGTTCATATTACATTGTTATTGTTAGTTTGAATTAATTTGACAGACAGCATTCGCTGATGTTGACCAAGCTAGCGCCTTTCAGAGCTGCCAACTCTCACGAATTCTCCGTGAGACACGCACTTGACACTTTTCACATGCTCTCACGCTACACATCAATTTTGTCACGCAAGGACACGGAGACCAGCAGACTAGACATAGCAGGTTAGTTTTGATATATAAAAAATATCAGCTCTCAGATTCTGTCAATTTTATTACGCAATTCAAACAATAAATACCGTTTTGATGCTTGTAAATGTCACACGACAGATCCCTAGCGCACGTGAACCGATCATCTCTACTAGCTAATGGTAAAAGCACACTAACACTGTTGAAAGTATGCTAAAATTTACCAAAATGTATTCCTCATGCATAATATCGACCAATCGTTTTTTGAACTCTTCCCTGAACTGAAATGTAGTAGTGGGCTGTACTTTCCACACGATTTACATCAGGTTCAAGCACACACACAAGCCGTGCGAGTGATTCGTGTATTGCAGTTTAGCTGGTGGTAATGTTGCCCGCCCGCATACCGCCTCCCATGGCCGAAACTGGTATTACGACACCTGCCGGGCCGGAGCTAGTAATTTAGCATGCTAATTCAGGTTAATATCTCTGCAGCACTATAACTTGTAATTTTTTTAATGACATCATCAACCTTATTCCTTCTCATTCTTTTGATTCGTGTAGCTCATTTTTTGGATATTTTAACCTCAATTCTTACACATGGCGCCACCTTATCCTTTAAAGAATTCTTGTCCGAGGCCTTCGCAAAATAAATGGGGTGAGGCCTGGTTGAGTTAGTTAGTAGTATGTTGAAACTTGCAGTTATGGCACATTTCTGAAACACACTGGAAGAGGTTGACCAATCACAACACACTGGTTCAGCCGACCAATCAGAGAGCATATTGCCCTTTTCAGGAGGAGGGGCTTCATAGAGACCGAAACTAAACAGAGTGTTTCTGACAGACTGGGAAGAGAGGTACTGCAACCATGTAAAATATGTGACAAACAATGTTTTTTGAACATCTAAGCATGAAAACCAATTCTAGAAGACCCCAAAACAAAATCAAGACTTAGGCCTAATATGGCCTCTTTAGTACTTGTTTCTAGTCGTATTTAGCACAATACTTGTAATTACTGTACTTTAAATAATTGAGCATGGCACTAACAATGCAAATTCATGCATTCGATTCCCAGTGAATGGGAATGTTATGCAAAGACAGTGGATAAAATCATCTGCCAAATGCATCATTTTAAATATAAATGACTACATGTAATGGATAAAAAAATGCAGACCTTTTATTCTTGTTAAATATGACATCACATTAAGGGATGCATCACAAAATTAATTGCAAATGTTGTTTTAAATATAAATCTAAAAGCATAAAAGGCAAAATACTTGTTTTAGTGTCTGTCTTTGTGCCTTCTTTGCAGGCCTTCTTTGAAGAGTGTGTATTTTTTAGAGATACACCCCTCTTTGTGTTTGGCGTCTCGGCTGTACGAGGATCTTGAACGGTCCTGTACTGAACTATTTGAGCTGCACAGAGCCAAAACACCATCTCAGAGAGTCAACCTTGAGCACAGGCTCTTGAAAACGGCCCTGCATCGTTGGCACACGCTTGCAGCTCCTGGCACCACCTACAGTTCTCAGATCCAGAGAGACGTATGTGTCTTTTTTTGTTGCTCCAAATACACTGTAAACTGTAACTCAATCATAGCAAGGGGTGTTTACTTTCAAGTCTTGAATATGACGCCTATTAAAACAAGAGTGTTTCAAAGAGAGGGTCAAAAATGGCCTGGTTTTTGTTGTAAAATCTTTGCTAACATTTTGAGTGGACCTCAGAGAAAATTCAAGTTTATTTTTTAAAATGTTGTTCATGATCCGCTTTTTAAGTGTGTGCAATGATTAACATTTTGAGCTGTAGTATTCAACATTGATGTTGCATTTTCAATCCAGCAAGTGGCATCTATTTATCAACTAACAAAGAAATGTTCTGTATTGTTTCAGTTGTTCTCAGATGGGTTCGTGGAAGATCCTGTTCTGGTCAGAGAGCTGGGAATGTCTGTTGTGAGATCTGCCGAGGAACAGGAGAGGAAACAAGGCAAAGACAGACAGTTGTTCATGCTGAAGATGTTCTGCACATTGTTAGAGCTCGTCACACTCCGTCACCGCATCATTGAATCCGCTTCAGAAACTGAACATCTGTCCCAGTTGAGTTGGAAAACAATATTGCTGAGTTTCAGTTTCCTTGATAAGTTTCAGTTATTCAAACTTGGATGCAAAAATGGTTTTCCACAATGAAGGATGGGGCAGAAATACTGTAGCTTAAGTCTGTTTGGCAGAAATGACAAATGGACTGTTTAATTATTCATTAGTCAGAGAGGGTGGAAAATGATCATGAAAAATCTAATTATGTTTTTGAAACATAAGTGGACCTCGGTGAGGAAAAAAGATAAAAAATGTATAATGTGGCTCGTTGCATTTTGACATTATTTTAATGACAGTTAAACCTTTAAATATATACTGTATAATATATAAATAAATAAATGTATACAGTATATAGATAATAGTGCTCCCAAAAATGACTAAATATTGCTTATTTGTCTATTTAATTGTACCCATAACCTTAATGTTTTTAATATATTTTTATATTGTTATACTTTCACATTGGATCTTCAAAGTAATGTAAAAACAACATAAAGATGATAGATTTAAAATGCCTTTAATGCTATTTTTTTCACTAAGCACTAGGAATCACTGATACTGTACTGAACTGATAGTGATCACAGTACTGATACTAATGTCTCTATTAAAGTTTTTCCTCAATATTATCTATTAATTATAGCCATTCAATGTTATGGTCAAATTGAAAGCCATTAATATAGTCTATTAAAACTAACTTTATTTTTATTTTTTAAACAAAGTCAATGGTAAGGATTTTTTCTACCTATTCAGATTTTTACATACCCTGCTAAAATGCACAAAAAGTTATTGCTTTCATTGTTTTTGACCCATGTAACCTTGTAAACAGCACTTTTTAGGTTTTACAGGTAAATATACAGGAATTGAATTATTGACACAATTGAATCAAACGCTGCATAACTTGCATAGCACTTGAAAGAATAATAGCGTTGATCATACTGTAGTGCTGCCAAAGGATGACAGAAAAAAACAGATGCTGTCTTAATTGCATATAAAATTACTCGTTAAACTGAAAAAAGGCGTTATTTTTGACTGCCCTCAAATAAAATATATATATATATATATATATATATATATATATGCATTGTATATATTTTATACAATATATATTTGCTGCCTTTAATCATTCCTTCAAATGATGACTGAGAAATCAACTGAAATGATCTAATTGTCAGCTGAATGTGTTTTGCTTTCTGTCATGTCGCTCTAGATTATATAAATCAGTGGCCAGAGTGATGGGCTTTGACGATGTTCATTTGTACATGCGGCCGGTGCAGTTTGAGGTTGCTGTGAGGAAAGAGACTACAAAACAACTTCCCGTCTTCATCACCACCCTTCAGGACGACAAACAGAATGCGGACAGGTAAAAGTCTGCAGGACCAATATTGACCTGTCATGCTCATTATCAGAATCCGTTGATAGCGATGTCATTGAACGCAGTGTAGTGTGTGTATAAGGTTTGTTGCAGCCTAAATGCTGTAATTAGTGGTTGCTTTTAAAGGCATAGTTCACTTTGAAATTAATTTTTGATATGTTTTAGTTTACCTCAATGGCATCCAAGATGTAGGTGTCTTTGTTTCCACACAGTATTTTCAATTTTAATATTTTTAGGTCAAACCGTTCTTGTCTGTCAGTCATATAATGGAGGTTTATGGTCACCACCTCAAAGAGCATGCACAGAGAATTAAACATGATTTAATGACTCGTAAATGTAAGTACACATTGATGACCTAAGACATGAAACGAGCGTTTTGTTTTGTTTTTTGTGAGAAAACGAACAGTATTTATATCATTTTTACCTCTTGTAACCACAGCCACGTCCAAGTGATCTGAAGGCACGGGCGCTTCGGTCTGCGCAAGCGCTGGAAAACGCCGGATGTGATCTCTTGCGCGGTTGCGGAAAAAAAATTAAACGTTGTCTGTTGATATATCGAAGTCGTCTTCCATTGCAGTTCCCTGTATATCTAAAGATGTTTAGATCTTCACAGTGAAGGGTAACACTTCTGAAATCTCATGCTTTCCGGCGCTCGCCGCCAGCGCTTGCACAGACCGAAGCGCCCGTGCCTTCAGATCACTTGGATGTGGCTGTGATTACAAGAGGTAAAAACTATATAAATACTGTTCGTTTTCTCACACAAACCGCTCGTTTCATGTCTTAGGCCATCAATGTGTACTTACATTTACGAGTCATTAAATCATGTTTAATTTGGACTTCTCTGTGCGTGCTCTTTGAGGTGGTGACCATTGGTTCCGAATGTGTAAAATCGAGTTGATTTTAGTTTATCCCATTCCCTTTGTTTCATAGGTTTGTCCCAAACTGCCTGCCTCTGTGTGTTCAGGAACTTGATGAGAGTGATATTGGCAAATTTAGCTTTCAATCTAACGAAGCAGTTCTACAGGTAATCACTTGATTTATAATTGTTATGCACATCATTTTTGTTCAGCATATGAATCATTTGACTTTTCGTCTCTGTGCGTCAGCTCATGAATCAGTCCAGCTTGGAGAACCTGCATGTGGTTCTGGTGTGTCAGGTGGTTCAGAAGAATGCTCTGATTGGAGCGCTTAAACAAGCGTCCTTGTGCTATAGGATAGAGAAGCTGGATCAGTCCTCGGATACAGACCTGCCACTGCAGCATGAGGGATCGGCTTCCTCTGAAACCAGGAGACGTGCCTTAGCTACTAGAAACAGGTCTACATGCATGAAGAAAATTAAGCTTTTCAGAAAGTTTTTAGTGTCGATTTAAAGCAAAAGATTTTCTGATTTGAAATACTTTACATTGTCTTATCATTATGCTCGTATTTGTTTTTCTGCCTTTAATTTATGTTAATTGAAATAAACAGAAATCACTGTTCTTAATCATATTCTTAATAAAAAATACAATGGTTAGTGAGATTCACCCATGTGTAGAGTAATTTGGATACACTTTTTATTGATGCCCCGTGTGAAATGTTTGTTGTAATTCAGGCTTGCAGGGGCTTTTGTGTCCATTCAGCTGGAGAAAGTAGGAGTTCGAGATGAAATGCTGAATGCCTTTATAAAGAAGAAAGAACAGACGAGTTCGCTGAAGCTAAGCTCTGTATGTAAGCGTTAGAGCTGCACGGTTAATTGTTAACAATCACAATCACAATTCGATTCTCGATGACAAAATCATATAAGAACATATAACATCATACAGTATTATGATTCCCATGGTAGAAATATTCGAAAAACACTTTACTTGAAGGGGTGTGCGTAAGACTAACATGACACCTTCATAATCATGACATGACATATGTTATGAATATTAAGGAAGTTTTATGCATGTTTGTGACAACTGCCATTAAGTGTCATTCGCTCAGTTAGGACATTTTTAATGCAAATATGACATTGTTTGAGATTTGTTATGACACCTTGACATAAACCAATACATCATAACCTGTCAGTGTCTTTGTCATGACAACTTGACATTACTAAGACAACACAACCTGTCATAAACATGACATAGCAGATTAATGATCAAACGTAAGAAACCACCTTTATTGGTTAACATTATATTAAACTGTCAGGTGGTTGGTTTTGACATTGGCTGTCATGAAGCCATTATAACTTTTTAATGACAAATTCAATGTGTACCACTGTAGTTGAGGTCACGAAAAATATTCATGACACAGTCATAATGGCCTCATGACAGCCAATGTCAAAGCCAACCACATGACAGTTTAACTTAATTTTATGTCAAGTTGTCATGACAAAGACACTGACAGGTTATGATGTTATGGCTTATGTCAAGATGTCATAACAAAGACATTTTAAACAATGTCATATTTGCATTCAAAATGTCATTATTGAGCGAAAGACACTTAATGACAGTTGTCATAAACATGCATAAACCTTACTTCATATTCAAGACATATGTCATGTCATGGTTATGAGGGTGTCATGTCAGTGTTATGCACACCCCTTCAAGTAAAGTGTTACCAAATATTCAAATGATCACAGAATTACTGGCATAAAGGGTGCGAACGGAATTAAGTAAAACCCCTTTTGAAAGTAACTTAAATAACATTTGTATCGATTACAGTTACACCAGTAGGTGGCGACTGGTGGCTGATAAAAAAATGTGTTTGTCACTGAATCATTTGTTCAAGAGATTCCTTGAAAAACGCTGATTCATCCAGTAATGAAGCAAGTCGAGTCGTTAAGTCGTTGAATCATTCATTCAAACCAGTATATATATATATATATATATATATATATATATATATATATATATATATATATATTCTGTAGCAATTAACATTTTGTCAGAAACTCTTGTAATTTACAAGTTGTTTTGTTTAGTTGTCTATTCGGAATTGTGGGAGAATCGTGATCTCTATTTAAAAAAACAAACAAACAAACAAACAAAAAAAAACTTGATTCTATATATCCAGAATCGTGCAGCTCTAATAAGCGTTAAGAGAAAACTGATTTTAATTGCTCAATTAAATGGAAATGTTCCTTATTCCTTCATTCTTCTCTCTAAAGGAAGAAGTGGCCAGGATCAAGAGGAAACTGATTCTGGATTTCTGTCACAAGTAGGCTTAGTCACAGAATTCCCACATTTTATTTTCTATAAAAGGAGGAAATGACCCTAAATCTTTATATTACAGTGTTCTTTGCTCTAGCACTGGTTATGTCTCTTTCAGATTTAACATGCGCATGTCACAGAGTTGTGTCCGAGGGCAGGTTGTAGCTCTTTGCCACAGTTTCACCTCACTGCTCCACGAGGTGCCACACATCCGCGACCAACACTTTGTGATGGGAACACCCAATGAAACCAGATCAGACCTGCAGTCAGAGGACAGAGTGTGTCCTGATCCAAGGTGAAGCATATACTGTAGAAGAGTTCCAGTTTAAGGCTTAAATGCTTGAACATTTAGTTTTGTAGACAAATAAATTGTTTAAGTCATTTTATTAATGCATGAGTTGGGCTGAATAGTGAATGATAAATAATCAAGTGTTAAAGGATGTCAAAATGACAAACAGTGGTAACTATTAAAGGAGTTGTTCACTTTTAAGTTTTGCTGATAATTTACTCACCCCCATGTCATCCAAGATGTCCATGTCTTTCTTTCTTCAGTTGAAAAGAAATTCAAGTTTTTGATGAAAACATTCCAGCATTTTCTCCATATAATGGACTTCAGTGGGAACCAAATGGTTCAAGGTCCAAAAGACTTTTGCAGACTGTTCATAGGGCTTTTAAACAATTCCAGACGATGAATAAGGGTCTTATCACGCTTGATAAGATCCTTATTCTTCAGACGATGAGTAAGGGTCTTATCAAGCGTGATAAGACCCTTATTCATCGTCTGAAATCGTTTAAAGCCCTTTGAACAGTTTGCAGTTTGCACTGAAACTGTCTTTTGGACCTTGAACTGTTTGGTTCCCATTGAAGTCAATTATATGGAGAAAATCCTGGAATGCTTTCATCAAAAACCTTAATTTCTTTTCAACTGAAGAAAGAATGACATGGATATCTTGGATGACATGGGGGTGAGTAAAATATCAGCAAAACGTTTTTTTAAAGTGAACTACTTTAAGAAGCAAAAATAAAATGTATATGTATATTTCATAGTTTTGATGGATTTTGTATCATAGAAAATGTGGAAAATAGTAAAAATAAATGAATACACAAAAAAAACCCTCAAATAAATAAATGCATGCACGAAAAAAATGCATAAATGCATGCAAAACTAAATGCACAAATAAATACATGAATAAATGAATACATAAATAAATAGTCACAATGTAAATGCCTTTCTTAATCAAAACTGTTTCTGGCTGTTCAGGACATTTCAGCCTCGTCCCAGAAGACTGCTATCAGCCGATGGAAAGACTCTAGTAAACCTGTGGTTCATCCCTCATCATACAGAAGTGCTGCTCATGTTCAGGGCTCTGGAGGAGAAGGTGAGAAATGCATCTGTGTCTAATAAACATGGCGTAGTGTCCCAGTTCTCGTTATAACACAGGGGCCCCTAAAAGTGTTTGCATAAAGTTGAAATATGTATTTTTATGAATAAAAAAAACAAAACATTGTCTTAACCCAGAGGGTGTGTCAGAGGGTGTTTAGCTGGTGTGGGACCATGACTGATGTGTGTTACATGAGAAAAGACATTCAGCTCCGGGTCATGAACACCTCAAAGTGAAACAAGGCATTGCAATACTGTACAATGGATGCTTCAATACATCATCATTGTGCACTTATTGAGTACCAGTTTATAATTGTCATGTCCATTGTAGAGGTTGAGAGCCTTAAACAGTTGTGGCTTGTCATGTCAAAAAATGTACGTTGGATGGGTTTATTAAAAGCGAGATGCATGAGTTCACTATATAGAGAGTTTTAGTCTACTTATTTACCTACTCAGGACACATAAGCCGTTTCTCAATATGCGTACTTGTCTGTACTTGTGTTCTTGTGGACTTGTGAAACGTCATCAGTCGCTGCCGAAGTACTGTTCCAATTCAAAGTTCGCATCTAGCCAAGTCCACTTCAAATCCCCGGATGTGTTCTTGATCCGCCCCGTTTACCGAGGATGCATCAAGAGGTGACTTGTTTGGACTTGAGATAGCCAGGTAAACCAGAATGCACCTCGCACCAACCAGCAAGCGTCAATAGGAGAATAGAAAATCCGCGAAATATCAAAACACTACTGTTATTGAGTCATGAAATGTAATTTTAAGAGTGTTTCAGGCGAGAATGTGGTTGTTTAAATCTCAAATCTGTATTTTATTTATAAAGATAGCACCTATGTGAAAAATGCATCTGACGTTTTCGGAGTTCTGCCATCCAAGCCTTCAGTGGACACTCAGCGAGATCAACCCCGACTGGAACAGCTTATCCTCGGCTAGTGCTTCTGACTTTTGCCGTCAGCTCTGATCTAGTCTAGTGGATAAACCTTGACATATAATTCGTCTTGTGTATAAGTCTATCTTTGGTCTCATTAAACTATAGTTTGTTCCATGGCGCAAAAAAAAAAAAAAAATAGTTTTTGAGGTTTCATGGCTATTTAACTTCAACAATATTTTTTTATATTATCTTCACTATATGAACAATAAAATAAAAAAACATAACCCTGTCTCTGTTTGAAAAATGTCAATAAAAATCAGTGTTTCCTATTTTTAAAATGAAAACAAAAAGATCATGTTCATTTTGTTATAAATATATGCAGTGAAGAGAATCGCGTTGCCTGAACCACATGGCCATTAGGCTAATAGGCTATATTGTTTTTTGTTAATGAAAAGAGTCAGAGGGGTGTTTTATAACATGTTTCGTTTTATTGTTGACGAAAAGATGCAGAGTTGTAGCAAATTTCGTTTTATTGTTGCCTAAAATATAGAGTAGAGCGTGCTGAGTGACGCGATCAAGTACGCTCTGTTCCATTTGCAGAAGAACCGGACTTGCGTCCTCGCATCCTCGGGAGTTCGTTCTCCGGAGTCAAACTTGCAAGTCTGAACTACCAAGGACGCAAGTCCGAAGTCGGCGTACTTGGTATTGAGAAACGACTATACACTCACCCAAAGGATTATTAGGAACACCTGTTCAATTTCTCATTAATGCAATTATCTAATCAAACAATCACATGGCAGTTGCTTCAATGCATTTAGGGGTGTGGTCCTGGTCAAGACAATCTCCTGAACTCCAAACTAAATGTCAAAATGGGAAAGAAAGGTGATTTAAGACATTTTGAGCGTGGCATGGTTGTTGGTGCCAGACGGGCCGGTCTGAGTATTTCACAATCTGCTCAGTTACTGGGATTTTCACACACAACCATTTCTAGGGTTTACAAAGAATGGAGTGAAAAGGATAAAAACATCCAGTACGCGGCAGTCCTGTGGGCGAAAATGCCTTGTTGATGCTAGAGGTCAGAGGAGAATGGGCCGACTGATTCAAGCTGATAGAAGAGCAACTTTGACTGAAATAACCATTTGTTACAACCGAGGTATGCAGCAAAGCATTTGTGAAGCCACAACACGCACAGCCTTGAGGCGGATGGGATACAACAGCAGAAGACCCCACCGGGTACCACTCATCTCCACTACAAATAGGAAAAAGAGGCTACAATTTGCAAGAGCTCACCAGAATTGGACAGTTGAAGACTGGAAAAATGTTGCGTGGTCTGATGAGTCTCGATTTCTGTTGAGACATTCAGATGGTAGAGTCAGAATTTGGCATCCATCCATCATTGTTACCACTGTGCAGGCTGGTGGTGGTGTAATGGTCTGGGGGATGTTTTCTTGGCACATTTTAGGCCCCTTCGTGCCTATTGGGCATTGTTTAAATGCCACGGCGTACCTGAGCATTGTTTCTGACCATGTCCATCCCTTTATGGCCACCATGTCCCCATCCTCTGATGGCTACTTCCAGCAGGATAATGCACCATGTCACAAAGCTCGAATCATTTCAAATTGGTTTCTTGAACATGACAATGAGTTCACTGTACTAAAATGGCCCCCACAGTCACCAGATCTCAACCCAATAGAGCATCTTTGGGATGTGGTGGAACGGGAGCTTCGTGCCCTGGATGTGCATCCCACAAATCTCCATCAACTGCAAGATGCTATCCTATCAATATTGCTTTCGGCACCTTGTTGAATCAATGCCACGTAGAATTAAGGCAGGTTTAAGGCTAACTCTAACCCTGAAGGTGAAAGGGGGTCAAACAATAAACTTGTTGCAGGCTTAGTTGGTTTACAGTGTTGACATCCATTCCATTCAATTTTACAAGTGATTAGAACAGCTTTCCAACGGATGAATGAACTTAGTTTTAAGTTATAAGTGACTTGAAACAGCAGTTAGCCATTTCAGTAGAAAAAGTTTTCTTAGGTTCAAATTAGGTTGATAACCTTTAAAGAAATCAGAATAAAATACCTGATTATAATCAAACATTTGGCATCCTATGCATTAACACATGTATACACACTTTTAAGTACACATATGAACCGTATGCACTCTAATGCAACAATATCATACTTAATATAAGGTTCAAATATGGTTCAACACACAAGATGGCATTTATCTGAATATAAATTGGCAATTAAGCTTGTTCAAACTCTACCAGCAGCGTATCGTGTTGACTAATCACTGATGTGCATCCGATTTCTGTCATCCTCATTCACTCATAACTCTCTTCAGCCACGTAATCCTTTCCTCAGAAGAGACATTGTGCAATTGGAAGCTCATCTTTCTGGCTGCTTAATGTGTTTGAATGCGATTTTTAACGGATGTATGGATTTTCTTGTTACAGGAATGTCATCAGGCTCTTCAGAACACACTGCAGATTATTTCAGCTCTTCATGACATTGTCTATTACTTGGTGAGCTTTGCTCGGCTGGGGAATCCAAATACTTCCTTCAGTCCCGACAGCGCTCAGAGGCTCACAGCGGACTGGGGCGGCTTAGAGAGCATCGGTATATAATAATTCTGTACAACAAACAGTGTGGCTCATAATCAGCTTAAAGGGGTCCTATTATGCTATTTCATTTTTCCAACATTACGTAGTGTGTAATTTTGCTGTTTGAGCATAAAAACTCAGCTCAATGTCGACTCCAAAGGGAGATATTTTATTTAACAGAATCTACTTTCCAAGAACTAACACAAATGGCTCGATTGGACTTTTCTGGATACTCATTTAAATAATCCGCGCCTTTGGATTACACAAAAAAGGGGATGAGGCCTGGCTGAGCTGCATTAGAGAAGACAGTGTTATCATTGCTATGTCAAAGAAACATCCAAAACCCATTTGTTTGACCTTCCTAAGGCTGACAAACTTAGAGTGGTTCAATTTTATTTTAAACATTGTTCCCTGAACATTTTAACCCCAATATTTATCTGTGCGCTGCACATTTTATGGAGAACAGCTTGTTTTCTGTTGCTTTTGTAAGCTCTCGCTTTTGTACGATGGTTCAACACTCCTTAGGAAAATGAACCATGGTTTTGTGATCTCTTTGCATTACCATAGTTTTCCGACAAATATCACGATTAAAGGGTTAGTTCACCCAAAAATGAAAATTCTGTCAGTATTTACTCACCCTCATGTTGTTTCAACCCCGTAAGACCTTCGTTCATCTTCAGAACACAAATTAAGATATTTAAGATATTAAGATCGCTCTTGCATACAGTAAATAGGCTTCTTGAGGGACTGGCTCTTGCTGTCCCCGAAAAGTCATTAAAGACATCGTTAAAATAGTCCAAGTGACTACAGGGGCTCAATCTTAAGTTTATCAAACGACGAGAACACTTTTGTGCGCAAAAAAACAACAAAAATAACGGCTTTATTTCAACTATTCGTTTATTTCTCCCTCTGCCTCGAGTCAGGTTACTAGTTTAATAGCGTAAGCTTCTGTTATTGTACGTCACACGCATCACACACACATGACCAGCGTCGGCCAATAGTGAGCCTACGTGTGACGTAGCTCTACGCAATCACACTACGTTAACTGACTTACAGGCTCATGGAGAAGGAAGTGAATATTTGAAATAAAGTCGTTATTTTTTTTTTTTTTTTTGCGTGTTCAAAAGTGTTCTCGTCGTTTGATAAACTTAAGATTGAGCCCCTGTAGTCACTTGGACTATTTTAACGATATCATTAATGACTTTTCGAGGACAGCAAGAGCCAGTACCTCAAGAAGCCTATGGAGTGTATGCAGGAGCGATCTTAATATCTTAAATATCTTAATTTGTGTTCCGAAGATGAACGAAGGTGGGTGACACAACATGAGGGTGAGTAAATACTGACAGAATTTTCATTTTTGGGTGAACTAACCCTTTAAATGGCGGATAACATTGTATTATAATGTATAATGTATAAGAAAATATCAAAAAACACACCACTCTATGCTGTGTCTGTGCATGAAATCCGTTCTGCACAATCCTCTTGTTCATTAACATTGTCAGGGTCTGAATCAGACGTGAATTGGTTTGAAATTGACATCATCCTTATTCATATTTAGACTAGAGCAGAAGTTGCAGTTATGGAGGGGCTGGACATTCACCAAACATGCGCTAAGCGGTGCCAATCACAACATATAGCCAACTAACCAATCACAGCACATTTCGTATTTCAGAAAGAGGGAGTTCATCAAAACCATAAACTAAACTGCACATTTGAGACGAGGTGCTGTAATGTAAAATATGTGAAAAATAATCTTTTTTGACCAATCAAGCATGTAAACATGTACACCCACATTCTAATTCTAAACTTTCTAGTACACCCCAAAAACAAAATCAAGACTTTGTTGAAGGGCATAAAAGCACCCCTTTAAAATATACACTGTGCAGTTTTTAGCTGATATTGTGCGACTTCCAGCCCAGTGTTTCCTTACGCTCTGATGTTTGTCCAAAGGGGCTGAACTGTGGGACGTCCAGCGACAGATTGACTCTCTCTGTGAGCCCAGAAGTTCAGAGAATGTCGGGCGGCTCCTGCAGCTACACAGGGATGTGCTCTTCCTGCGCTTCGATACCGCAGTGCGCTACATGATCAGGTGCTTGTAAACGACAGATTTCACAGCATTAGTCTCAATGCCAAATAATAACGTTTTGAGATTATATAGAGGAGAACTTTTGTGAAAAATCTTAAAATGGACGTTTTGAGTGTTCTTGTCTGTTTCTAGGTTGGTTTTCTTGTTCTGTTAGTTCTGGTCCCTGTCAGTTTGTCACCATGGTGTCTGATTTGATTAGAGTTTGAGTTCAGGTGTTTCCAGTTAATTAGTCTCATTAGTTCCTCTGTTCCTGTTTTTCTGTTCATTGTCAGTTCTACGTTGTGTTATGTTGGTTGTTCTATTCATTGTCTTGTTATTCTTGAGTGCTTTGTGAAGATTTTAGTTAGTTCTTGAAAATTAAAGTTAAAGCTCTGGCACTTAGATCCTGTTTCATCTCTGTTGCAACCAATGCTGACAGGTCAAAATTACAGATGTAACTTTAGTAACACGTTGGTTTCATACATTTAAAAAATGTTTTTATTTTATTTTTTATTTTTTGTACTTCCACTGAAGAAATATCCAGTGGTTATAACCATAAGTTAAAACATAATATTATAAAATAATATGGTAACACTTTACAATAAGGTTCATTAGTTAACATTAGTAAATGCATTAACTAACATGAACTAACGATGAGCAATGCATTAGTTACAGTGTTTATTAATCTTTGTTAATATTAGTTAATACAAATACAGCTGTTCATGGTGTGTTCATGTTAGTTCACAGTGCATTAACTAATGTTAACTAATACAACCTTTGATTTTAATAACGTATTAGTAAATGTTGGAATTAATATTAACTAAGATTAATAAATGCTGAAGAAGTATTGTTCACGTATTGTACATGTTAACTAATGTAGTTAACTAATGTTAACTAATGAACCTTATTGTAAAGTGTTACCAATAATATAGAATCACATTTTAATGTATACAGAATTATTGTTACAAAAAACATTTTAAAATGTTTTCAAGGTAACACTAATTGTAAAAAATATAATTAACATTTGTTGTTTTTTGATTTGACAACCTGAATCAACCGAGTAGTTACAGAAGAGAAGATGGTGTTGTTATTTTAGTGTCATAGAGATACATAGTTTTTATTTGTATATTTCCTTACTTTTTAATTTGAAATTTTAAGTAAATTTGTTGTGTGTTTTTGTCTTTATGTTTTATTTTTTAAAATTTTGGTATAGTTTTTTTTTATATAAAGTTAAACTGAATGAAAACACAGTATTTCGGTTCTTGTCTCTTCACAAGGGAGATGTTCCTCTCCTCTGGAAACCTCTCGGCCTATCAGAGCGTGAGTGAAAACATGAGCCACGCCCTCCCTATCATGAGTGACAGCGCGCTGAGAAAAGCCAGTTTCCTCCCTGTTCCTCAGCCGTTAGAACCGGCTTGCCTTCAGGTGAGAAACCTCCAGGCCTGTCCAGCATGTACATCCTACATGCTCATCAATCACTAGTGTTTAAAAGCATCACGGAACATTTACATTTATTCATTTAGCTGACGCTTTTATCCAAAGCGACTTAAAATTGCTATATATGTCAGAGGTCGCACGCCTCTGGAGCAACTAGGGGTTAAGTGTCTCGCTCAGGGACACATTGGTGTCTCACAGTGGATTTGAACCCGCGTCTCTCACACCAAAGGCATGTGTCTTATCCACTGCGCCATCACCACCCACACAGAACATACTTCATAAAGCTGGTTGATTCCAGCCGGTTCTGCTTCTTTTATAGACCATTTTGCAAAGATGTAAACAACACTGGTCCAGAAACACTTCCTGTTTCAGTTTGTAAATATTTTCTTTATTTCACACGTAAAGAAAACATCTTAAAGATGTTTGTTTTACTTTTTGATTCAGTTTTATATGTTCTGTTGGTTGTAAAAATCCCAGCTTTTATGTGTTGTTTACATCTTGAAACAGGACGTGCTTCTGGACCAGTGTTGTTTACATCTTGCAAAATGGTCTATATGTGGTTTCAGGCCCAAAAATGGTATCCATGGAGATCTTTTCTTGCAATCTATGGATCGCACCCTTTCATCATATGGGACGTCTCCCAGATTGAGCATTACATGCAGGTGTGTAACTTTGCAAATGCTTTTTGTTTTTAGTCCTCCTCTGTTTTATTAGCATTAGGATCAGGCAATCCTGTGGTGTTTTTTGTTTTTTTTGTAGCTCTGCCTCTGTGATCTGAATGACCGCTGTAGAATGGAGGCTAATGGGGCGATACTGGGCGTATCTTTGATCATTGATGATGTGCTCAGTAGTGGAAGAGATGCAGCGCCCCTCCGGCTACAGACCACGGGAGACCCCGACATCACTGCGACGTTCGATAGAGAGGTAGAGAGAAAAATTCAATGCTACAAGAAGTTAAATTGGAATGACAGGAAGAGAAATTCAAACAACAAAATCCTGCATTTATGTAATTCAAACACTAGAACATGTTTTTAACAACACCGAGGTCATGGGTTTGTAACGGTGGCAACCTCGGAAATAAATTCCTTAAATTACTTTTAAAGAAATTCGGGCGCCAGGCAGAATTAAATCCACCAAAATCATTTAATGTAGGCTAAATTAACCCATGTAGGATGAGAATGCATGAACTAAAATAATGTATACCTTAAATGCAATGTAATTCACTTTGGATAAAAGCAAATACAGTAATGTTAATGTCATCTTTCAGGTCCTTAATGAAAACATGGGAAATGAGGAGAGAAAAATGGAAGTTGCGTCTAAAACTCAAACCCCCATACAGTCCCTGATGAACCAGCGGGGATTTTTACTGCTCTGGAAGCAGATGGAAGTTTTTAAAGAGAGCTGGACCCAACGACAGATGGGTGTTGAGACAATAAACAGCCCTGCACAGTTTAAACACTTTTCTCAGCTTTACAGGTCATGAACATTTCATCACTATTTCAATCACCCACTCTTTCATTAAAGTTTGAGGTGAAACAAATATGTGTGTTATTCTGCCCCATGATCTTGTGTTTTAGGGTGGAGATTTACTTTCCCAGCATGCAAGCTCTGGCCCAGCAGATGGATAAGGAGAAGGAATATGAGATTGTGCTATCTCAGAGTCAGTCTGTCCTCCCACCAGCTGGAGCAGCAGAAGTTGACGTCAAAACGTGGCAGGTACTGGATGTGAACCAGGGTTATTATCATTTACTAAAACTTAAATTAATCTGAAATCAAATAAAATCAAATATACATATTAGATTTGAATTGGAAAGGATGTCTTGGCAAATAGGAAATAAAATTAAATAAAACTAAAACTGAAATAAAAATAAATTGAACCTACATAATAATATGTAAAAAAATCGAATAAAAAGATATTTTTAAAAACAAACTAAAATGAAAAAAATTAATTCAAGCTAATTCTAAATAGGAATAAAACTATAATAGTATATTATTATAAATTATTATAGTATATAAATTCAACAAAAATTAATAACTGGAAATTAATAAACACTTAACTGAATTAAAATGGAAATTAAACCTAAACAGTAATATTTTTAAAAAAAATAACAAAAATGACAAAAGCACAAAATATTCATAAAAACTTTAAGTATAAGATTTATAAATTATATATAAAGTTGAAGTGCTAAAATGGTTAACTATAAATACAAAAATAAAAAATTAAATCTAAATAGTAATATTTAAAACACCTAATAAAAAGACAAAAGAACATAACAATGACTAAATGCTAATCTGAAAATATAAAATTAAAATATACTATTACTGTATAATAATAGTAATAAAATGCTAAGATGATGTGAACCTGCTTTTTTGTTTGTTTGTTTTTTTTTTTGTTTGTTTGTTTGAAACATTGGGATCCACAAACCAAAGATCTGAACAATCATCAAATTAATATTCTGTGGCTATGAAACCAAACAGCCATGATGCGTTCTTAAAAGTAAAAAAATATATACAGTACATCCTTAATTGTCAGACCGCCTTTGACTGTTCATTGATGTGATTATTTTGATTGATATCTTTGGCATAGATAGTCCACATGAGACCGGTATGTTTGCTGTGTTTGTTGTAGTTACTGAGACTCTTGGAGATCACGGAGTGTGACATGATCCGAGCTCTTCAGAAGAGGATTAACAGTGAAGTGACTCTAGTGATGTCGGAGCGCTCTCGGCACGACCCGGGACTCCCCACAGGTACACAGCAGCCTTTGCATGAACCCAGAGGAGATCACACAGCACTATGGGGCTGGGCCTGATTCTCCCTGGAGGCTGTCTCTAGAAAGACAATAAACTTCATCTAAGCTGGCCTATAATTAGGATATTATAATATTTTCATCTCAACAAAACAGTAGTCCTTTCTAGAATGTGTTGCTTTATTCATCCCAAACTTCCTCTGCTGTCTTCACATGTAATGAAGAACTGTGGAAACGGCCTTCAATGAAGCACAGCGTCTCTCTAGAGAGACCTCAGATTGTGGAGGATTTCATCCAGCGGTTGATGAACGGTGCTGAGGGTGAGACCGATGGACAGGTAAATATTTCTCACTAAAAACAAAGCTTTTCGCAGCCATGCCATTGAAAAAACATTTCCGTTCCCCAAAGAACCTTTCAGTAAATTCAGTTATTAAAGGAGTAGTTCACTTGAAAAAAACTTTTGCTGATAATTTTACTCACCCCCATGTCATCCAAGATGTCCATGTCCATGTCCATGTCATTCCAGAATTTTTCTCCATTATAATGGACTTCATTGGGAACCAAACAGTTCAAGGTCCAAAAGACAGTTTCAGTGCAAACTGTTCAAAGTACTTTAAACGATTCCAGACGATGAATAAAGGTCTTATCTAGCGAAACGATCTCTCATTTAAAAAAAATAACATATAGGTTTTATAAGCTCAAATGGTCACCTTGCTCTGTTAGGGTTAGGGTGTGATGTGTGTTTGTGACTCTTCTAATCGAACTTGTTCATCAAAATGAACAAATCTTTTCCCGAGTCAACTCGTTCATTTCGTCACTAAAAAAAAAATTGTTCATTTTGATAAACGAGTTCGAACAGGAGAGTCACGAATGCGTACCACAGAACAGAGCAAGATGACCATTTGAGCTTATAAAACTTAAACTTTGCTATTTTTTAAAAAAAACGAGCGATCGTTTGTCTTGATAAGACCCTTATTCATCGTCTGAAATCGTTTAAAGCCCTTTGAAAAGTTTGCAGTTTGCACTGAAACTCTCATTTGGACCTTGAACCGTTTGGTTCCCATTGAAGTCCATTATATGGAGAAAAATTCTGGAATGTTTTCATCAAAAACCTTAATTTCTTTTCGACTGAAGAAAGAATGACATGGACATCTTGGATGACATGAGGGTGAGTAAATTATCAACAAAAGTTTTTTTTTTTTTAAAGTGAACTACTCCTTTAAAGGAACCCTTGTTTTCTTAGTGTGAAGAACATTTTAAAGTGCCTCTATTTTAGTTATTTTACAGGTTCCTAATCTAAAGGTCTCCTATAATATGTTTACATGCATCCAAGCTATAAAAAAAAAAACCCTTTAATTTTCTTATAATATACATTGCAGCATCACCTCTTTATCACAGTGTCTGAAACGGTCGATAAAAGATTCAACCTCTCTAAACTCCTACTTTCCGAGAGCCTCGTGTTATCTGATTAGTCAGATTGCCCAGTCTTTTGTGACTGGTCTACTGGTCTATGTGTTGGAAACTAAACACCCATTACCATTTCTGAAATTCAGCTTTGGAAGACTTCCTCACTAGGCCTGTCGCAATAATTACTATATCGACTTATTGCACGATATATATCTCAATAAAATCCAGCTAAAATCTAACAGCTGCGCACCAAACTCCTCCAGTTTCTGCTACAACTGCAGTGTTTGAGGGCAGGTCAAAGGGAAAGTTGCTACTGGGCAGCCAATGAAGACCAAAGGCTGCATTATGCAAATGTGTTACACACCTAGGTAGGTTCGTGCTGGAAGTAAGACTTGATTTACAGATGACTCATTTCAGGCAGTTCAGAATCGATCCTTTCTTTTAGGAGACAGTCTAGGAAAGGGAAGGATAAAAGTGGAAATCATGTCAGTCGACAGAAAGAAGAGACGTCTCTGGAAGATGATTATCTACAGGCATACCATGATCAGATCTGACAAGAGGAAGAGACTTCTGGGAAAAAGACGGCACGGAAGAAAGCTGTGTTAAACAGTGTTGCATTATGACAGCGTTGTTCAATCCCATGACCGATATGCTGTGTAATAGACTGAAATATAAATGTGAATTGTTTTCAAGGTGACGTTCTCCAGCACTCATCTGCAGGAGTGTTTGACTGAACTGGCTTGTGATGTGATGAGCCGTGAGCGGAGTGTCTTCCAGAGCTATTCTCAGTTTTATGAGCAGATCCTTCAACAGCAGGAACAACTACTCTACCAGAGAGAGCAGGTACGTCTAGAAATGTTGGGGTCGGTAAGTTTGTTAAATTTATTTCACCAAGACTGCATCTATTTGATCAAAATACAGTAATATTATGAAATATTATTACAATGTAAAACAACTGTGTTCTATTTGAATATATTTTAAAATGTAATTTATTCCTGTGATTAGTGTTGGGTGTAACTAATTACTAAGTAATTAGTTACTGTAATTTTAACTACTTTTTCCTTGAAAATGTAAAGTAAGGGATTACTCTTCATTTATCTGTAATTTAATTACAGTTACTTCTGATGTAATTGAGGTAAATACTGTGTTTAGATCAATCCGATCTCACAGCGAATCGTATGCATTTTATGAGGTGTCTAAATATTACGACCGCACTCGAATTATTGTAAAATATGTATGAAAAAAAGTGTGAAATGTCATGAGATCAGACATAAAACAATAGTGGGTTTAACATCAAAATGTATTGTCTGATGCTAAAAAGTATGTTTTTATAATGTAACCTTCTCCACCTTGGTCAGTTTAAGGATAATTCGTGCAATTTTATAGTATTTATTTGAAAGAATTAAGACTTGTATTATTCAGCTGGTTGAGATTGATATGGGATTTTGAAAGTAATTAGTAATTAAAAGTAATTAAATACTTTTTAGAGAGAGTAATCAGTACAGTAATGTAATTACACTGTTGAAGAGGTAATTAGTAACTAGTAATTAATTATTTTTTTAGAGTAACTTACCCAACACTGCCTGTGATGCCAAGCTGAATTTTCAGCATCATTTCTCCAGACTCCAGTGTCACGTGATACATTTTTTAGGATTCTTTAATGAATAGAAAGTTCAAAAGGCACAGCATTTATTTGAAATAGAAATCTTTTGTGAATCTATTAGTGAAGTGAGAGATTCAGCAGAGCTGCAGCAAGATACACGTCTCTTTCTCAACTGTGAACAATCTGTTTCTGCAGGACATTAAAGAACTAGAGGCCAAAGAAACGCAGGCCAGTGACCCCTACAGAAAGGTAAACTCAGGGTTGTGCATTTAGTGCCACCATCCTTCTCCCCATGATCAGTAAACATGTCGAATCTCAGGTGGCGGACGTGTGTCGGGGGATGATGATTGACATCACGGCTCTGCGTGCCAGAGTAAGTCAACTGGAGGAGGAGAAGAGAAGCTTAGATCAACATCTCAACCTCAAACACAGAGAACGCTATGACACGCTGGTCCGCCAGCTCTTTTCCTCATGCGTTCTTTTGAAGGTGTGTGTAACCCTGATTTGAAGATCCCATCAAATTCTCACACATGCATAGTTTTCAGTGTTGATATATGGACTAAATCCATGTGTAGATGACATAATCGTGACATAATCACGTTGGTCCATTTTGGAAAACGTGTAGATGTCACGGTTTAGTTTAAACTCAAAACCATAAATAGGGCTATACTGCCCTCTTGTGTCAAATTATATTTCTATATTTATTTTTCCAACAAATAAAACCAAACCGTCAATAAACACCCATTCAATACACCTTTGATCTCAACAGATTCAGTGGCTTAATTGATAAAGCGTTGGGCTTTTGTTTGCGTTAACACGCTCCAGTGGAGAGATATCCAGATGTTTATTCGCCTCTGCCATAACGACCTATCGGTTTTCATTAAACCGAGAAAATGGAATTTTGTTTTATTTACGATCACTGAGAAATGTTCTATTATTTAAAATGCAAAAAAAAAAAAAAAAAAAAAAAAACTTTATTATTTTCAAGGTGAAAAGGATTCATTTGCCTGGATCCACGCCGAAGAAAACGTCTAAATGTCACATTTTTAATGAAGCAGCCTAATGAGTAAAATGTCTATTTTCTTGGAATTATTACATTATTACATTACATTTTCTTGGAATTATTAACGTATTACATCGACGTTAAACCACGTTAACTGTGTTAACCATAACCTTTTAAATACTCGACCCAGTTCCGTTGCTTAGCAACGGGAAGAAACTCCTGTAACTTCAGTGCCCAACCCGTATCACGACAAGACGTGAAATAATCACGTTGGTCCACTTTGGAAAACGTGTAGATGTCACGGTTTAGTTTAAACTCAAAACCATAAATAGGGCTATACTGCCCTCTTGTGTCAAATTATATTTATTTTTCCGACAAATAAAACCAAACCCGCAATAAAAGCCCATCCAATAACCCCTTGAACTCAACAGATTCAGTGGTTCAGTTGATAAAGCGTTGGGATTTAATCAAGAAGACCTGAGCTCAATTCCCATACTTGCTTACATTCAATTGTGATTATATCAAACAAAGTGGCCAATACAACATTTCTTCAACCCGGTATCACGACAAGACGTGAAATGATCAACTTTGTCCACTTTTGAAAACGTGTAGATGTCACGGGTTAAACCCCCTCAAACGTGAAACTTACACTTAAACTGAAACTTACCATCACGACCTATATTTCATTAAACCGAGAAAAATGGAATTTTGTTTTATTGACGATCACTGAGAAATGGTCTATTATTTAAAATGCCAAAAACATGTATTATTTTCAAGGTGAAAAGGATTCATTTGCCTTGATCCACGCCGAAGAAAACGTCTAAATGTCACATTTTTAATGAAGCAGCCTAAATTATTATTATTATTATTGTTATTTGCTTGGCGTCAGCTGGCTCAACTCTCTGTGCCGCCCACAGTCACGTCTTGACAAATACCACATGAATATGGACCAAGATGTGCGACAGCTGGTGAGCAGCGTGAGGAAAGAAGGCGTGGACAGGATCATCAAACTGAAAAATAAATTGTCCTCCACTAATGATAATGAGACCCTCATTCACACACTTCAGGAGGTGAACTGCTAGAATGAGCTTTGTTATAAAGGAGTTGTTGTTGTTGTGTGTCTATATTAGGGTTGTCAAACGATACAAAATAAAAGTTTGTGTTTACCTAATATGTATGGGTGCACAGTGTGTAATTATTTTGTATAAATAATACACACACATGCATGTATATTTAAGAAAAAAATATTATTTATATATAAAATATTTATAAATTATATATAAATCGAAATACTATATATACATGAAAATGTTTCTTAAATATATACAAGCATGTGTGTGTATTTATATATATAAAATAATTATACACAGTGCACCCACATATATTATGTAAACACAAACTTTCATTTTGGATGCGATTAATTGCGATTAATGGTTTGACAGCCTATATATGTATATACTGTATATGTGATCATATTTTCTTGGCATTACTGTAATACAATCACTTACGAAAAAACGATCACTTTAAATTGTACATACATAAAGTACAGTTGGAAATATAATGGTAGATTTTGTTGAAAAAAATATTTTACTATTTGGATTTGGCCATTCATGTGGACGTGAGATGAGTTGTTGTGTAAAACCGAGGTTCACAGAAGTAGATTGTTCTGAAAAAAACAGCTTGCTGCTTATTACTATGATAATTATAATAATAATTGTGTCTGTGCATAATAATTTTCAGTAGTACATTAACATTTACATAACAGTAATGTAAATATTGGTATGCATAATTGCCATGAAAATAATGTTATCAGTTTCAGTTTTTCTTTACGCAAAATATCATTTCCAATTTTTTTTGTGTGAAATGTGACTTGGAACGTTCTTTGCGGCATTGATCCTACAGTATTATCATTGTTTTGTTCAGAAAGAGGTATTAGAAGATCTTCATGCAGAGAACAGCAAGCTAGCTGGACTTCTGTGTAAACTGAGAACCTTCAGCCACTGGAGGCTGGTGATCGGTCAAGAGAAGCTGCAAAAAGAGCTGCTGCAGTGGCAACTGGTATTAAGAACATGTTTAATAATCCCAGGCGTTGGTTCATCGTTTCTCATCCTCTTTTGCCTGTAGTATTGCTGAATGTTGCTCCTGTTTGTCCAGAATGAGGTGTCATGTAAAACCGAAGCACTTAAATTGAAGATGATCTCAGAGCAGCAGGAGATTGTTCAGAAAGAAGAGCTTGATGCTGTGAAGGAGGCCATGCTACAGTCTAAGAGTGACTATGAGCAGATGAGGAGACAGATCATTCAGCAGGTACGACCCTGAGCCTTCTCATCTACATGTCCATTCTTTGGTGAAGACAAAGACAGGTATCTGAAATATGCTGTAATTATGATGATTCTAGAGGTACGTGGATTTAAAATGAACTTAGTTATGATCTCAGTCCAGGATTAATAAAAAAGTACTGAGAAATTATACTTAAGTTAACGTATAGTTACAAATAATTTACTCAATCACAGTTTTTCTCCATTGGTTTGGCTCATTTCTTGAAACAGAAATTACATTCTCAAAACAACATGGACAAACCTCCAAACTACTTGGCAATTGTTCACAACAGAATTGAATTTCTCATTCAGTTCATCAAATTGCAAATGCCTAAGTACATGTCTCAATGTCTCAGTACATCTTTGCAAATGATTAAGTACAGGTAAATAATACACCTCTGTTTCAGTCTCAGAAGCTGCAAGACGTGGAGCATCGCTCTACACGAGACGCACAAAGCCGACAGGAGCTGGAGAGCCTGAAGAGACAGAGCCTGGAGCAGCTGCAGGAAGATGTGCAGGACAGAGAGAGTCAACTCAGGACTCTGAGCGCACAACTCGAGAAAAACAGCAAAGAGACGGAGCTATGGCAACAGCGCAGACACAAGCAAATCAAACAAGTGGGTCTGAAATGAATGAACTGATGAAATGTAAACCTTTACCACAATATAAGTCGTTTTGGATAAAAGCCTTTGCCAAATGCAAAAATGTTCATTGTATTTTGAAGGTGAGAGGTCAGCTTCATCAGGAGCGGAGCCTGAAACAGGAGGCGTTCCAGCAGGTCGACAAACTACAAAGTCAGATGCACAATTTTGAGGCAGCATTGTGCAAATCTACATTTGCTTCAGGTGCTCTCAATACTGTTTTTATTGGACATTTTTAGAATTAAGGAAACATTTTTATTCATATCAGTTACTTTTTCATGCTTCAGGACGCCAAAGCTCCTCTTCGAGAAGGCTACATTTAAGAAACACATCGGCAGGTAAATCTATTTTCAATTTAACATACTTTATTGGCATGATTGAGCTTACAGTATTGCCAAACCATTAACACAGCACAGTAATATACACAAGTAATGATAAGAAAAATATGCAATATAACAATAAAAAATTATTAATATAAACAATCTAATATCTATACATATATTACATATACATACATATACTGTATATATATATATATATATATATATATATATGTTCATTTCCGGGGGAGGTAAATGTTTTGCTTACTGTATAGCACTACTAAGAGCCTGTAGTCAAAATGTAAATTGTAAAATAAACCTTGTTGCAAGCAGAGAATCAGAACCAAATACGTATTGTACACAAGTTTCATTAACTAAATCACAAACATAACAACTAAACGCACATTTACATGCATAGGTAAAATGGTGAGTGACAGAATGAAACCGGAAGCAGGAAATGTAACAATGGAAAAGATCCATTTAACAATGAAAAGAACCATCAGTTTAAATCTGGCGCGGCCCCGCAGGACAGCAACCCGGACGTACAAGAGAGGGTCAAGAGAGGGAAGGGCTTGTGCAGAGGTCATTTAAAGTCTGAGAAAGGTCCCACCTTTCAGGGTTGGCTCAACCAATAAGAAAGGGGGAATTTCTAAGCGGGAGATTCCTCTGTTGGGAGGATTTATGGCTATCTCAAGTGTGGTTAGACATATTGCCGTTTGTGTCCATTTATACTCAGACAGAGAGAACAAACACACACTGCATTCTAAGAGAAGGTAATGTACACTAAAGTGTGAGTCATTAAATGAGGATTAATTAGATAGGAGACACGGGTGGGGTTACATTGACCGTTGGTTGTATAATAAAATACATAGTGTAGTATCAAAGAAATAATAGTACACAAGAAATCATTCACAGTGACCTGGGGTGCATGTTCATTTATAGATCAGTTCATCCATAAATTGATGCAAAATCTGTTTTAAGGGCTGTGGGTCTTTTCTATGGCCTCTGATTTTCCCACGTGACCACATTTTTAATAGCAATAAAAGCAACTTCTACATAACCAACTTCTAAACCAAGACCCTTCTATATCTATATATTTACATGGACACACAAATATGTGTGTATACATACACAAATAAGCACAAACTTTTATGTTAGCCAACCAATCACATGACAGTTGCTTCAATGCATTTAGGGGTGTGTTCCTGGTCAAGACAATCTCCTGAACTCCAAACTGAATGTCAGAATGGGAAAGAAAGGTGATTTAAGCCATTTTGAGCGTGGCATGGTTGTTGGTGCCAGACGGGCTGGTCTGAGTATTTCACAATCTGCTCAGTTACTGCGATTTTCACGCACAACCATTTCTAGGGTTTACAAAGAATGGTGTGAAAAGGGAAAAACATCCAGTATGCGGCAGTTCTGTGGGTGAAAATGCCTTGTTGATGCTAGAGGTCAGAGGAGAATGGGCCGACTGATTCAAGCTGATAGAAGAGCAACTTTGACTGAAATAACCACTCGTTACAACCGAGGTATGCAGCAAAGCATTTGTGAAGCCACAACACACACAACCTTGAGGCGGATGGGCTACAACAGCAGAAGACCCCACTGGGTACCACTCATCTCCACTACTAATAGGAAAAAGAGGCTACAATTTGCTCACCAAAATTGGACAGTTGAAGACTGGAAAAATGTTGCCTGGTCTGATGAGTCTCGATTTCTGTTGAGACATTCAGATGGTGGAGTCAGAATTTGGCGTAAACAGAATGAGAACATGGATCCATCATGCCTTGTTACCACTGTGCAGGCTGGTGGTGGTGGTGTAATGGGGTGGGGGATCTCAATAGAGCATCTTTGGGATGTGGTGGAACGGGAGCTTCGTGCCCTGGATGTGTATCCCACAAATCAACTGCAAGATGCTATCCTATCAATATGGGCCAACGTTTCTAAAGAATGCTTTCAGCACCTTGTTGAATCAATGCCATGTAGAATTAAGGCAGTTCTGAAGGCGAAAGGGGGTCAAACACAGAATTAGTGTGGTGTTCCTAATAATCCTGTAGGTGAGTGTGTATATACTATATACGTATATATATATATATATACACACACACACAGACCCTGTATTATATGCACTAGTCTGTAGATGTCTGATTATATTGCTCAAGGCAGTAGTTCGTTTCGAGTCATTTTCTCTGAATCTTTTTGCATCTACACATGACGTGTTCATCTCTGTGCCTTGTTGTATTGCAGGATTGCTCAGGAACAACTCAGTTATGTCTACAAACAGTAGCTTTATAAACACAATCGATGACCTCAACAATGAATCTGGTTGGATAGAGTCTTGGACACCTCTTGATAGACCCAAAACAGTGAGTTTTAATTGATTCTGTAGTAAAAGACATTTAACATGCCAAGCATTACAGGAATAGTTTGCCTAAAAGTGAAATGATTTCTTCTTTATTAACTCATGTCTTTCTAACCTGTCTTGACTGTCACTTTAAATAAAATTCTGATCATATAACAAAGAATATCAGTTATGTGGTATGAACTGTAATTGTAATAATTGTTTTTTTTTTACATTCCATTGGTCTAATTCACAGTATTCCAGTCATCTTCGTCTGGACATTTCAGAGGCGCTGTTACCCAGTCTTCCTGATGGAATCGCATCTTCCAACCACCAGTCATACCATAATCTTAGATTGGGTCACAAGTAAATCATCTGAAACCTCACAAACTTAGACCTTTTGACACTTGTATTGATAGAGATTGTAGAGAGACGACAGGATATTAGAGGAGAGAATGGAGGTAGTTGTAAGTTGGATCTGAAAACGTCTCGGTTACGGATGTAACCCTCGTTCCCTGAGTAGGGAACGGAGACGTTACGTCAGGAGTGACGGAGAATGGGGGTTTCGCATAGAAAGCCAATCCTCTTCGAGCATTTAATAACGAGCCAATGGCATGAAAATGCCTTGGGGCTGCGGAATTTGCATAGCGTAACTCCGCCTCACCCCATGGGTATAAAAGGAGGAAGTGAACGCAACCGCAGTATGTCTTTGCTGAGGAGCCAAGACTGAACTCAGGCGTCTACCCAGCGGTACAGCAGAAGTGGCAAGGAGACGTAACGTCTCCGTTCCCTACTCAGGGAACGAGGGTTACATCCGTAACCGAGACGTTCCCTTTCGTAGTCACTCCGAGTTACGTCAGGAGTGACGGAGAATGGGGGTCTGTGCCATCAAGCCATCTTACAGCTGTCTTCCAGTGCCCTGCGAAAGTCTGGACTCCTGAACTTACCTTATAACCAGGAGTTCCTACTTTAACACAGGAATACCAAGGTACACTGGGAAACATATCCCGGAAGGGACATGCTACCAGATGCCTACCGAAGGAGGACTTACAAATACACATATGGCCGAATAGGGACTACATATGGAGATCACTGGAGCACCAACCGCAGGTGGCTAGAACTTAACTCCAGGGGTGGCAGATGGCTTGCCGAGGGAAGACACATGCTCAGAGAGGCTTACAGTGGAGTAATACACATGAAACAGTTACCATAGGGAACCGTGCACATGGAGGCACCTAGCCGGCATCCAGAGCAACAGCAGTGGTGCCCGCATCGTAGGTGCTGGAGGACTCAAGGCTTCAAAGGAAGACTACTGAGGAATATCGCACTTATCCAGTCCGAGGAGTGGAATGGCGAGCAAGCGAAGACACCTAAGCGGGTCCATACTGGCGAAAGCGAGTACGTGAAAGGACACCGGCTCAATTCACAGATTATAGAATCTCGTGAAGGTGTTTGGTGTCGCCCATCCTGCAGCTCTGCAAATGTCTGTTAGCGAGGCGCCATGCGCCCAGGAGTTACCCCGTGCGGATGCACAGTCAAGCCCCGTTCCCCGACAGAAGAGACCAGGGAAGGACCAGAGTTCCACAGGGGTCTGTTCTGCCTGGGGGTCTGGCGATAGAGGGGGAGGGGAGTGGCGTAGTTGAGGGACGACACACGCTCCCTTCCGCACCCTCAGAGACACAGAGGAATGAGAGGGTCGACGCACTGGGACGTCGAGCGCACTCATTCCAGTCTGTGTGCTCAGTGATGATGTCAAGTCTTTCTTTAACCAACTCAGGGTGCTGCCCACCCGTGGGTGAGCAGCGGGGAGCTGAGAACAAAAGATTCTCCCCCGGCCCTCCACCGGGGGAAGGAGGGGGCCTGCTACCTCCTCCTGAGAAACACTCGACTTCATCACTGAGCAGCCCGTCTCAGGAACGCCGCTTTGCCTGGCGTTTAGCGGGGCGCGCGGGCTTGGGCTTTAACCAAAAACCAATTATCCATCCGTGAGAGATCGGGGCAGGGCGGAGGGTTCCACTCTAACCCGATACTCACGGCGGCCCGAGACAGCATGGCGGTCATCTCGGGATCAGACACGGGCAACGCTGGCGCTCCCGAAGGAGGCAACGCGGCCGCATCCTCACTTCCCGAGGAATCAAGCCCGCGCTGTGATGCTGCGATCGACATCGCATCATCCTCTGGAGCGCCGAACGAAACAGACGGTACCTGCGAAGAGGCAGTCGCCTGAATCGATTCGGCGCTCGCTGGCTCTAACACTGGAGCGGGAGGTGTGGCCCGAGGTTCTCTCGTCGGGTTTTTGTTCCACACCGTCACCGTCAAATCACCCTGTCCGCGAGTCGAAGAGCTTCTAGAAGAAGAAGCAGATTGAGTAACGGATGCGGGGACTCTCACTTTTGTCAGATCATTGAGTCTAGATCGCAGTGTAGAGATGGTCATGTTCCCACAGAAGGAACATGAGTCATCCGCGAACGCTGCTGTTGCATGCTGAATGCCCAGACACACAGAGCAGCGATCGTGACTATCAGAAGATGACATGAATCGACCGCACCCAGAAGAACACGGGCGAACCATCTTTAAAAAGACGTGCCACGTGCAGCTCTTTTAAGAGAGGAGGAAATTCACTCTTTCAGCGCTGAGGCGTCCAGGGAGAAGCGCAAAGTCTGGCAGACCACTGCTTAGATCGCAGGCGATGCAGAATCTCGCTGGGTACCGCTGTCACACCAACACTGAAGAGGATGCTCGTCTCGAAGAGTCTTTGTCAGTGAGAATGGCTTGAGGAGTGAAGAAGTCTCTTGGCTCCGAAGCGAAAACATACTGCGGTTGCGTTCACTTCCTCCTTTTATACCCACGGGGTGAGGCAGAGATACGCTATGCAAATTCCGCAGCCCCAAGGCATTTTCATGCCATTGGCTCGTTATTAAATACTCAAAGAGGATTGGCTTTCTATGCGAAACCCCCATTCTCCATCACTCCTTACGTAACTCGGAGTGACTACGAAAGGGAACATCTTTTACTTTTACTTGTGTCCAGACTCTATTTTTAATCAAATTAAAACTGTGCATTAATCAGAACTTAATGTTTAACCCTTATTGGGTGAATCTTATATTCCACCACAAAATCCATACACATTATTTTCCATATACCCATTTTTACATCCATATACCATGGAGATTGCTTGTATAATGTTCATGACACATTTCAATTTCGTTTCATTAACTTTAGTACAGAAATAACTGAAACTGACATAAATATGTATTGAAACTAAATAATAAAATTAAAAACTAATGATGTCTGTCAACACATTTACGTGCTTTTTTCTGTAATTTTATAAATAAAAATGAGTTTATGTGCAATATGTTTTATTGCATTACAGTAAAGAAAATGAAATTATCATTTATATGACTTTTCATTACAGAAATTACAGTGCATAGTGGCAATTGGTTAGAGCCAATGTTACTGTCATGCTGGACAATTACACTTAAATAAACTGATTTTGGACAAATACATTTGAAGTTATATGTACAGTATGTGAACCATTTATTATCTTTAGTCTTGTCATTAACAAATAAAAAAGCAGTTTAATAATGGATATACTTCATGATCCATATTGCAGCCATTATCTAAAAAAACACGTTCTGCTTATTCCCAATCAGCTTTACTGTATTATAATTTAACCATTTGCATCCAAAGAGAACTAAAGGGTTTAAGCAGTTGTGTCAGTTCAGTTTTGCGGGGTCACACTGGTGGTGTAGAGATACGAGACCGTTCCCGCCTGGATCTGGAAGGTTTGACCCTGGATCTGATGGCTGGGGATCTGCTCATTGGTCTGGCTGATGGAGATGGGCTGTCCGCTCTGACTGCTGACGTGAATGCCTCCTGTTGGACTCGACCGGCTGGGATTCTCCGAGGTTTCGGACAGCTGGTGGATCACCTGCAGCTGCTGTGGAGCTCCGTGATGAACCTGCAGTTGCTCCATGGCTTCTTTTGTCAGCGTGAAGACGTGCATCTGCTCCGGCTGCCCGCTGTCTGCTTGACTTCCCAAGACGCTGATGGTTTGGATTTGAGCGCTGCCGTCTAACCCGTCCGGTGCGACCAGTGCCAGGTTTTGGACTTGACCAGAAGGTTGGGTGAGAAGCGTGAGACCCTGTTCCACAGAAGTGTCTTCTGCAGTGATGATGCTGATAGCTTGATCTTGACCCAGGTTGATGTTTTCCACCTCGCTGGTCACCACCAGCTGGATTTCCTGCTCACCGTGGGTGGGAAGTTGGTACGGCTGGAGTTGGAGGATGTTGTGCATTTCTTCGGCCCCTGATGTGGCCTGCACCTCCGCGGGGCCCATGCTCTCAGCTTCTCCTGGTTGACGCTCTTTGTTGTGAGTCTTGGTGTGAGCTTTAAGGTTGTCCAATCGGGCAAACGACAGGTTGCAGACAGAACACGTGAAGGGCTTTTTACCCGTGTGAGACGCCACGTGACGCCTCCTGGCACTGGGGTCCGAGAAGGTCTTATCGCAGACGTTGCAGATGTATGGCTTCTCTCCTCTGGATGACAAGAAAGATTTTTTTTTAAACATGCAAATCTTTTTACTCTACAGGCAAAACATTTTTTCATGTACTGGTCAGTTTTGAGATTTTAGGCTTTTTATAAGATGCTGTTCCATACTAGTGGAAAGAAACCATCCACAAATCAGTTGAATTGTTTATTTTATTGCACTTTATCTATTTATATCTGCAGCTTTCTATTACAAAACATATCTTTGAAGGCCGTTCCATCAAAATATTTTTCAGAAATCTAGACTTTATTCCTATCTATATACTTAATGTTTTTACTGAGCTGTTTGTTTATGTATAATTTATCTGATTTATATTCACCTTTTTCCTTACGCGCCTATAACGTTTTAAGTTCAGCTGAAACAAATCCTTTGAAAGGATGATCCTTATCAATCAGTTTGTCTGAATGAGCTCAAATTTTTATAATAACAGATAATAGCTTGGTATTTTAATGTGATATGGCATAACAGGAATATCTATGGCAAGAGCTTTTTTAAGTCGCTGCATTTTTTCCTACTGATTATTTTCTTGTTTTTTTATACATATATATATTCTGCTGTAACAGTATAAAAAAGGACAGCATATACTGTGCAGTTGTGGTCTTTTCTCCTGATTTAAATTAACCATATGTCCCATGAATAATTCAGTGGAAGGGACTAGGAATCTCTTGTTTTTCTCCCCAAATCCTCACGTCTCTTTCCAGGTTTGTATTCACACGGATGCTTAAAAATATAATTGTCAATATTAACAGTGTTTACTGGAATATTTCTAAAGCAAGTAAATACAATTTATTGTATTTACTCAATGTTCCAGTTAATAAAGCTTTTTGATGCATGTTACATAATAGAGACATGCTCTCACCTAAAGGATTATTAGGAACACCTGTTCAATTTCTCATTAATGCAATAATCTAATCAACCAATCACATGGCAGTTGCTTCAATGCATTTATGGGTGTGGTCCTGGTCAAGACAATATCTCCTGAACTCCAAACTGAATGTCAGAATGGGAAAGAAAGGTGATTTAAGACATTTTGAGGGTGGCATGGTTGTTGGTGCCAGACGGGCCGGTCTGAGTATTTCACAATCTGCTCAGTTACTGGGATTTTCACACACAACCATTTCTAGGGTTTACAAAGAATGGTGTGAAAAGGGAAAAACGTCCAGTATGCGGCAGTCCTGTGGGCGAAAATGCCTTGTTGATGCTAGAGGTCAGAGGAGAATGGGCCGACTGATTCAAGCCGATAGAAGAGCAACTTTGACTGAAATAACCACTCGTTACAACCGAGATATGCAGCAAAGCATTTGTGAAGCCACAACACGCACAACCTTGAGGCTGATGGGCTACAACAGCAGAAGACCCCACCGGGTACCACTCATCTCCACTACAAATAGGAAAAAGAGGCTACAATTTACAAGAGCTCACCAGAATTGGACAGTTGAAGACTGGAAAAAAGTTGCCTGTTTTGATTAGTCTTGATTTCTGTTGAGACATTCAGATGGTAGAGTCAGAATTTGCCGTAAACAGAATGAGAACATGGATCCATCATGCTTTGTTACCACTGTGCAGGCTGGTGGTGGTGGTGTAATGGTGTGGGGATGTTTTCTTGGCACACTTTAGGCCCCTTAGTGCCAATTGGGCATCGTTTAAATGCCACGGCCTACCTGAGCATTGTTTCTGACCATGTCCATCCCTTTATGGCCACCATGTCCCCATCCTCTGATGACTTCCAGCAGGATAATGGACCATGTCACAAAGCTCGAATCATTTCAAATTGGTTTCTTGAACATGACAATGAGTTCACTGTACTAAAATGGCCCCCACAGTCACCAGATCTCAACCCAATAGAGCATCTTTGGGATGTGGTGGAACGGGAGCTTCATGCCCTGGATGTGCATCCCACAAATCTCCATCAACTGCAAGATGCTATCCTATCAATATGGGCCAACATTTCTAAATGCTTTCAGCACATTGTTGAATCAATGCCATGTAGAATTAAGGCAGTTCTGAAGGCGAAAGGGGGTCAAACACAGTATTAGTATGGTGTTTCTAATAATCCTTTAGGTGAGTGTATATTAGATACACTACAGTAATATTTCTGCAGAAATAATCAAGCTTTTGGGGTTATTCATGGTCTGTTTAAATAACTTTGTTAATTCCTTTTCACTTTAGAATTTCACATTTTAATGTTCAATGGTTGAAGGGTGAGTAGAATAAATGTCATCTTATTATACCAAGATTTTGAAACTGTGTATTACTGTGTTTATAGAACAAATATTTTACTAATTGTTTACAGTTTAACTGAAGTTACTCCCATAATCGCACAAAGCGTCATGGGACTTTGGAAAAATCTCGATACAATTTTATTACACTGTAGATTTTAACTACAATACATATATTTAAAGGCCAAAAATCTCCACTTCAGTAGCTCTACATACACCAAACTTTACAGTTTTATTTCTATCTATATTGATATTCTGAAGGTTTTTACAGATGATAACATTTTATTCTTAAAAATATGGTAAATATGTATTCTTTTCCTGGCTGTTGACAGTATTTTTCTGATTTCGGGAGTGATAAAGAGATCAAAAATCTGTGATAATAATAAAAAAAAAAATAACAAGACTTTATCCAATGATCAGATTTCTGTTCTGAAAATGTATGTGCAAATTAGTGTATAATTAAAGAATATTTCAAAAAACTGTTGATATCTATCAGTTTTATTTTGTTTCCTCTATTTACCGGCACTGTCTTAATTTGTTAATATGTTGATTTCTGACCTGTGTATCCTGATATGTGTCTGCAGTGTGCTCTTGGCTGTGAAACACTTCCCACAGATTTCACATGTAAACGGCTTCTCACCTGAAATAATAACACAGGTGTTCATACAGCACAGATATGCAATCTGCTATGAAGTGTGGTCTGTTTGTTACCAGTATGAGTTCTCAGGTGCTTCTTCAGTTGAGCTGCATCCATAAATTTATGATGACATTGCGCACACTCAGGTAAAGCTTTTCCAGTGTGAACGCGGTAATGGCTTTTCAGCTGCCGCTTCTGACTGAAGCTTTTCCCACACTGGTCACAACTGAAAGATTTATTCTCTGTGGAACGAAAATGGAGAATTTTATAGACCGTCAGGCAGTATATAGTCAGTTATTTCAATATGTACTATGGTGTTTTGGTCATGTACTGTACCATGATATGACCAATGTTTTTTTTTTTTTTGTATGTAAATAAGGTCATCAAAGTGTACCATGCTTTACATTTAAAATGCTGTGGTATACCATCCCATGGTACAACCACAGTGGAAAAAGAGATCGGACATAGAAATCTTTCTTGGGTTTGAAAGTCGTAGTTGCGTAGCTGTCAATGGAGGGACAAAAAGTTCTCCGATTTCAAAAAGAAAAAGATCTTCATTTGTGTTCCAACGATGACCGAAAGTCTAACAGGATTTGAACGACATGAGGGTGAGTAATTAATGTCAGACTTTTCATTTTTGGGTGAACTAACCCTTTAAGTGTCACGTGAGCACCAGAATTCAATTGCTGCTGAAGAAATATTTCTTATTATCAAGTAAATCTTGTAACATTCTTAATGTCTTTACTGTCACATTTGATTAATTTAATGCATCTTTGCTGGATAAAGCATTTTAATCTTAACCCAAACAATTGAATTGTCATGTATAAGCATGGCGCAGTGATTTGGTAGATGTGTGTGTAGTAGTGAAGTCCCTCACCTGCGTGTAGGTTCATGTGCTCCAGTAGGGAGTGTTTGGTGGACAGCGCTTTGGAGCATATCGTGCAGATGAAGGGCTTTTCTCCCGTGTGCATGCGTTGATGAACCAAAAGAGTGTGTTTCTGGGTGAAACCCTTCCCACAAACACTGCATCTGAACGGTTTTTCACCTGCATAAAAAGAACATTTTATTTTGAGATTTCCAATGGACACGTGACCGTCACCACCGTGCTTCTCCAAAGTTTTTTCAGACTATGATGACGCATTTCCACAATTATTAACATTGTAAATCTTAGCAACAATTTTTTTTTTTTTTTACATTTTATTTTTTATTTACTTAAGTTATAACAATATCCTTTGTTTTATAACGCCTTGGCGTTAAATGCCATAAAACCGGTAAATTCTATGAGGGAGTTTGTAATAGTGACGGCAAATTTCTTTCTGACCAAGTTATCAATCTCTCAATTTTATTCTTTGGAAAGTCAAAACGCTATTTTTTTTTTCTTTTTTACAAATGGAATAGGCCTAAATGGGAACACAAAAATATATATGTATTTTTTCACATGCCTTTTCACATTAGCCAAATGACTTCCGCTTCTAAGAACCCCAGATATGTGAAAAGAGTCTTAAAGGGGTCATCGGATGCAAAATTCCCTTTGATTCATATGGTGTTTGCATATAAATGTGTCTTTGCAGTGTGTGGACACAACCACCATACAATGGGAAAAAAACTCTAAACACTTTCAATAATCAAGCTGTTTGGATTTTCTGAGCAATATGTTGTCATATTGCTCATGCTCCGCCCACGACCACTGGGTTACAAATTTACATGAAGACCCTAAAGAATTATATCAGAGCCCGTCTAACGGAGAGACTTGGCACTTCCTATTAGCCCCATTGTGCATCATCTTGGTTGCAGTTCCATTCGAATTCCACTGGAGGTGATCGCGGGCGAGAGCAGAATGAATGGGAGTCTATGGGGCTAAACGGCTAAATCTGTTTCTTTCACCTGCTTGTCGTTAAATCAACATAGATTTTATTGTTGATTCCGCAAGTTCAATATAGATTATAGGCCAAAAGTCGAATGAACGAGTAAGATAAGTTTATGTCCTTTTGATTTCTTACAGGTTAGGCCGTTGTTGGCCGGAACACGCTAGCATTCTGCTATTGTGTGACGTCATCACATTTTTGAACGGATTTTTAGAACAGATAAGTGAACTTAAAAATGCAATTTTCAGCTGAGTGTATTTTCTTAGCCCTCCCTTTTGAATGCAACTAATTACTTGACAAAAAATTACATCCTGAGAAAAGTGGATTTCTGGGGGTGAAACCGAAAACTGGGGGGCACTCGACCGCAAGCGCCACTGCATGGACAGAGACGCGTTACTGCAGCCAGTCCAGAACCCGGAAGTAACCAGCCAGTGCCAATTCTCTTCAAATAGACATTCTCTGATTATACCAACTTGAGGAAAATAGGCATCCGATGACCCTTAAAGTCTCATGAACCGGACGTTGCAAACGACATTTCTCCAGTGTTGTGACGTATTTCCAAGTGAAATGGACTATTGAATAGAGCCTCCTCTCTATCTCTCGCTCATAGCAGACCAACGGTTTGAGGGAAATGGTTAAGCGTTTTCAACCCAAGGCATCAAACTGATGTCATCAAGGAACGCCATTCCAGGCCGGAAGTAACTTTTCAGATGTTGATTTAAGATTACCACGACAAACATTTTTTTTTCGTGTATTAACTTGCATGGATCCACAAGACTCACCATATGCGCAAACAAAGTAAATAAAGTCAATTTTGATTTCATGACGTCTTTAATCTCCAATGAAACACTTAAATATAATTAAAAGAATATTGACCAAGTCACGTTAATTGATAGATGTTTAGTGTGTAATACAAACAAATGTTAAAACAAATGGAAACACTTTACAATACAGCCTCATTTATTAACATTATAGTTAATTGCATGAGTTAAAGGGGTAGGCGAATTTGTTCCAGAAACATTTTTTGTTATGCTGGTTGAATGTCTTCTCATCCAGATAGCAATCAATAAGTTCAGTGGTCTAAAGGTATTTTTATCGTCTGTGGCGTAGGACCATAACATGTTTTTCCAATTACATGATGTCCTACCTGCATGTCAGCGTATGTATTTCGATACCTCCACACACCTGCTCGTACAGTCATCACACGACATCAGCGTGTTTCATGCTATGAGTTAGACAGACGTCAGTCACAGAGCACCTCAACTGAAACAGCAGACACCTTTTACAGTTCCTCCTGAATCAAAACCATGGGCTTATGCTGCGTTCACGCAATGTAATTTGCAACGGCTTGTGACTTAAATTTGAGTTTCAATGGCAACACTATCAATGCTGAAATGATACTGCAGCAGTCAGGTGGTAAAGGTCAGTGCTCTTTAAGTTGTTTACGTTCATTATTATTGTAATATTATGTGCTTTGAGACAGAGGTAATTTAACACGGTCTCGTGACGTTTTTGTTTGCTCAAGTGTTTTGAAGTATGCGTTGCCTTTGGAGACGCTCTGAAGGGAGGGTGGGATCTCATGCTTTCAAAACTAGCTTGCTATTTCTATTTGCTACTAATCAGTCAGTTAGGCCATGTCCACACTAATACGTTTTCGTTTGAAAACGTATATTTTTCTCTCTGTTTTGGCCTTCCGTCCACACTGAGATGCCGTTTTAAGTCAACAAAAACGTATCATTTGGAAAACGCTCTCCAAAGTGGATAAATTTGAAAACGCCGTTTTCGCGTTGTAGTGTGGACAGTGAAACCGGAGGTATTTCAAAACGATGATGTAAGTTTAGTCATGTGATCCATGTAGTACCAATAGATATTCATGTTTATCGGTATTGTGCCTGTTATGTGTTATTCATTTTACACTATTGCTAAAATATGTTACTTAATATGTGCTATTCTTCATAGCACTGCAAAGATGACAGATAATGTACTTACATTTGCTGTCCTGCGGCAAAACAGGAGAGCAGTTGCGTTTTAGACCAAACATATGGTGGCTAAATGCGACCTGGACACATCAGTGATGGTGAGATATTTTGCTAAATAAAATTATCCTGTTATTGTGCGATAACATAATTATTTATTTTCCCATCTGTATCATCTCAGTGAGCTTTTGTGAAGTTTCACACATGCGCAGTAAAGTGAATTTAGAAATTTCTCATCCACACTAAAACGTCGGGAAACGCCTGAAAACGCTAGTGTGGACGGAGAGCGTTTTTAAACGAAAACCCCGTTTTCAAATGTATCCGGATTAATGTGGACGTAGCCTTATTTAGTATAATAAAAAATGAGGTGCACCTGTATGAGTTCGTTGATGTATCTTCAGTAACAGATGGTTTTTATAAACCTTCCCACACTCGTCGCATCTGGCCTCTGTGTCCGGGTACTTCCTCTTTCTCCCTCTCTTCCCCGGCTCCTTGCGCTCAGTCAGATTGTCTCCTAACCTGTATCCCTTCAGTTTGACAGGCTGCCGAATTTTGCGCTTGCTGTGACGGGGTCTGTTTTCCTCTCTGGGGTTGTAGTCGCTGTCACTTAGGTCTCTTGGAGGTGAAGTGGGATCTAAGAGAGGTTCTGTGGGCTCTTTAGTCTCTGTTGGTAAAACGCATTCTGGATTCTCTGTCTGGCTTGACTCCTGAGTGTACATGCTCTTTTTGGGGCGCCCTCTTTTACGCTTAATCTGTGTGCATTCATCAACACCTTCACCCTGAGCGGACACCACATTTTCAACCGTTGAACTGTCCTTTTGAAGGACCTTGTGGGCTTTGAGCAGATCTGGGATGTCCAGAAAGCGGGCCATGTCAAACAGCTGCTCAGAGCTACTCTGGTCCACCAACACATTTGCGCTGTAGATGAACTCAAGCACGGCCGAGAAGGTTTTCGCAGACATCCCGTCCAGCTTGTACACCGACTGGCTTACCTGATCTTCAGCAGTGAACATCAATGAGAAATATTCACTGCTCGCTGCTAATAAGGCCTTGTGCGCCTTGAAGTGCACGTCTTCTACGATAAGGGTTGTATCACAGAGCTGTTCCCTTCTTCTGAGATTGTCAAATTTACGCAGGATTGTGTCCTTGTGTGTTTTTGAATGCAGGGCGAGGACAGGTGACGCTGGCGGGAGAGACGGCGCAGACATGGTGCTGTGAGCTTGTATCTAAAAAGGAAAAGGTTTTAACACATCTTTTATCTTTGCAATTTAGCAGTGGTTTTAAATGGGCATCAGGTGGTGAACAACACAATACCAAACCCATACTGTATTTAATGTATAGTCTGCGTTTTTCTTTGAATAGTCTTGTTCGTGGTTTTTGAAGATGAGGGCATGTCAAACAACCTGTCCATGTTGGCATCTGTCTGCATTTGACTTGCTTCTAATGGTGCTTTTCCACTACACAGTACCAGCTCGACTCGACTCGCCTTTGTTTGGTTTTCCACTGTGTAAAAGTTTTTTGTATCACCTCCAGCGAGGTTCTGTGCAAGCTAAGGTGAGCTGAGCCGGTATTCAAATGTGACGTGAAAACAATGCTGACTGCTGATTGGTCAGAGAGAATCGTCACCATTCACTGCGTCATCATTTCACGCTCCCCATGGAGTATCCAGAATAACCCCGCCATTCTTAAATCGTTTGGCCAGAGATAGATACTAAACTTACTACTATTATTGTGGCAACCCTGAAGAATACGCCATGGTCAAACGAGGGGTGCAGACTTTCCTTTGTTTGGTTGCCGAAGAGAGGATCCAGCGAGAGATTGAAGGGGCAACGAGGCGTCGCTATGACGACCGGATACTATTTGTGGCGGTACTGTCTGCAATGGAAAACGAGTTGAGGTGAGCCGAGCCGAGTCGAGTTAAGTCGAGCTGGTACTGGTAATGGAAAAGTGCCATAAGAAACATAAACTTGGACACACAGTCTGACCTAAAATAAATGATATGGGAAGCATTTTCTTCTTCTCTTTAAAGACCTAATTATTTACATGCATACATTTAGCAGATGCTTGTAATATTCATAATATATTTTAAGTACACAAGACAACAAACTATATAACACTGTTATAGTGGGGGTTTTTTTAGTTGTTGTTGATATTTTCATACAAAAATCTTACATATTGTGCCTTTAAATGCCCTAATTGAACTAAAGCCTAATCTTGGCTTAATCTAAGACCTGTCTGCAAAACCAGGCTATAATACTACAAATGAAATAAAAGGCCTACTTAAGTGGTTTAAAAAAAGTACACTTTCTTTACATATTTTAAAAATAACACTTTGTAGTAGCTTAACAATGTCAAGTTTTAAGTATTTTGAGACATTATTTTAATCTTTTACACTTTGATGTATTGACTACTAAACATAGCATACTGAAGCACATGTAAAGTTGTTTGTAGTGCTATTCAGTATTACATACAGATAATATATTTTATGTTTTCTAAACTGCAGCTTAATAATTTTTACAACAAATGTTTGTCTTGTACATCTTGGCAGTACTTGAATACAAATACACGCAATTAAGTGTCCAAAAACATTATTACATTTGCTCTTTGCAGCATATTCTTTTAAAGTAGGACTATTACTTGCGTAATAAGTATCGTGTTACTTGTTTAAAAAAAGGAAAGAAAAAAAAGTTAGCTAAAATGAAGTGTATTTTCACCCAGAGCAACATTTTGGGGTTGTGTGTGAGACCGTTGAAGACCAACCAGTTGAGAACCATGTACTATAGTAAATCCACGGTAGTGCATTCTTTGTAGAAACCCATAGAAACATGTAAATCCTGGTAATCATTCAAAACCAAAGTGGACAATGATATTTCCATCTTTACGCCCAAACTGTATGTAACAGTATGTTTGACACATTAGTTACAGAGATGTCAGGACAATGAAGCATGCACTGCTGCACGCGGTCTGTAAACACAAAATGGTGTAACGTTAGTAGAATCTCACAATGCGTTTTATGCAAAAGGGTTACACACACACACACTTGCGCGCACATTGAATCTTCATAATATCCATGTCCTCGGTCTTTGATCACAGTAATAAAATAATAAACTGCTTTAAAACCAGCGCCATGTGTAAGTTAGCAACAAAGAGCTCGTTTGTTTTCACTTCTAAAACACGCTCACATGGCTAAAAGGCTGGCGCTGATCAGTCAATCGCAATGATTAGTCTGCGAAACGCACTTCAAATAATAACTATACTAGTCTCTGAAGACGATAATGTACGATTAAGCTTTCAGGACCTTACCTTAAAGGAACCGTTTCAGCACAACCAAATCTCGCGAGAATTGGTTCCGTGATTTCAGTATCCATCACATATGTATGCAGATAGAAGCTAGAATTGTGACGTGGTAACCATTTATAACGCGCAATTGATTTCATGTAATCTTTTTATATAGATTGTAAGAGCAGATTTATATCTGCTAGTGCAGATTGCTACATTCATTTAAAATATTTTCCGTCCTGGGATTTGAACGTCCGTCTATGGTCTGTGGGCCTCGAGTCGCCCCCTAGAGGAACAGAACATTTGTTACCCAGTGTTTTGTGTTGTGTTTGCAAACAGCGCCTCTGTTCACTGATGGTGAAGCATTACACACACAGACAAAAAGAGCTTTTATTTATAACGGAAGGACTGAAAGGTTAACTGTACATAATGTTGTTCCTTTAGGGTCATAGTTTAGGGTTAGCAGTCAAACCCAGTTGTACTCTGTTACATATTCGCATCTGCGCTTCCGCATCCCCTCAAAATAAGAGAACTAAAACTCCATTTCCCACGATGCGTTTTAAATAGGACAATCACAGTCTCGTCCAGAGTGTGTAACGTAATAATCACAGACTCTGTTTGTTACCGCTGGATCAGAAGGCTGGAGGTAAGTGTGTGATTGAATTGTGCTTTGAGATGCATTTTAAATAGTGTAACTAGTTACTTGCTCGTTTTAAATGGTTAAATTAACCTCCTAAATCTGTATTGAACTTTATTATTGCAGCTTCTTATGACAGCTGTGCCTGATTTTTAAATATGTTAAAGCTATTATGGTTACTGTATGAATAGTAGTCCTAACGTTACGTTTATTATTATCATTATTTATTATTATATACTAAGACTGTTTTTAAAAAAGTGATTTGTTGCGTAAATAATATATCTAGACTATAATAGTCACGTAAGTAGGACACAGTCTGTCGTTTATTGACTTAATTGGCACAAAATCAGATTTTATGGTTGTCTTGCATGGTTGTAAATGTCTCTCTATTAAGGAAATATATATTTTGGTAACACTTTACAATAAGTTTAGTTAGTTAACATTAGTTACTACATTATTTAGCATTAACTAACAATGCACTGCAAATACAGCATTTACTAATCGTTGTTAATGTTAATTTCAACATTTACTAATACTTAAAATCTTGTTAACATTAGTTAATGCACTGTGAACTAACATGAACAAACAATGAACAGTGTTTCATTTTTGTTGGATTTAAAAAAACATGAAAAAAACTACATTGTGAAGGGTAATAAAATCAGCAAGTGTCAGCAACAATTGATATACATTTTTATATTTTGATGACTACTATTAAATGTTTTTATTAAATGTTGTAAACATCAAACTAATAGCATTTTTAAATGTTAAATAAATGTAATAAATATTCTGACCAGGGAGGGCATAAGGTATTGTAATTGTAAAGTGAATAAGTAGTTGGGCTGTGAATCAATTAATTTTTAATCAAATTAATTACATTATCCCCAGTTTCACAAACTAATTTTAAGCCTAGTCCCACGTTTGAGCTGTTTTAACTAAAAGCATCTTGCACTGACATATCTTTTAATTAATTAAATTAATCTTTAATATTGTCATGTTTTTTAAGGCATGTTTATAAAAGCTATTTACATGTCCTAATTGAACTAAAGCCTAATCCTGTCTTTATCTGTGAAACCAGGCCTATATGCTGATTTATTAATGGAAATGATTGCAGTACATCACCGATCAGTATGTGCAAAGGTGCAAAGGATCTGTTCTGTATCTTCTATTTGAGCTGAGAATGCAGCGTGTGAAAGTGCTGGTTGTCGGAGCAGGTGTGGTGGGTCTATCCTCGGCAGTGTGTATCGCTGAGACGCTTCCACACTGTTCTGTAACTGTTGTTGCCGAGAAGTTCTCGCCTGACACCACCAGTGATGGAGCCGCTGGAATCTTCCTACCTACTGAGTTTCCTGGTGAGATGAACACTGACAGATGCAGCAAATTTGCCATTGTATCATGTGTTTTGGATTATAGCCTTTTTAGGCCCGTCTATGTAAAAATGGTCAAATTGATTATTATTGAACTCTTTTACTAGACATCCCTCGTGAACGGCAACGGCGTTGGTTCAAGGAGTCATTTGATCATCTTCTGGCCATCGCAGATTCCCCACAGGCCGGAGAAGCTGGCGTGTACTTGAGCTCCGGGTAAAACCCTTGTGATCACACTATAAAGATAATGTATTGATGTGGTTTTCATTTATCATGATCTCAACATTGCATCCTCTTAGGTACCACATTTTCAAGGATGTACCCAACGACAAAAAACCCTACTGGGCAGATGTGGTGTTAGGATTCAGATACATGACGGATCATGAAATGAAGCGTTTCCCTAATCATAAGTTTGGACAAGCGTTCACCACATTAAAGTGTGAATGTTGGAGATACTTGCCATGGATGGAAAAAAGGTACTAAAAAGTTTCAAAATAAAAATCCTGTAATATGTAGTGATATAAATATAAAAGAATAAAAAATATAATTCACAAATTGGACCCTTTTCACAGACTGGAAATGTTCTCTTATAAACATTGTAAATCTAGCCATGTATTAGGGCTGTCATCCAAAATAAAAGTTTGTGATTACATAATATATGTGGGTGCACTGTGTATAATTATTTTATATATATAAATACACACACATGCTTGTATATATTTAAGAAATATTTTCATGTATATACTGTATGTAGATTTATATATAATATATATATTATATATATAAATATACATATTTTATATATAAATAATATTTTTTTCTTAAATATAGATGCATATATATATATATATATATACACACAAAATAATTATACACAGTGCACCCACATATATTACGTAAACACAAACTTTTATTTTGGATATATATATATATATATATATATATATATATATGAAGAGTTCAGATGCAAAAGCCTCTAAGTGCCATTTGAAATTTTCTTCTAGAATGATCATTTTTATCAAGCTTGTATATTTAAGTTCAGCAATTTCACTTAAATGGCAATTCATAGGTAATCTTCAATGTCATTTAAGTGAAATTACTGAACTTAAATATATAAGCTTGATAAAAATGATCATTTTAGAAGAAAATTTCAAATGGCACTTAGAGGCTTTTGCATCTGAACTCTTCATATATATATATATATATATATATATATATATATATACTAAATTATACAAACTTTGTGAAATTGCCATTAAATTACAGACATCTTTTAAAATTTCATCAGATTTTCTGTCCAATCAAATGCTCTCTGGAGTCTAAAGCATCCCGCCTCCCTACATTATAAATAGTTGCAGCTAAAATTGGTCATTTGTTCACACATTTACTATTTTCTACATGGTGAATGGCACATAGTGCACTATTTAGGGTATAGGGATTGATTCAGACAGTATGAATTGCATTGAATAATGCTCCACGTTGGTACTTCAGTGGGTCTTTAACGCTGCTGTGTAAGTGTTTCTAATATGGCTGAGGGAGTGATGAAAAATTTCACATCTTTCTCTTTTCTGTCTTTTTTTCGCCTGTTTTGGAAAGTCATAGTAAAGCTGTCATGTATTTTTTCATGGAAAATGCAAAAACTATATACCGTAGTTTAGTTTACCCCATGATGACTTCTGCATCTGAGAACCCCAGAAATGAAAAGGGTCCATTTATACAACAAATATGAAGACTACAAGGTGAATAGTAAGCATATGGTGAATAAATCTATATTTCCCAATAGGCTTAGAGCAGTTGGAGGTCAGATCCTTCATGAAAAGGTGACTGATCTTCATAAACTGGCCCTGAACTACGATGCCATCATTAACTGCTCAGGTGTCGGCTCACGCTTTTTGGCGAAGGATGAGGAGGTCTATCCAGTTCGAGGTCAAATATTGAAGATTAACGCCCCTTGGCTGAAGAACTTCCTAAGAGATGGAGATGGCATGACCTACATCTACCCTGGAATGACACACGTCAACATCGGAGGCACGCGGCAGGTGGGCGACTGGTGTATGGAGGTGAATAAAGAGGACAGCGAGGGGATCCTAGAGCGCTGCTGTCGACTGGAACCGTCCCTGCGAGCATGTCAGGTGATGGAGGAGTGGGTGGGACTGCGGCCAGGCAGGGCTAACCTGCGGGTGGAGCGCGAATACCTGTCCGTACTGGGCCACCAGGTGCCTCTGGTGCACAACTACGGTCATGGAGGCTGTGGGGTTACTCTGAGCTGGGGGACGGCACTGGACGCGCTCGATCTGCTGAGACAGAGTCTGTACGAAAAACCACCTCTAGCCAGACTGTGAATCTAATATTGAAGTTTAAGACTTCATACTGATACTGATATCCATGTGTCATATGATTTCCATACTGATAGCTATGCTTTTGTGCACGAGAAATAGCACTTTCATGTTAATAATAAATAAATCATGAATGTAATTTAGGCCTTTAAACCTAATGTAATTTTACTTTGACTTTTAGTTCTTGAAGATAAATTATGTAAATTGTTCCATGTTGAAATATATTTTTTAATATGCCAGTTTTAAATTCTGAGTGAGTGTTTGAAAATCGCCTTTAACTACTTTATACATGAACAAATTGTCAGAGTGACGCTAAATATTTTAATGAAGAATATTGTCTTAATGCTGTCAAGTGTCTTATTTCCCACACAACACAAGTGCTGTTCATAAGCATATCAAATGATCTCTAAATTCATTCATTTTATCATTAAGGGAAACTACAGTTGCAATGTGACCGAAATGTTTTAAAACGGTTCAAAGAATCATAAAAAGGAACAAACTATTAAAATGTGTTAAATATTCGACAATCTAAGAATACTGATGACAACATTTAGTGTAATTGTCTTTTGTTTTTACAAATAATTTTCAAGCTTTATCCAGTTGTATGGTTCAATAGGGCCACCTGAATGATTGGTTATTTCAGATTAAATCTGATCTCAGGTCTGTTCGGTCCAGTCGAGTGAGTCTTCTGTTTCCTGAAGCACACTTGAATAATGTCTGGAGGGTTGTGGGCCTGTTCTCAGACCGATCTTCCTCTTGGTGAGGTGGAACTCTGCTTTGACAAAGTTGTAGAATTTGTACTCGTACTCCATGCGCTGATAAAGCACCTGCAGGGCCTCGAGATTAGGAGTCTGTTTGTGGACGGTGCCCGTCATGTTCCCCAGCTTCCTGTATTCTGAACCGAGTAGAGACAGACACAGAGACACATAAATAATTTTTAATCAAACTTAAGAGTACATTGAAAATACATGCAGTTTTTAAAACTTAAAAAATAATACAACACTTGCTTATAAACACTAATGTGCAAAAGTCCTATAGGCAGGCATTAGTATTTTCACCCAAAATATGTTTTGCTGTTTTAAACGCAAAGGGTGGTCACACCAAATATTGATTTGATTTAGTTCATTAATTGATAAATAAAATCTATTTATGACATTATTTTTGAAAGTATCCTCACATTATAGCATTTTTACACAAGTGCCTTAAACTTTACACAGAACTGTAGCTTCCCAAATCATCTTTCTTCTGGGACAGCCCAAAATCGTACAGTGTGTACCGGGTTGTGGTGGGCTGTGCTGCTGTGGCTGGAAGTCCACAGTGTAGTTCTTGTGTTTCTGATTGTCTCTTCTTTTTGTTCTGTTCTTGTTGTTTCTCTTTCCTTCAGTGATTCTGCTTGTTACCAGCAGGTGTTCATCACTAATGTTCAATCATCACTTGATAAATCACTTAATTATCTCATTAACTCACTGGATTTTGCTGTGATTGGACTTGGAGGTCTGTATTTAACTACACCTCTGAGATATCATTATATTTTTTAATATTAAGTTAAATTATTTTAAAAAAAATACATTTATTTACATTTATTCATTTAGCTAACGCTTTTATCCAATGCGACTTACAACTGCTATATATGTCACATCTGGAGCCTCTGGAGCAACTAGGGGTTAAGTGTCTTACTAAGGGACACCTCAGGCTATGTTTACACGGAAACGATTCTGAAGAGAAAACGCAAAAGTGGCGTTGCGTCATCACTTTTTTTTATGCATTTAGACGAGCGTTTTGTTTGGGAAATCCGCGTGCAAATGGTGACGCAAAAGTGTGTGAAATTCAATGTAGTATGCACTCCAGGCGGCTAGGAGTGCATACTACAACAACACCAAGTCCACATGCCTGCGTACAACCTTCACTGTCAAGCAGACTTTTACGTTTTTACCGTTTACACGGGAACGCGGCGGTGGAGCGTTTTTAAGATTTCCACTCTGGAGGGTGGTTTCACTTTTTTGCATTTTTAAGCCCCAAAAATGGCATCGCCGTGTAAACGAAAGGCACATCCGATAAAATATTTTTACGTTTTCAGCCGCGAGCGTTCTCGTGTAAAACAGGGCCTTAGTGTCTCACAGTGGATTCGAACACGGGTCTCTCACACCAAAGGCATGTGTCTTATCCTCTGCGCCATCACACCCCTTAAATACTTTTTGTATTTTTAAGTAATTTCACTTGCTTATTTTTATACAATTATATAATTTATATTAATTAAAAGAAATTCTGCTTTTGTATTAAATAGCTTATTATTTTTACTTATCTACTTTTAACAACATTTCTGATACTGCCATGCATTAAACAATTAAATTAATTAAAAGGTGCAAATAGGTTATTAAAATGGTGGCAATATGTTTTTGAAATGGTGACCAGTAAAAATCATTATGAAAACTTGTATGAAAGGTCTTACCTGGACTTTCGTAGATGTTCAAGACGTCAGAGAAGAAGTGTGGAAGGAGTCTCTCCAGCAGAAGCAACACATCCTGAAGTTCCTCCAACACCCCTACCAGCAGGTAATGATCCAGAACGTTCTGCTTGGCCTTTTCCAGCGCCCACAAACCCGGCTCTCTAGGTCATTACAGATTATTGATCAGTTCCAGTGATCACTCATGGACATCTATTGATTCAGAGTTGATAAAAAAAATGCTGGAACCATTAAAAATGAATCGTATAAGATGTACAGTAGCAGTAACGTCCGGATTTAATGTCACCTGCACTGAGGATGCTGCCCACAGAAATATGGGATAATGTAGAAGAGCCGGGATTGGAGCATTCTGGGTAGCTTTCCAAGATGCATGTGCTGATGTCCTTTGGTCCAGAAGAACATTTACATTCATGCATTTAACAGACACTTTTAGTCAAAGCAACTTACGAAAGAAGAACAAAAGCAATCTGTCAAAGAGCCAACATTAACATTTCAGTTAGTTACATCAGTGCTATTAAACTGATTTTGTTGTTGAACTGGAACTGAAGCTCTGAGAACAGTCGTTTGTTTATATATTAATCCACAAGAGGTCTGAACTATGGGGTCATTCATCTAAGTCTCCAACCAAAGACCCACGCCTGGCTATTTCCTGCTGCTATGCAAACATATCCAGAACATTCCAGAGAAAGTTGCAAAAAAATGAACAAATGAAAATGACTATTTAAACAGAAATCATGCATTCCCATGCGCATTGTATATAATGAAAATGATTGCATTGGTATCTTTAGAGAAACTGTAAAAGTCTAGTTGGGTTTCCACCGGTGATGTCATACATGCACTGCCTGTAAACCATTACCACATGTCACACTAATGAGTGAGAGGAAAATCAGTCAGTCTCACACTAAATATAGACCGAGTAAACTATGTTCATGAACGTTGCCTGCTGAGTTGTGAAGGAGGCATTCATGTGTATCACACAGAGCTGTACAGACTTCATTTATGACAGTAATAGTTCATTCAATGCTCCTTCACTCAGTTCTCTGTTTCTCTAACCTCGCTTGAGACTACTATTTCTTAAGAAACACTTTTGATTTTAAAGCTCTTACTAAGTATCTTTCGTCGTCTTTCATCGCAGGGGTTCGTACGACGTGATTCTCTTCCCCTCTCCAGTCGCCGAACCGCCGGAAAAAATAATTGGATAAAAATCGGTTGATTGGATCTCTGATGATATTGATGTGTGCGGGCTCATCCGTTCGAAACCTGATTACAGAAGAGAGAGGAATCATAATAAAATATCCATTATTTTATCTCTGTTAATTAAGGGCTTGTTCACACCAAGGAGGATCCCGATAAAGATATCATTTTTCAAATCGCTTTAGATTTAAACAAATAGCAGTGTCCACTTCACAACTATAATGATAATGACACAGTCAATAATGTCAATGTCGTTTTAGAAAGACATTGACAGCCAATCAGAATCCATCCTGCATTTAAAGTAGCAGACGACAAAAACTGCAGCGCACGCTCATCATAAACAGGACGTTGTCGTGCTTTGATGTAGATGCTAATATAGTTATCGTTATAGTTGGTGTGAACGGGCCATTACACGGCTCTCTGAAATAGTCTATTTCCTAATATTCGCTGAGTGATAAAGTGGATTTTACATAATTAACTACAAAATCATGGCTCACAGCCAAAGAAGTACACTTTGAAAGGCTCAACTGTGAAGAAACACTTTATAAAGAAACACATATACACTCACCTAAAGGATTATTAGGAACACCATACTAATACTGTGTTTGACCCCCTTTCGCCTTCAGAACTGCCTTAATTCTATGTGGCATTGATTCAACAAGGTGTTGAAAGCATTCTTTAGAAATGTTGGCCCATATTGATAGGATAGCATCTTGCGGTTGATGGAGATTTGTGGGATGCACATCTAGGGCACGAAGGTACCATTCCACCACATCCCGAAGATGCTCTATTGGGTTGAGATCTGGTGACTGTGGGGGCAATTTTAGTACAGTGAACTCATTGTCATGTTCAAGAAACCAATTTGAAATGATTCGAGCTTTGTGACATGGTGCATTATCCTGCTGGAAGTAGCCATCAGAGGATGGGGACATGGTGACTATAAAGGGATGGACATGGTCAGAAACAATGCTCAGGTAGGCCGTGGCATTTAAACGATGCCCAATTGGCACGAATGGGGCCTAAAATGTGCCAAGAAAACATCCCGACACCATTACACCACCACCACCAGCCTGCACAGTGGTAACAAGGCATGGTGGATGGATGCCAAATTCTGACTCTACCATCTGAATGTCTCAACAGAAATCGAGACTCATCAGACCAGGCAACATTTTTCCAGTCTTCAAAACTGTCCAATTTTGGCGAGCTCTTGCAAATTGTAGCCTCTCTTTCCTATTTGTAGTGGAGATGAGTGGTACCCGGTGGGGTCTTCTGCTGTTGTAGCCCATCCGCCTCAAGGTTGTGTGTGTTGTGGCTTCACAAATGCTTTGCTGCACCTCGGTTGTAACGAGTGGTTATTTCAGTCAAAGTTGCTCTTCTATCAGCTTGAATCAGTCGGCCCATTCTCCTCTGACCTCTAGCATCAACAAGGCATTTTCGCCCACAGGACTGCCGCATACTGGATGTTTTTCCCTTTTCACACAATTCTTTATAAACCCTAGAAATGGTTGTGTGTGAAAATCCCAGTAACTGAGCAGATTGTGAAATACATCTGGCACCAACAACCATGCCACGCTCAAAATGTCTTAAATCACCTTTCTTTCCCAATCTGACATTCAGTTTGGAGTTCAGGAGATTGTCTTGACCAGGAAGCCATCAGAGGCAGATCTAGTTGGGCGACCACATTCTTTTGCAGAATTGTTTTATAGATAAAATGAACTAATTTAATAATGAATGATATTTACAACGGAACTGAATCAACACTGAACTGACTTCAGCTGAACAACAGCCTGTTATCACTGTAAAGCTGCTTTGAAACAATCTCTATTGTGTGACTTGGCTTGACTTTAATGATGGCAATCATGTAATGGAGCAAATAAAAGTTGATTTTGGGAGTTGATTTCATCGATTCCAACGGTCATAGTAGACTGCGGAAAATGCAGAATCGAACACCTCTACTGAACTGAGGAAAAGTTGATTCTTAAAACAATTTTTTCCAATTGAAATAAATGTATGTTTTCTCTTTATACTTACAAGTGCAACTAATTATTTTTTTGAGTGTTTCAGGTCTTGTGTATCATATATGATGGCCCAATCTTGAGTCATGAAATGACCTCAGATGACTTTAGTGTTAATATTACCACAATATTGTTGAAGATTTAGACTGATTGTTTGGTGCATCAGAAACTTTAGAATCATTTACAGGTAAAATTCAATTTAATATTGTCTAAGTATTAAAGGGGATACTCCACCCAAAAATTATGTCATCATTTACTCGCCCTCAAGAATAGATATTTACAAGAATGTTGGTAACCAGACAGTTGATGGACTCCATTGGCTTCCATAGTATTGTCTTTCCTACTATTGAAGTCAATGAGGCCCCTAAACTGTTTGGTTATTAATTTGGTAATTCATACAGGTTTGGAACAACATGAGGGTGAGTAAATGTCAATGATGACAGAATTTTCATGTTTGGGTGAACTATTTATCAATTAATTTGAGTAAGTAGTCGTAAGTGAGCTAATGTAGTTTATCTTGCAATAATGACTGCACTGTTCATTACCTTATATAAAAGAAGCATCAACTTACCAAAATAATTAATAGAAATATTACCTGCTAAAGTTGAGAAAATGCACATGTCGGGTGTAAAGAAATGGCTGAGGAGTTGTGCTGATGTTTCTAATGAGATTTTCCTACATGGGAATAAAAGGAGAATGGTTCAAATTAACCATTGATGTTCAATGGTGGATGAAATAGATCAAGCAAACAATTATTGACCAGAACTAGTCATCACATCATCATCATTTGCAGCATTGTTTTACCTGTTCACGTTTGGTGAGTCTGGTCTTGTTGTGAATATCAGAGGAGACAAGAGTGAACTGATGTCTGTCCGCCAACATGCGCAGCAACAAAACTATAGTGCGACTTCCACACTTACCAACCCTGTTATACACAACCTGACTTGGGAAAGGTAAAGCCTGCAACAGAGAAAAAAAAACCCTGTAGTATTCAAAGAGTTTCCGCTTCAGAACAATCTTACATTATGTTGGAATGAAAATGGATTTGCATCAAGATATTAGTAACAAATGAGATTCAAGCACTCAAATCTTGTAGTATATGACATGCAGTGCTCTTACTCTGGGTGCTAAAGGTCCATGGCCACCAGAAAATCTCCCTATAAAGTTTAAAATAATAATCAAAAATGTATCTGTGCATATATTTGAGCATACTGAACATTACAAATAGCTTTGTGATACATATGCATACCAAATGTTCAGTCCACCTGTTAATCATAACTGATAATCTCACATTTCTTAAGTTCAATATGTATAATATTTGTAGTTTAAAGCTTGCATGCCTCAATGTAAGAGTGATATCTTTTAAATGGGTATTTTTGCTTTGGAAATCCACAGGTTATTCCACCCTTCCATCTAGCTGTCAGTTTTGGTGACTGCTGTCATTGTAGGGCGAGTGAATGAAAAGTCCCGCACAATGAAAGGCCTCATATCATCCACTTAACATAGACTCCTGTGGAATTCGCTGTGGGTTTCACAAGCCAAGAACAACACTGGTATGGACTCATAGTGGAGACAGGAAACTTTGACAGTCTGCTCTTTATGAACCTTGACTGATGCCATTGATCTTAACCATTAGGTTCATTCAATTAGTTATAAACATCATGAAACTGAAACTGTTCATATTCATATTTCAGTGGAAGCAATGACTGAACTGTTACTGTTAGAGCCTAAGGCTTGTTATATAAGCCTTTATTATATAAGTTCATTTAAAAAGGGTGTCATAGTTTTTAAAAGTTTGTTTGATGAGGGTATTGAGGTTTTGAGTCAAAATCCAATTTCACTGAGCTTGTTTAGCCTACTCTAGCAGTGCTTTTAGTTGTTAAAACACTGACAATAGTTCAAATCTTTAAATTGGGATATTTAGTCTCACTAAGGCTATAACTCTTGAATAAACAAGTGGACAAAAATTAATAAGTGTATTCAATTTGCTGTATATTAACTCAGGACAAGAGTAAGAGGGGTTACTGTCGTCTGCTGTTGTATATAGCCTACTAAAGGATGGCTTTCCCTAATAATTTTCTTCTTCATTGTAACAACTTACCCCATGCCTTCTGATATGTTTGAGGTCTTACCTATATAATATCCCACATCCAGCAGGAGTTTTGGTGCTCCTCCGTTGAACTGATATAACACAGACCCCAGACAGAATATGAGGAGAGCGGTGAGACAGAAGCTCAAATCCCGGCGCGAGACTCGAAGCAGAACCACCGCGAGCCAGTTCTCCCTCCGGTTCCTCGCGCGCATGTAACCGGTCAAGTGTTTATGAGAGGAAGGATTTCGAAAAGTCATCATATTCTCATGACGGTATAATCCAGAGTCAATTTTACTCATCCATCTGATGTTCGGTATTAACACACAACGATATCATTTTGGTCTGAAAGCAGCAGAATAGTCTGCTCAGGTCAGATTTTCTCTGTAAGCCTATCATGATGTGGCGGTGTTTAACCTGGAGGTGTGTGTGCAGTCAGTGCTACAGTCCCACTGGACCCTCATTCGAGACAGGGTTAGTTCAGCTGCAGGTCGGAGGAATGGGATTAATTGGCGAGAGGAGGAGTGCCGAAAGGTGAATTGCTACAACAGAAATTATAGAATAAAACCGGTGGTTCTCAAACTTTTGCGGCCACGTGCCGTTTAAACATAAATCTGGCAATACATGGTCAGATAACACACATATAAAAAAATCATTAAAAAAACGTTCAATGAAAAACACCTGAAATTGTTTTACTTTGAAATCCTTTAAATCATTGGAAAAATATAATAGTAAGAACAATCAGAACAATATTTTTATTTCAATATTTTTTGCTCCCCACACTTGAGAACCATGCCCTAGCCCTACCTATCACAGATAACGTCCTACATTTTTACATTTACAAAAAACAAACAAACAAAAAAACAGAACAAACAAACAACATATTTCTATAGGATTTATATATTTATATCTATTGGATTTGGGGACAAAAAATGTTGTCACAGAGTAAACAATTACTGTACAATTACTGTAAACAATTATTATCCTAGTGGGGACATTTGGCCACAAGTCACAAGACTCTTCAAACTCTTTGCATATGAGCTAATTAAACCATATTCATTTGTAATTATGATAGAACAGTATACACTCACCTGAAGGATTAGGAACACGTGTTCAATTTCTCATTAATGTAGTTATCTAATCAACCAATCACATGGCAGTTGCTTCAATGCATTTAGGGGTGTGGTGCTGGTCAAGACAATCTCCTGAACTCCAAACTAAATGTCAAAATGGGAAAGAAAGGTGATTTAAGACATTTTGAGCGTGGCATGATAGTTGGTGCCAGACTGGCTGGTCTGAGTATTTCACAATCTGCTCAGTTACTGGGATTTTCACACACAACCATTTCTAGGGTTTACAAAGAATGGTGTGAAAAGGGAAAAACATCCAGAATGCGGCAGTCCTGTGGGCCAAAATGCCTTGTTGATGCTAGAGGTCAGAGGAGAATGGGCCGACTGATTCAAGCTGATAGAAGAGCAACTTTGACTGAAATAACCACTCGTTACAACCGAGATATGCAGCAAAGCATTTGTGAAGCCACAACACGCACAACCTTGAGGCGGATGGGCTACAACAGCAGAAGACCCCACCGGGTACCACTCATCTCCACTACAAATAGGAAAAAGAGGCTACAATTTGCAAGAGCTCGCCAAAATTGGACAGTTTTGAAGACTGGAAAAATGTTGCCTGGTCTGATGAGTCTCGATTTCTGTTGAGACATTCAGATGGTAGAGTCAGAATTTGGCGTCCATCCATCATGCCTTGTTACCACTGTGCAGGCTGGTGGTGGTGGTGTAATAGTGTGGGGGATGTTTTCTTGGCACACTTTAGGCCCCTTAGTGCCAATTGGGCATTGTTTAAATGCCACGGCCATCCTGAGCATTGTTTCTGACCATGTCCATCCCTTTATGGCCACCATGTACCCATCCTCTGATGACTTCCAGCAGGATAATGCACCATGTCACAAAGCTCGAATCATTTCAAATTGGTTTCTTGAACATGACAATGAGTTCACTGTACTAAAATGGCCCCCACAGTCACCAGATCTCAACCCAATAGAGCATCTTCGGGATGTGGTGGAACGGGAGCTTTGTGCTTTAGATGTACATCCCACAAATCTCCATCAACTGCAAGATGCTATCCTATCAATATGGGCCAACATTTCTAAAGAATGCTTTCAACACCTTGATGAATCAATGCCATGTAGAATTAAGGCAGTTCTGAAGGCGAAAGGGGGTCAAACACAGTATTAGTATGGTGTTCCTAATAATCCTTTAGGTGGGTGTATAATACAATATAGGCCTAATCATTTTTTTTTTTTTGTTTTTTTAAATTAACTGTAATAGTTTGCAAATGGACCAATTTGTAAGATGTAAACAAAAATGGTCCAGAAGCACTTCCTGTTTCAGTTTTTTAACACTACATAAAAGCTGGGATAAAATACAACCAACAGAACTGAATCAAAAAGTTAAACAAACATCTTTAAGATGTTTTCTTTACATGTGAAATAAAGAAAATAGTTACAAACTGATACAGGAAGTGTTTCTGGACCAGTGTTGTTTACATCTTGGAAATTGGTAATCAATTAAGCTGTTTAAAATGCACAATAAATCTCTTATTTATATTTTGAGTGAAAATTCTATGCATGGTGACTTTTAAAACGCCAATGATTGGTCATTGCACCCATGTGTAGTTTAAAAGTAGTTTTACAAAACACATCTATCTATCTATCTATCTATCTATCTATCTATCTATCTATCTATCTATCTATCTATCTATCTATCTATCTATCTATCTATCTATCTATCTATCTATCTATACTGTATCTACTGTGGTGTTGTGTGTGTGTGTGTGTGTGTGTATATATATATACACACACACACACACACACACACACACACACACACACACACACACACAAATAATTAATCAAGATTTTTAACGAATCAAAAGCTTTATTAGTTTTTAAACATCTCTGAAAATACATTAACAAACATTCAGTTCATTTATACCAACTTGCATTAGCACATAACAGAACCCTTCTTTATCCCATAACAGAACGATATTGATTAAAATATGAAGCCTATGTAACATTTTACAAGCAAAAATCCCCAAATAATATGTCCTATTTTACAGCGAGAAAATAAATATGTTTTGAAATCAATACGAACATTACTCAAAATAAAAGACAATGCAGTTTACAGGAGACATGCTTTTTAGTTTGGGCAGATAACAAAATAATATAAAAACTGCTATTAAAATAAAATATCAATATAATGATCATCTATCCAAAACAAATGAGAGCAAATGTAAGTTTCACTCAGATGAACTATTATATACATTTCCGAAGGCAACATTTATGGTTTCCACAAACACAGAGTTGATTCAAATTTGGAACTGGTGCCTTTTGATCATAACAGATTCAATTTGATTCAAAACAAATCATTCTTCAGTGTCCACTAGTGGAGGTTTCAAATAAAACCACAAATACATGTCAGACTACTTCAGTTTCTACGGTGCTGTCTCAAGCCTAAAAGGACAGGTAAAGAGAAATTTGAATTAGAAACAAACTTTCCAGTGAATCAAAAGCATGTCAAATTCCACTAGTAGAGTCAATGATTCATGATCTTTAAACTTCAGAGTCAGCTGGATTTATAATCAATCAGCTGCTATTATCCTAAGCTTCTCCCACAGTTCAGGAATCAGTACGATGTTGTCCGGAAGTGCTCAAGGAATCACACATATCTCTGACAATCCTCTCAATGGGATCTGTGATATGAACATATGAAAGAAAGTCAAAGTCAGACACATTTGTAAAGAATGTGTAACTGACCCTTTTCACAGACAGTGATGAAGCGTTAACACAGTTATCAACATCACAAATCTAGTAAAGTTTCTCATATTTTCATTTAAAACACTAAACTTTTGTGTAATATTACCTTGGCAGTTAATTACAAAAAAATGAACATGGTTGAGGGAGTGACGGGAGTGATTCTCTCAATATTTTTTTCCCCTATTGGAGAGTCATGGAAACACTATCATGGATTTTTCCTTTAGCTATTAGTGCAAAAATGACATTTTCTGATGTCTCCCGTTCACCACTAAAAGTTTACCCAAGTATGATGATTTCCACTTCAGAGAAACTCAGAAATGTGAAAAGGGTCCTTTGACACTATGGCATCGCGAGACAGGACACTCACTGCTATACGATGCTCCTTTAGAAGTCGTTGGACTCTTGCCTGATCAATCAGAATGGCAATGTCACCCAAAGGTTTGTCCAGATCTTCAGAATATCTCTGGATCAGAGAGAAAGGCACTCCGTAACGGCCATGCTGAAAGACAAGAGAGATCAAGAAACTATAGTACTTTGTACGCGCAGATCGCACAGAATTTGCTTTGCACTAATCGGTTATTCCACAAGGTGGCAACACTAGCCAAGGCCATTGTGTCACTGTAGAAACCACAACAAAATACAGAAGACTGCAACAACAACAGACGCCAACACTGACAAGCCCTTGTGTGAGGGGTTATGAGATAGCTGAAACTTTAGTCAAAGAAAAGTCCCTGTTTTGTTTTCAGAAAGTTGAATATAACCAACGTCCCTTTAAGACTTGTCATTTCACTCGGCAGCCATCTTTGAAACGCCTCTCTGGCATGCAAATGCAGCTTCTTTTTGAATGGGGAAACATCAAATTCTCCAAAACTGTTCACCAAGCTCGCGATTAAATTTATATTTAAAATCACCAACGAAATATGGCAACAACACTCTCATACATTTTGTTTTTAAACGCTCAAATCGTGAAAGAAAACTAATATTTTTCCAGGCTGGATTAAGCTAATGCGCATGCGCAGTGGAACTCGCATCTAACTGTTTCTAGTAACGGCAGATGCAGTGACACGATGACTTCACCAATCGGCCATTGGCTCTTATTTAGAAGGCGGGACTTATTCCACCATGTTGAGCGTTACACTTTTTCCCATTCAAAACAATACGAGTGATGCGTTTTGTGCTATTCCTGAAATCCTGATCCTGAAAATCCTGAATCCTGAAATCTCAAAAACTTTTTCAAATCAGCAACAAAATCTGTCAGATTAACTGTCTAATAAATGTTGTTTCTTATGTTCAAATAGCCATAAAAAAGCTTTTTGGGGGGGGGAACCGAAGCTTGAAATGGCAGGTGCAGTGATGTTATGACTTTACCAATCAGCGATTGGCTCTTTTACTTAGAAGGCGGGACTATTCCACCATGTTGCGCGTTGCAGTTTTTCCCATTCATGAGTAATACGAGTGGAACATCTTTCTATATCTATAGTCTTTGCTTTAGTTAGAATACAACCATTTTTTTTTTTTATCGGCAAAGATGATATTTTCTATGTGTCGACCGCCTGCATTTGTTCTTTATTTGAATATAGAGAACACTTTGAAAGGCTAAGGGTCACATCCTTGGCAATCAAAACAGACCGAAGACAATAAGTGTAAAACATTTTTTATGAAATAATTGCACTATATTTTGTTTCAATAATATTTATTGTTTCACATTTTACAATATTTACCTCTAAATTACGCACCATTTATTTCTATTTAATAAAAATGCTAGAATACTAAAACAGTTTTTATCCAATTGTCTTTTCAATACAGTGTGTTCAAATTAAATATATGTCCGTGCATTCTCTAGATGCTTAGAGTATTTTCAGACATAATTACTTACTTTTATTAGGTTTTGGATTTGGTTATTACAGAAGCCCTAAAGGGACATGGTG